CCAATATTGGGCTTTGACAAAAAGCGTGTGACTTGATTCGTTCAAGGGTACGGCACACTTGTCGTGGCCTTTATCATATAAACTTACGCGTACTAGTGGAAACGTCGGCACCGGGAGCGTTACTACACGTGCTATTTACCAGCCTCATTAAGTGAAGAAGAAACGTAGCACAACTTCTCGATTTGAGATAGAGTCAGCAGGCCCCCTTTTACTTGAAGTTAACGAAGAGAATGGGATAATACAAATAAAGCCGCATAGGAAAAACTTCGAAGTAGCGTAGTATCTTACTCTTAAGTGCCAAGCCTGCCGTCCCAACACCTACAACAGGAATGTCAAAAGTCATCAATGCAGGTCCCGGATGACTACTCAACTAGTCAACTACTCTGTGCTTCTGATACAAACGGCATCACTCTGTCTCAACTGGATCGTTGCATACGTTTGGGGCAGTTGGAATAAGCGCTCATGTTCACTATAACCAGAAGGCCATAATAAAACACCGCGAGAGCCTAGAGTTTTGTGTCCGGTGTTAGTATTACGAATTAGGCAATTAGAAAACTGTAGCGCAGGTACCACTGGACTTAATTGGTCAGTTGGCGAACCATTTGATTCCTTGCTGCCTAGGGTTGCCCTTATAGGCAGTTGGGAAATGCCTGGCGCAACGATAAGGCATAAGGGTCAGGGGACGCAGACGCAAGTTATTAACTATTAATTAATAGATTAACTGGAATGCGATATAGCCTAAACGTGACTCGAAGCTCCCACGTTACAGTATCACAATCGGCCAGCAAATTGTAACCCAGCTAAGCCATATGCCACACAAATCTATCGCTCCTAGACGGTGCCTGATCAGGGATGCGGTCATATCTACAAGCATTATGGCTTGTAGCTTTATGTCTCACCAGTATACCACTCCGCAATTGACAGCTGCTATTGAAGCTGTAAGTTTATGGCGCGCTTTTTTTTTCTACCCGTGGCTGGGTCTCATTCCCTTTGCCCTCTCTCCAGCCATCCTCTGGCCCGCATCACTTGACCACATCAGTCACCTGGCATGCAACATGATACCACATGATTATAGTACTATTTGGTATAAACTCGCTCTTGGTTCCTACTTGTTGAGGACTTTTCACCTAGCTATTGCCGTCTTCTCCAGATACAACGTTGTGCTGATATCGTGGGATGCTGTTTCGAAACGTGGCACTTGCAGCCCCGCCTATCCTTGTGAAGTAAAGCTGGATACTACCCTGCAATCTGAGCCTCTGGCGTTGAAGTTCTATTCTATGAGTTGATAATATATAAGTCTTGCGGAAGTAACAATTTTGTCGTTTGGCATCAACAATTATCTGCTGCTCTACCAACACGTTGGTCAATATTGTCAGCATGGTTCAATCATTAGTCTATCTAGGAGCCTTGCTGGCCGCTCTGCCTTCGGCACGAGCCGGCTTCAATGCTAGCTCGACGCAAAACGTTGCCGTGTACTGGGGTGAGCTGGATCAACTTTTTGAAGATTGGGACTTCCAATTAATACAATATGCGCAGGCCAGAACTCGGCGAACCAAGAAACCTCCCAGCAACGCTTGTCCACCTACTGTGCCAGTAAGTTCAAGATCGTCTTGGACCAATTCGTGGTAGCTAACGATTTTTTTAAGATGCTGAAATAGATGTGGGAATTGCCAACAACTTGGATGTCGCTCAGCAGCCTAGCTGACCTCTTACAGATCATCCCGATTGGTTTCATGAATGGCATTAGCCCGGTTATTACCAACTTCGCCAATGCAGGCAACAACTGCACGGCTTTTGCTGATAATAAGAATGCACTTAACTGCCCCCAGATTGAGTAAGTTGTTTTAAACTCATAGTATATTCTATCAGTGTTTGATGCTTACATATTTGTTAGGCAGGACATTATTACATGCCAACAAACATACGGCAAGACAATTCTCATTTCGCTGGGAGGTGGATCTTATACTCAGGGTGGCTTCTCCTCCACCGATGTTGCCACATCTGCGGCCCAGACAGTCTGGAACATGTTTGGTCCCGTCAATTCAAACAGCAATGTAGACCGCCCATTTGGCTCCGCAGTAGTGGATGGCGTCGACTTCGACTTTGAGTCTGGTGTCAACAACTTGGAAACTTTTGCCGCTGAGTTGCGCAGTTTGATGGACGCCTCTGCGTCTTCTGCGAACAGGAAGTTCTACCTGTCTGCTGCGCCGCAATGCGTCTACCCCGATTACGCCGACAACCCGGCCCTAAATGGTTCTGTTTTCTTCGACTTCATTATGATCCAGTATTACAACAACGGATGCGGAGTCAGCAGCTATGTTCCAGGAGCATCGACTCAGTGGAACTACAACTTTGACGTCTGGGACAACTGGGCGCATACCGTCAGCAAGAACCCCAACGTCAGAATTCTGCTCGGTATTGCCGCCAACACTGGGGCTGCTAGTGGATACGTATCCGGAACGCAACTTTCTGCAGTCATCTCATTCACAAAACAATACTCAAGTTTTGCGGGTATCATGATGTGGGACATGTCCCAGTTGTACCTGAATTCCGGCTTCCTGGACCAGGTTGTCAGTGACCTCGCGGCCTCTGGTTCAACCCCCCCTCCTACTAGTTCGACTGGTGGTTCCAAGCCAACCTCTACTAGCGGCTCTACCAGCCCGACTGGCGGTGGCAGTGTGCCGCAATGGGGTCAGTGTGGAGGTCAAGGATACACCGGCCCTACTCAATGCCAGTCACCTTACACGTGCGTTGCTACCAGTACCTGGTGGGCATCTTGCCAGTGATGCTTGAAAGAAATGCCAGAGGGCTCCGGCATGGAATGATGGAGACGCGAGATGAGCTTTGCGGAAACAGAAAGGTGTGATTCGATGGACCATCAGCTTGGACGGTCGTTAGTATATATCTTGCACTTCTATTGTCTATACTTGAACACGTAAATAACACAATACATATCTGTACCATGTCTCTAAGCATGTTATACCGAGATCGATTGGGAATTTGAGCCGCCAGTCTTATAAGACCCTACACTTAATACCATAGATTACTCCACACAATTGTGCCGCTTGTAGAAATGGCCTTTGAATGCCCAAGATCAAAGCAGATGGACCTTACTGATGATACATTCTAGATTCGGCTATTTAATATCAATAATCTTACGGGACCTTTCCGTTCTGGTTTACAAAGCTTTCCTTAAATATGTTAAAATATATTCATAAGCACTTAGGGATCACTTAGTATCTTCGTCCCATGTTACTTGACGAAATACGACACCAATTACCATGATGAAAGCCTGGCATTGAGATGACTTAGTCCCGAATTGGACTCTTTCCAGAAATCCATTTGAACAAGTTAGTCACAAATGACTCTCAGGCTTCTTCTTCTCCTGCAACACCCTAGATGGATATATCCCACCAACTTGATGGAATGTTGCTACAAAGTCTCCATCGTCATCTATAATTTTAATATTTTCTTCAAACCGACTGCCAGAGAGCCAGCTCATATGAGTTCTGCTAAGGATACACTCTTTCCGCTTGCTATCGCAAAAGTCCAGCTTGAGAGAGATCGTTGGAAGTTGGTATTTCACGATACCTTCCAGTGCATTGTCTTCGTTACGAAGAGATCCATAAGCAGCTTTAGTTGGTTACTGATAACATAAAATGGGTTATGCGTATGTAGATGAAAGCAGGCTAGGCCGTGAGTGTCATGATAATAATGAAGAAGGGCGAAGATCTCGGCTGCCACGCCAGCCTGTAGAAGATGGTTGATTCTCACCAGATCTACCAGCAACAGCAAGTACTCCATTTTGTACATTTGTCCCTTGTCTAGTTTGTTCCATATGTGTCGTACATTCTTGCCTCCAAATGTAGGGCTCTGCAATGGAGTTGATCCACCGGCAGGAATCTAAGACCGGACTGTCGTAGATGGTGGGTTTATGTAGTAGAAAAAGGCGTCAACCTAGCGGCTACAGTACTTAATGTGGTCAGGAAGGGCCATCCTTCTCTGATTTATATGCTGCCCCAGCAGATTATTTCCTCGTCTCAAACTTCCAATGCGTATAGTTGCATGATAGTATACAACATTCGTCGCCGAATCAGCGGGAACTATTTCCGCCATTATAGTGTCTTGAAAACAGGCAGTTTCCTCTACTACCGACTAATTCAACTGTATTAGCCATGTAAGCTTGAGTCTCGGTATATTATGTACATCCGGAGCACCAATCAACAGGTGCATTTCCTGCATACCGAGAGCCACCAAAGCCCTCTATAGGCGTGATCTTGATCGCATCTAGAAAATCGGTCCGGGAGAATTTGTGATGTCTCTAAACCGGAGTCACTTCCGAATTTGGAATGGAAGCATCGGCCATGGTATCTGGTAACACCAAGCCGAAATGCCGATGCAGTAACAAGAGAAGCAAGGCCTTTTCTGATACTCTGTTTGTTACGCGCATACAGATAGCTTCACACCGAGTGCTGATAGCACACATTGTCGCGAAATAGACTTTAGTGAATCCCTAAATCACGATTTATAAAGCGATTCGCAGCTGTCTCAACGATCGGCTGGTTTGCGTTCTGGCTTTAGAAATCCTGTGAATAGTATACTCTAGTCTAACACTATTGGCAAGTTTGCCCCGTGCCCATGCAAGAAATGGACTTCTGAAGAGAGTTCAAAATTACGTGTGCGGTACTTGCTGTTGTGTGCGGGTGCGCGTCTCGTTCGCTCGTTCGCCCAAGCTCAAGCTATTAGGTATACAGAGATGATGGCTACGCAGTTTCTATATGTTGAAGAATCTCCTTCCACATCCTGTCTATGTGTTACATTTGAAGAGGATACATATTATTTTTCCCAATGATAAGACATAATAATACGCGGATGACACAAGTAGCGATTGCAAATGCACGCAAAACACCATATCGATCTAAGATTCTAGTACAGAAGTAGCTGTTACAGCATATTCCACGACACCCCATCGCGCAACGCCATTTCTAGGACTGCCTCGACTATTGTGCGGTTTTGCGCCTGTCGCCCAGAAAAGTGCTGATTTGTGCAAGAGCTTTCTGCATAGTCTCTGGGGATACTGTGATGTGCATTCGTGTGTATCCCTGCCAGTTGGCTGGTGTTTCCTCCCCAAAGGAAATACTGCCGGGGCTGAGTAGGACCCCATGTTCCTTCAGGAGATCTTTGCAGAATTGAACGTCATCAACGGCATCCCCATTTATAGTATAATACTTCACAAATGCCGTTCCTCCCGCAGCAGGTCGAGTCCAGGTACACATGTCACTATTCTTTTTGACAAAGGCCTCCAAAAGATTCAAATTCTGCTGCGCGTAGTCGAGATGTCTTTTTAGAATCGCTGGCCGACAACGAAGGCTCAAGCACTCCGTTGCAATTGCTTCGTCGATATTGCTTGTGGCTTGAGAGATGTATTGCTTCGTGTTTGACATAAGGTCCATAAGCTCCTTGTCACGGCAAGCAATCCATCCAATTCTCACGCCAGACATACCCCAAGCCTTGCTCATGGAGCTGGTCGTGATGACTTTGGTGTACTCATGTTCCACGAAGGATGTGATCGTTGTTCCATCGTGGTACAGCGGACGGAAGATTTCATCCACGACCACGATAATGCTATGTTGCTGCGCTATTTCCAATATTTCGAGCTGAGCTTGAACGTCAAGTACAGAGCCGGTTGGGTTATTCGGATTATTCAGCATAATCATTTTGGTGGAGGGCTTGATAAGAGCGCGAAGCTCGTCCATGTCGGGGCGCCATTCGTTGCTAGGATCCAGTCTCCATGGAGAAACATCGCACCCAATGCTCTTAGACAAGCTTGATAGTTGTGTGTATGTGGGATACGTGGATATCACATGGTCACTGGGCCTGAGGAGGCTTTGAAAGACAATCATGTTGGCGCATGTTGTCCCCGGTGCCGTCAAGAAGCTATCAGGCAGGATCTTTTCATTGTACAATGCCGCGAGCTTAGTCCGCAGCTCCAGAGTACCTTTATTGGGGCCCAAGCCCAGAAAGACTTCATCGAACTGGAGCGCAGCTTCGGTCTCGCTCGGATTGTTAGAGATAGATACTAACTCACGCAGTGTCAAACTCGGAGCGGCACTGCCTGCGATATTGTACTTCGCATGCTCAGAGTTCCCATGGATCCACTGGATTGTTCCTATTCAGCTTACGAGGTCTCACAACAGGAGCATCTAACTTACATTAGCAAGATGAAACTCAACAAGTGACGCCATTTCGAACTTGAAAGAAGGTCTTGGTCGAGATCAAAGTGAAAAAAAAAAGAAAATAGAAAGCAGAATCCTTTATGTAAAGCGCACCTTTGAGACTTTGGCATTTTTGGCGATTTATGCAGGCAAAAGAGACTCATCGTATGAGTCATTAACGAAAAGCAGCCTTGAAGCGCTAGAAGATACCGAAAATCGCAGATCCTTCGTCCCTAAGCACTAAAGGGCGCCATGGATACCAGAAACCGTTAATTATTATGGCGGGGTTAAATACCGTAGCTACCGACCATACACCTATGACATAATAAGATGTATGTGTCAAGACTGGATAGTGGTTTATGCTCCTGTGTAAACTTCCTAGATCGGGAGATTTTGAATGCTGTAATGTACTATTGAATCCTGTCTTGCTGTGCTGTTTCTTGAGGGATAAGCAGCACCTCAGCTCCTATCGAAAGCCACCGGTGCTGGAGACAACAACACAGGTAGAGCACTACCCACATCAGGATCTAGGTATGTATGCAATTCTGTGTCACTTTGTAACAAAGAGGCCGAATTCTTCTAGATGCCATGGCTAAAGAGTTTAAGACACCGCCGACAGAGGAACATACTAGTTTCTTTTTCTTTTCTTATATAACAGGAGAAACCGAGTCTGTAAATTGCATATTTATTCTCTAGCGCAATACAAGCGGATGAAGCGATGTTGCAGCCACGGCTTACGCAGCCTGCGATATCAGATCCAAATGCACAGACTATTTTTAACACGCCGCCGACCGCTGAAATATGCACAGTCGACATCTACAAGAATAGTGATTCTTAAGCCGCGAATAATAACAAAGCATATTCAGCTGAATAAATAAACGTGTTGACTTTTGCTGTTAAGGTTTGGTGAGGAGTTGAGCGAGAACTATACAACTCCAGGCTTTGAGTAAGAAGCATGACAAGGGGCAAAGATAGGCGATACAAAGTAGAATGAAGTGATGTATGTTTTCTGGCTATATCTCTATGAACTTGACATATACCCAGACATTACTGCTACTTTCAGCATGGACAAGGCATCTTTCACGGTCCTTGCCTAAGCTTTGGAAGCAGTCCCTTGGCGCTATCGCCTCTAGAGCGCCTGTAATTACAGAGGGTGGTTTACAGAGGCGCCAGATCACGTGGCTGGATATTGGAATGAACATTCCAGTAGGGGTTGGGAAAGAGGGTGCGTCGGATGTCGTCCAGACACTGTGATGCCAATCCTTTGCCCTGCATTCAGTATATCATTGTACCTGTGCCTTGAGAATCTTGGCGGGTAGGCCAATTACCCATGGAATTTAAGCAATCGAGGAGCGTGTCACACGTATTCGCCTTGGTACACGAGACAAAGCTGTAAGCCAATTGGCTACTGTAAGCTTTCAACCGCAACGCCATATGTAGCAATGGAATCTGAAACACTGCTTTCTCAATTTCAACTTTAACCTTAACGCCTCTTGTAACAAATAGGTATCGCTATCATTTTAGTCTTGTTAGTTGACGTATATGAAAGCTCATGATTTGGCGTTATAATTCTCAGGCCTTTACTTTTCGTAGGCTTTAGAGCTGGATGCCATTTTTAAATCATTCAATTAAAGATTAGTATTATTGAGTATGTTACTATGAAGCCTTATAAGATCTTTATTGTAAGGGGATACCACATAGTTGGTGCTGTCACTTTCGATGCTATCAATCGAGGGATTTGCAAGTTGGCCGAAAAGGATAAAGCGCTCAACACGCAAGTTAATATATACTGATACAATGTATCGAAAGCTTACCTTTAATAGAATAAATCATGAAATGACGTTTTCTAAGAAGGTTGGCAGTGTGGGAAAGCTCTTGGAAAAGTGGAAGACATTCCGTCAAACCCTCTAACGGCATACCGATGAATACAACCATATCCGTCCAAGGAGACATTGTAACATGGCATGGTAAGTAAAATGGCTATACCCACTGTTAAGGGTATTTTGTTGGACCTGTCCTTGCAAAAATGGAGCAACACATTGAATACAACAAGCGTACCCCGGGGTGGACAAGTGTTTTCGTTTAAGTAGTTATCGGTTGATCCAGCCTTGGGAATCGTAAGCCTGTTGGTTGACTATAAGGAAGATCTGAAATAAACAAGATACAGCACTTTGGGCTTCCTAGTTTACTAGCCCCGCAATTCATTCCCGGTGATGGTTCAAAACCGAGCGTCTAATCGAATTATCTTACCAGATCGAGTCACAAAAGAGCAAAGGTCTGTAATTAGGAGGAGAACACTCCTATATCTATCCTAAATGAACTCCTGCCACAGTGTCACTAGTTTTGTGATTAGATCTTACCGCAAGCGAGCATATTGAGAATATCCATGACTTGCGTAATTGTTGGAGATAAATATTAGAAACTATGCGACTTTACAATTGTAAAACCGGCTTTTAAAAGAAGGATAACCAGCATCTTATTATAGCCAGAACTATAATTACACACTTATCAAATGAATGTTAATAAAATAAATATCTGAGCTCTTGCAATTTTTACTCAGTATAGCTTCTCCATATAGTTGATAGTACTCGTTAGTTAAAGCGGCACCTTCTACCATCGAAGTGCCTCCCATGGCTGCAGCGGCAGTTCCTCTGTTGGTTGTCCCAAAATTGATCACCCCTGCAGCGACAGTGATGGCCGTCGTAATATTGATCACCCCTGCAGCGACAGTGATGGCCGTCGTAATATTGATCACCCGGGCAGCGACACTGATGGCCGTTGAAATATTGATCCCCCCTGCAGCGACACTGATGGCCGTTGTAAAATTGGTCACCCCTGCAGCGACACTGATGGCCGTCGTAGAATTGGTCACCCCTGCAGCGACACTGATGGCCGTCGTAGAATTGATCATCTGGGCATCGGCAAAACCTGCCATTTGGGTGATATTCCTGTCCCTGTTTCCTGCAGACGCATCTCTGAGAATGCTGGCTGTAAAACGCGTCGTTGCCGCAGTTAGGCCCAGGGGTACGAACAGCGAGATTGTCTTCAACCTCGGGGCCAGGGGCAGCGCTGCCTAGGCTAACAGGGAGAAGTGCTAGAAAGAGGAAAGTAGTCTTGAAAAGCATTATAGGCAAATGGAAAAGATAGTTTGACCAGCGAGGATAATTGTAGGAGTCAATATGGTTATTGATTAGAAACAGTATATAAGAAGTATTGCCTTTACTAGTAGCTGGTTTATTACCAATGCGATATATTGCGTGGTTAGCATAGAGGGTTTATATAACTCACGCCAAAGCCGAATTAAATCATAATCTAGGACAAATACCTTTTACCTTTCAGTCTTAGTTGCTAGTCAATTATCTTGAAACCTGGGCTGGTATTTTACTTTTAGTAGAACTTCAAATACACAGTGCTAATGCCTAGCTTATACCCTGCTGCTATTACTTTACGCTTTGCACTTACATATAACGCTTTCTATTATACACTTTTATGAAAAACTCTTTTTATTTTCTCTTGTTTCCTCGAGTTGCTTACTTCAAGTTTGAGTTGTACTACTACAATACTATATTTAGTTTGTTAGAGTTTTAAGTAAATGCAGGGTTTTGATTTTGTAAAGCTTTGTGCTATCAAATTGACAAGTGCTTGCAACTGGCTACAACTATAATTAAACCCTTGGGCTATGGAAGGGAAACCTAAGGCTGGAAAAGAGCCTGATGCTGCTCCAAGAGGACTTGTCCAATAACAAAAGTTTGTGAAATTGGCAATAATTAAACGAATTAAGTAAAATAAACAGAGATTGAATCGAAATAGCAAAAAAGAATTTTGTTTAGTGTTATGGCTTTATGGCTTGACCTTTTATAGCTTTTAGGTTATGCCACTGAATCACAGCATTTTTTAAGTTGTTTTTCATAGTTGTTTCTTACTTTACGCTAATTAAAGCCACATATACAAAGATTACCAATAGACTCTATTACATTCCATACAAATAGATTTGTATGTAATAAGTGTCGTTTGCCTTTTTGAAACCATTTCTATTAAGCTTTTATAAGCTAGATGAACTGTAGATCCGCTTGTAGTAGGTAGGTAGGTAGTTTACAAGACTCTTACATTGAGCTTCAAACTACAACAAATTCAAATCACAGCTGAGCACAGTTCATAAATGCGTGCATTACAATATCTTTCAACATCTTTCACTTAAGGTAGAAATATAGTAACTAATTATTAGACAATTGTTGTCTGTGATAGTCGGTTCCAGGTAACCTGCAACAAAATTGCCTGAGTCTAATAACCTGGTGATATAGAGTTTAGTATAGAGAGGACTTTCCAAGGAACAAGACGTTCGACTGGATGGATCTACCGAGAGAGCTATCTGGGTTAATGTTGGCGCAGTGGTCAGGGTGGAGTGGTCAGGCTGGGCTTTGGGCGCGTAAACGGTTACACAGCGAGTAGTACTAATCAGAGAGGATCACTGTATCTCAAACTGATTGTGGTAGTAGGTTCTATGTTAGTAACATCTAATTACCAGTCAAGGACGCAAGATCCCGCCCAGATTATAAGACACAGGCTGTCAACAGGATGAAAACAAAGCTGCAAGGCCTAACCAGCAGCCTTAAGACATGAGTTTCCTTCCTTGGCTCTGTTTTGCTTGCATATTGAGGCAAACTTCCTTTATTATGAGACTTGTCTAAGGCGCTAGACAGTAGCCAGCGTAGACAATATTTCCTAGCCATCATGTCCCGGATTTCTCCACTCAAACAATAATGTAATGCCATAGAGTAAGCACATTCTCTAATAACGTCGAAGCTTGTATTTCAGTTATATATAATATCTTGTGAGATTGATAAAAGTTTTCTACTATCTATCAAGAGATGACGTCGACTCTGTCATAAGGTTTTATTCCCAATAGTAGACAAGCCACTTTTCACAACTCTAGCGTTCTTCCAATCCCATCGCTCATTTGGCCGTCGTGAGAATAAAAGCTTCTTTTTAGGCTTCATGCAAGTGGAACTAAACCAAGAATTGATTTTCGTGAACAAGACGCATAGGAGAGCGATAATAGAGGTCTCTCAGGCGATATATCAAGGCTCTCCAGCATGGCACAAGGTTGACTATTACATACCTAGAGTTTGATTACATTCCAATATATGACTGCAGTAATCGAAGACCATAAGAAAAGAAATTCTGACTTCTACTCAGAACAGGCTGTAGCTGGGAAATAGAGAAATAGCTGGAATGGATATGACACCAATCGTGTGTGAATCTTCATTACCTCGCTATTATTCTGGTAGTGTAAGAAAAGGCTGCTTCCGTGCAGAAGTGTAATCATAATGGAATGGTGGCGCTTCCTGTTGCAACCAATGATATCAGCGTAGTAGCAAAGCATCCAATACCATCATGAATCTTCTATTCAAAGTTTTATATGCATTCTCAAGGCAAGCCGAATAGCGTCATGCAATGATGAAATTCGCCCTCTGGAGCACGACAAATAGCTTCTACAATATCTAGGATAAAAATTTTCAAGACGAAAAAAGAAAATAGACGGCTAAGATGGTATGATAGTTTGAGTATAGATGGAATCCAGGGAGGTATCTCACATATAAAAGTAAACCACTGCTGCTCCCCAAACCAAAGTGTTTAAGACCATTACAAGCTTGATTAAACAGCATCAAGATCTTTTGCACAATATAATTTCTATCAATTATCAAGTCAAAACAGTACTCACCAGATTCGCCATCATGAAGTTCATCTGGGCCACTCTCGTTGTCGCAGCCGCATCGGCCATAGCCAGCCCCGTCGCTAAAGACAATCCCAGCGGCGCACCGAGAACTGATCTACACAAGCCGGCCTACGGAGACTATGGAGACAACAGAGATCATGGAGACTACAGAGGCTATGGAGACAACAAGGAGCATGGAGACGAAAAGTACCGTGGAGACAACAAAGACCACGGAGACAAAGACCACGGAGACAAAGACCACGGAGACAAAGACCACGGAGACAAAGACCACGGAGATAATAAAGATCATAGAGACCACAAAGTCAACAACTACCATGGAGGCAACAACTACCATGGAGGCAATAACTACCATGGAGGCAGCAACTACCATGGAGACAACAACTACCATGGAGACAACAAAGATCATGGAGACAACAACTACCATGGAGACAACAAAGATCATGGAGACAACAAAGATCATGGAGATAATAAAGATCATGGAGACAACAACTACCATGGAGATAACAACAATCGTGGAGATAACAACAATCATGGAGATAACAACAATCACGGAAACAATAAATACCATGGAGACAACAGGGATCACAAAGACAACAACTACCATGGAGACAACAGGGATCACAAAGACAACAACTACCATGGAGACAACAGGGATCATAAAGACAACAACTACCATGGAGGCAACAACTACCATGGAGGCAACAACTACCATGGAGACAACAACGACCATGGAGACAACAGGGATCATAAAGACAACAACTACCATGGAGACAACAGGGGCCACGACGATCATGGAAAGCACCCGAAGGAAGAATAAGACGGTAGACAAGGGGCCATATGGCAAGATATCCCAGTTGGCAACAAGCGAACCTGTCAAAAATGGAAAAGCAATCCGGAGTTTTATACTCAAATTGAGTTATCATTGTTCTCGATAATATATACTTGCAATAATCGAGTAAAACACTTCAACTGTTACACTCATTTTATTAATAGCTTAAGGCTTCTTTAAACCCAAGTAACAATTAATCCTATAAGATTAGTATAATAGGCTTTGGCACCTTTGAACACTCTTTTATATAAATAAAAATACATTGCTAATAACAAAAGTAGTCTAAAATTGTTTTTTTTAACACGAGTCTCAATTGTTATATTATATAAGAAATTAAATTCGGCATCCATATTCGTGAAATCCCCTTCCTTGGGGTTATATGTAAAGTGCCCTGTTGAATCAAGAGGGAAGATAGAATCAAGGTAATGCTAATTGAGCTAATAGCCAACCCTTTGGTTCACAAAAAGCCTGCCCATAAACCGATTCTAGGAGAGTCTTTAGGCTTTCCCTTGGTGAAGTTAAGGACTCCCTACCTTCTGTTAGAATTGTAGGCATTGGCGTAGTGTTCGAGATATGAGATGTCCTCATATGCTACCACCTCGAGTGCAGGAAACCCGGTTATAGCAGCGGACGGGATGGTACTCCGACACGGATTGCTGAAATGGTTTACGAGGCAGCCGAAAGTATATACCGCGAGGTATTGAAGGAAAATCTTGCGGAACTTATTGAGGAACCAGTCTAGTATCATGCCGCCCTCGATACCGCCTTGGGAGTGCATAATCATAATAACCTTCTGTACGCCCCGGTAGGGTCCCTTTTTTCGCCATCACATAGCATTGACGGACGTTCAATGTGGCATAGAGGAGGGCGGGCTAGATCTGACCCTGAACGAGATTGAAAACAACACCAATACTAAGGAAAGTTAGAGACTGCTGTGTAGTAGAGTATCTACTCATACAGAATTTAAGGTTTGAGTGAGGTGATGGGCAAAGTAGAACAGAGATTACACACACGTAATGTTATGAACCTCAACGACAGGGCTATGGAATGTACGCGATAGCCGGTCGATGTTATTTTCAAGCCAGTTCCTCCTGAACCAGCGCCCTGGCGGTTGGCTCATATGGGTCCCGAAATTGTCCGAGCAAGTTTTAACTTACTTTACACAAATTCTGTTCCAAAATCTCCAGTACTGGTAGTCATGTGAAGCCCAACTTCGAGAATATTCCTCTTTAGTTAACTTGAGGCCGTCTTCAGGAATGTCCTTGTAAAAGTGTCGAGATACAAGGACATTTAGTTCTAGAACCATTGGAACGTATAATATCAAGGTCGACACTGGTAGATATAAAAAAGTGTAGAGAGATGAAATTAAATAAACGACAAATAGAACACAATGAAATGGGACCTATTCCCTATGTCTGCAGATTAGTAGTGGTCAACATACCCTCTTTGGAACTCCATGTTACGCTCAAGGTCTTTCTTCATCATGCCAATGACAATATCTTTTATAATAAATCTCAAATGTATGTACCAGTTAGTTTTTGAGCAGAAAGATGTTTAGCTTGCTGTATCGTCAATCATGATTGGCTCCACGCTCAGCAGAAGTATTAGGAGCCGCTTTCTTTCTAATAGGCGCCATGATCAGAAATTTGTTAGTACTTTGCTGGCGCAGCTATAGTAGAGGCTTCTAGGGAAATGACAAATTGTCCCAATATATATTTTTTAAAACAAGAGAAGATTCAGCTTGGAAAGACGAAGAACGATGAAGAAGCACAGTGAGATCCTATCAGATCCAGTTGTACTGCGATGATTGACGGCTAGATGAACGCCTTGCTTACCTCATCAGATTGGCCACTATCGTTTGCGAAAAATGGTTAATTTTGACAATTCAGATCTTGGTTAGAGGTGTCGCGCACTCCGCCGACATGCAGCCTGCAGACACCTACTACCACTTGAAGGTTCGCCTTGGAGGCTGACATTCCAGATTCGTGCGTCCGCTCAGGAGTGTTCCATGCAGAGCAACAGCCGAATTAGGAAATGTTAGAAGATATGCTAATTTACAAGCCGTACTAACTAACCTTTATGAGGTATGCGGCAACCATAATACATATCGTACCTCTAATTTTAAGTACAGCAACCCACAAGTATTGAGCGTTGCTGGCTAGATTAGTAACTTGTTGATATGAGCAGTTCCAAGAGATGCAATTGTTCAACAATACTTTGTCATTTTGCTACATCCAAATCTTGTCTCTTCGGCCACCCAGTTATTTATTTTCCACAGCCCTTTGCCAAACCTCCAAACAGAAGCGATTTCGTTAGTTATAAACCTTACGCAGCTGAAGAAGATACGTATAGGCACAACTTCAACGAGCTTAGGCTAGAGAAAATCCAGAGACTCCTCGTCACCATAGCCATCAAGTGAGGTAGAGGGATTCTCTCGCGATTAGCGTCAGGAAATTACGCCACTACAGCTCGTGCAGACGCTAGGCTAGGCCCTACAGCTTTGTCATAGCTAGCCTCAGCCCGGTTGGTAAGCGTTCCAGGTTATGATATTGCGAAGGCACAGAAAGTATATCGCGAGACAGGCGTTGTAATTGATCTATATACAGGATTCCCCAATAGATCTAATGTATATAAGACAGTGAGCTTCCTCAAGGCTTTGCTATCGATTCTCCAGTACACTCAAGTTCATCCGTCAAGCCTTATTCCCTACCACCAATTTTCGATTTCTATATAAATCAGCATCCTGCAACATGGCATCTTACGCAACTGCTGAGCCCCAGTTTATTGAAGTCAATGGCACTCGCTTTGCATATCTCCGATTTGGCTCAGCCGCCAACAACACGGTTCCTCTTGTGTTCCTCCAGCATTTTAGAGGCACTTTCGATCACTGGGATCCTCAGCTGATTGATCCTATCTCAACGACTCGTGAGGTCATCTTATTGGATAATTCTGGTGTTGGGAAGACCAACGGCACAGTCCCAGGAACTTACGCTGAATGGGCCGACAATGTAGCTCAGGTTGTCAAAGCACTAGGCATCTCGCAGATTGACTTGCTTGGCTTCTCTATGGGAGGTTTTGCAGCTCAGATGGCAGCCCTCAACTACCCAACTCTTATTCGCAAGCTTATCCTTGCGGGAACCGGTCCTAGTGCCGGTGAAGGTATCGAAGGTGGCGATCCGGCCGCATTTGGGCGTCTAGCCGCGGCTTCTAATGATAAAGAAGAACACGGCGGCTTTTTGGAAGCATTTTACTCTCTGACACCAACGAAGCAGACCCTAGGCGACAAGTGGTGGAAACGTATGACGACTGCTCGCTCAAACAGGTCTGACTATGTGGGACTTGAGGGCACAAAGGCGCAAATCGACGCAGTTCTTCGCTGGTCAAACCGCGAACATGCGTCAGAGGGTTCATATGACCGCTTACATGAGATCAAAGTTCCTGTTCTTGTCGCAAATGGCGATAATGACATTCTCATTCCAACTGTCAACAGCTGGGTTATGTTCAAGAGGTTAACCAACGCCGACGCTCATCTGCACTTATACCCGGATGTGGGACATGGATTTTTGAATGAGTACGCGGGTCAGTTTTCGAGTCTAGTTAACCAGTTCCTCGATGACCGGGCGTAAGGCGGAGTTTTTCAACAAAGACGCCATGATATTGCTATACAGCATAAAGTACTCGCTTATAGATGGAATCGATAGAGGGCACTTTGCTTTTAGATCCAGAACTTGTGCATAGAGTTTGTTATTGAATAGAGATTTAAATCGGTCAACTGACACTATTAAGAACTATGTTGAAAACACCGAGTCCAACAAGACACTGAAGTGTATTATTGAACTACCTAATGAGAACAATAAGACTAACAGGACTGTTTTTAAAAACGAGTCCGAAATACCTTTCCCTTTGTTTCAAAGGTTCCCATCTTGTGAAGTATTATTACCCAGCTATTACGGTTGTGATTTGCAGAGCGCCCCAGAATAGCGGTTGCAGCAGTGGGTTTATTGTCGTGAGTGGCGCCGAACAGCACTAGGTACTGCTAGCCTGACGGTTTTTTGCGCTATTGAGGTCGCCTGTACCTTTTGGGCAATGCCTGCAAGCGAAACGACAGAAGCTTCCTGCAGCAGTTAGCCGTTCATGCGTGGCATTTACTGCAATAGGAAATCCTAGATATTAGCTGCCCTCTAGAGCGCTACACGCTGTAAGCATTGATATGGAAGCTGTGTATTTGTGTATTGAAAGCCATCAGTTGCATTTTACAATTGCATTTTGCGAATTCGGAATTCATTTGAGTATGACTCATCTTTTCATAAACTTACCTTTGCTGTTGTTCCTAAGTCTTAACGGTGCGGCGGCGTAACTTTAGAAACCCGAAGAATCGATGCTGGTTCACGACGGGTGGCAATTGCTAAGCTAACACTACAATCATAATTTCCAGACAATAATGCCTAGAAGCAGTTGGCTAAAGACAAGTCGATCTGATAACCAGCTCAAGTTTGCTAAAGCCCAGAACGTGTGGACTTGGTTTGACGCTGCTACTATTTAAAACACAGCCGAGCTACGTTTGCCAGTAGTACTACATTAGAGGACTGCTAGAACAATTGCATAGATCTATTAAGCCCAACAACGCTGCTGCTATGAGTATTTTGCCTTGAATCTTATTAGCCGGTTGCCTATTCATAAAAAAGGTATATACTTGTTTCTTTTCTCCATCAATGAATACAACCCATATGGCCCATATACGCTTGCATCATTTTCGTTCCACATTAGCTCTATCATCTCGCATAAATTAAACAAGTGCTTCATATCAAAGCCTGAGCTGAGTAACGCACTTATAAGTCGCTTTTGCTGCTCTTCATGGACCATGCAAGATCCAGCTATAATGCATGGCCATAGTAGAATTGTCCGAATGTTTATATCTTTCACCGAAGTAGCCAAAGCTAGGACGATGTCGGCCTCAACGCCAAGTTGGGATTGTGCGATTGGATCCGGCCGGCTTGATCCATAAAAAGAAGTCGTAAGATAGATATAGAGGCCATGTCGGATAGCTTCTGCAGCAGCTGTAATGTCGGAAGTCTTATATTGAGCCTCAGAGTCTAGAGATGACGGCAACTTCCAAGTTGCAATGCGGTGTTCAATTGATTCGTAGCATAACCGGAGTTTGGAACTGGGTATCCAGTCATCCCCAAGAATCTTCTCTCCCGCGAGATATTCTACACTCAGCTGGCTTATATGAGGAATTAGCTCGTACAGTGAATGGCAGCCAGCAAACATTGAGCCAAAGGTTGAGTAGCTACTGAGCCCATCTAGTGAAGTAAGAAATGTGTCGTACGGCTGTGCAAGCTCCCCAGTATTTCGATAGGACGCCAGTGAGTTAACAATCGATAAGTACGCATATAGCTCAAGACTGAAACCAAGAGACTCTTGGTCAATATTGCTGCTTCCTTGGGGTTGAATGAGAAGTCGCCTAACTAGCTCTCGGCTAGCACGCAGATGCTGCAGCATCATGCCACTCTTATCACCAGATATGGCCTCGTAATGACAAGCCATGATAAGGATTAACAAGATTCTGGTCTGTTTCTGGTTATTTGCAGTGTCAAAGTTGACCATTTCACACCGGAGGCCTGATATTATCTTCTGATAATGTAGGCCAGTAGCGTGCTGCATTTCGGGATCAACAGCCGCCATGGAACCAGCATGCCGACGAGACTGCCTGCACTCCAAATGCGTGCCGCTCAGAGCTAGTACCGTATGCATGAGAAGTTCATCGGTATAGGCGAGTGGAAGTACAACCGTAATGAAGGGGGAATTGGTTGAAGGGGATGTACAGAGCAGGCCGGCAGTGAATTCAAAATAGTGTCGTAACAACGTAATAGATACCCGCGTGAGGGTGCACGCTATCCCTGGTCTTGGAAGATCACGACTGGGAGACTGGATATGTGAGGCCATTGTTATTGCAAGAGATGCAGGGCTCCCGGCTTGCTGAGTCGGAACTTGATGCACAGATGATGCTCGATCAACAGACCTGCGTTCGCTAGTCGACCGGCTGACTCCGCCAGAGATATCGAACCATTTACACTCAAGGTGGTTTCGGCAACAAGCCCGGCACCTGGGCTTTGCTTCGTCACATTTCTTCTTTCGCAGTCGGCAAGATAAGCATCCTGTCTTGGACCGTGGATAGTTGGGTCGCAATTTGGAGTAATCGTACGGCTGCCTTCGACACTGCATATTCAGAGAAGTTTAGAACTAGATGTGATATTTGAAAGCTGGCTAGAGCTACCGCAGATTTGTTCGTATCGAATTTGGGCTCTTCGGGATCCGCGCCATCCGCGGACTGCGAGCCAAAACCCATAGCCGGTGCATAGAAAGATACCTGCTAGGTACTAGGATCTACAAGCTGAGAGAAAGCGGGGATGCTTTAGTAACCGAATGTCTTCCAAGCTCCAAAAAAGGAGGCAGGGGGATGGCACCTAGAAGCTGGGAAATGTGAGAAATGACCATACTATGTTACGTAGGTAGGTAGGCAGTCTAACATAAGATGGGAAATACAGTCTGGCCACGAAGCCAGTCTAAGGCCCCGTCGCGGCTAGATAACGTTGAACCCAGTAGATGAGCGGCTAGATAAGATCTTCGGAATACCCTAGGCTAAATATCCTCACAGTTACTACCCCAAGTTTGTGAATAGTGTAAGTGATGGTAACGCTTGTCGAAATAGCAGCGGTTTATAATTGACGTGAGACACCCTGCTCGATGATTTTATAGTGTTAGAGTTGTCGCATCAAAGCCCAATTGACCACAATTTGAACCTCATAGATTGAGCATTCTACCCTTTGTCAGATATACTTGTTTTCTCTGGAACACTTTATTCTTTCATCAATATGGCACCCCGAGATATTCGCCCGAGCTCCCACCTCGTGAAACCCAATACACTTCCCGATCCTCAGTGGTACTCCCATGGTATCGGTCGAAGGATCCGGGAGGACTATTCGTACATCCGGACAAGTGGCACAGCGCAGCGACGGCACCTGGCCGTCATCTATGGCAGAACAGATCCAACAAGCAGTGACCAACTTGGAGACGGTCCTGAAAGCTGCTGGCGCATTTCCTCGAGATATAGTCCATCTTCGCTTTTACGTCGTCGACTGGGATATTTCCAAAGCTAACGACCTCGTCACGACAATCTTAGCTCTCCTCACAGACAAATATGGTGCTACTAATACACCATTGACAACTCTCGTTCCTGTTACCAAACTTGCATTTCCAGAAGCAAGTTTTGAGATTGAAGCAATTGCTAGTGCTGGTAATGCATCTCGTCCATGGATTCCCGACAGAGACATGATCCATAAGGCCTCGATTAGCGCAGTTTCAACAACCACAGTTGAGACTGATGTGATTGTTGTTGGTGGCGGCTTTTCAGGGGTCATGGCCGCATATGAATTGAACCAAGCTGGTTACTCCGTGATTGTTTTAGAAGCCAAGCATCGTATCGGAGGTCGCAGTCGATCTCAACGACTTAAAACCAATCCGGATGCGATTGTTGAGCTTGGCGCGACATGGATTAATGAGAAGACGCAACCTACAATCTATGCACTGACGAAAAGGTTTGGATTGAAAACCGAAGCTCAACATACCGAGGGCGACCAGATCTACCAAGGGTACGATGGGAAAATTTACAGGTGTGATATGAATCAGAATCACAACGTAAGTCCGCGCTTAACCTCTCATATTTGTTGCCTCATACCACCTGCCATTGAGCTAAGGACATGCATGATATAGGAAAACGCCCAACACGTGCAAAAGTTCGTCAACCTTCTGGATGAAGCTGCTGAAAAATGTAATATTCACACTTTCGACGAGTTTCCGGAAGCTGAGGATGTTACAATGGCTGAATGGGTGGCCCAAAAAGGCCTCGCGGACAACCCGGCTGTTACCGCCACTTGCCGATTGCTGTGCTCCGCAGTCGTTGGCCGTGAGCCAGAAGAAATTGGAGCACATTATTTCTTGGACTACATCAAATCAAGCTACGGATACGTGAGTGTCGTAAGCGAAGGCGATGAAGGCGCTCAGTCACTCAAAATCAAAACCGGTGAGCCTCCTCACTAAGCCTTGTTTGTTCGATATTGACCGTTTTGCTTAGGTACTTCATCTATCGTTGATGCTCTGGCAAATACGCTGCCTTCTGGATCTGTGATGCTTCACAGCCCGGTTGACAGCATCTCCCAGTACACCGATAACGAAGTCCATGTCACAACCAGCAGCGGCACAATCTACAAGGCTAAAAAGGTCATCATGGCCATCCCAACAAATACATACGTAAACATACAGTTTACTCCGCCACTGCCATCTGCAAAGAAAGCTCTCGTCACCAGAACAAAACCAGGTGTTTATGCAAAGGCCATCTTGACCTACTCCTCGCCGTGGTGGCGAGAGGTCGGTCTTTTGGGCAAGTTTGAATCCGTGATTGGCCCCATTTGTTTTAGCTGGGATGTCAGTGACATTTCGAAGAAGCAATATAGCCTGGCAATATTTGTTGCCGGTAGGGTCGCCACCGAGTGGCACAAACTGGATGAATTAGCGCGAGAAGAAGCCATCATCGAGCATCTGGCGACGCTTGTGGGTGAGACTTCTTCTCTTGCAGACAAAGCCCGCAATATCCTAGAATTCAACATGGTAGAATGGACAAAGGAAGAGTATATCGGTGGTGCACCGACCAGCGTTTTGGGCCCCGGTATGCTTAAAAAGTATGGGGCAGTGCTCAGAGAGCCCGTGGGAAATATTCATTTTGGCGGTGGAGAGACGGCATATGAGTGGAAGGGGTATATGGAGGGTGCTATTACTGCTGGACAACGAGCCGCCAAAGAGGTCGTTGATAGATTAGCCACTCAAGACTAGATCCAAGTATCTAATACGTTATATGCTCATCGGACTCCCTAGTTAGCAAACGAAGATTGTAGATGCTTTATTAGACGTCAATTTAATTTCTCTAATAACATGGTGCTATGTGCTTTGCCGCTGGTGTGGAAAAGATAACAAAAGCCTTAACTTGTAAATAACGCTCATTGGGCGAAGAAGATTAACGTGTAATATGATATTAGATAATTTTGCACATAGCGGACATGACGTAGCACTGTGCCGCTGGCCAAGTACAAGTAATACGCCAATGTAAATGGAGAGTTGGATTGATAAGGAAAAAACAGGAAGAATTGTGACACGTTTTATTTTTTGGTAGCCCACTTGTTATGTCAGCCGCCTTTCAGCTACAGAAGATGACTCGAGGACCATGGTAGTGGCGGTTTGCGTGGAGAAACCAATTCGCAGAGCTTAACAAAAAGACAACCAATATTATAACATAATTATAGTCTTGCACACGTTAGCTTTCCTCTTCTCCTCTTTTAGTCATTTCTGAGACCATGGACTAGTGTATGCGACAAACTTACTCATTGTACTAGCGGACACCGGCAGAAATGGTGGCAGGAAGAAGAAGGCCATTGACGTTGAAATCACGACTATTACCCAAATATTCACGAGCCAACCAATCCACCCTCGTAGGCGGAAAGTTCTATCTCGAGGTAAGAACTCTTCAGACCTTTGGCGGTAGATGAGAAGTATTGTGGGCATTAAGTAGGACAATTGTTGAAGAACGACGCAAGAGCCTATTATCGCGTTGAAGGCTATCGCCAACAAAAAAACGTGTCAGCATTCGCATATATATCATGAGTATTATGAACATCATCCTCGTACCGGTAGAAGATGCCAGATAGATGCATCCACACAGGGCCATTGATGCTGTGTTAAATATGAGTGATGAAATAGGAACGTCAAGACGAGGGTGCACTTTCTGAATGACATTGGAGAACATGAGTGCATTATCTTTTGCCAATGCCCATATTAACCGGGAAGCTGTTTGGAGCACCGCATTCAGAATGAAGAACGTCATGCCAATACTCAATATGAGAACGGCGACTGCTCCGGCATCCGAACGGAGTGATTGCCGACTTAGCTCAAACGGCAAGAATCTATTATCTTCCTTAGTAAAATAGCATAATATTCATCTGAGATGAACAACAAACCCATCGAAAGCCCGGATGGAGTCTAAATCCACGATGGTGTATAGAACTGCGATAAGATACGCAAACGATGTCAAAAATCCAATACCGACCGCGCTTAAACAAGCCTGCGGGACGGCAACCCGTGGATTAGGCACTTCCTCTGCAAGATGTAAAGCAGCATCAAGGCCCGAATAGATAAAACATGGAGTGAGTAGGCTGGTAATGAAGCAAACTCCATCGGGCCAACCTGTTTGGTTGATGAATGTAGTCCAAACGAATTGTGAAGATGCTTTTGGTGAGGATAGGATAAGAATAGCGAGGAACGAGCCAAAAAAGACAGAAATGCAAAGAAAGACTGCTCAGTGTAAGTGCGGGAATCAGACCAACTAGAGAAAAATGTATTGTCGTTGAAGGGCGAGGCTTACATCCAATGAAATGTGTAACTGGAAGCTTTTTCAAGGCCAGTAGATTATAAATGAATATAATCAAGCCAAAAGACTGGTAAAACAGGAACTGGTGCCATGGGTGTGGGATGAAATCTGGATGATAAAACATGATCAATGTCATAAGCTCCTCGCTAAAAATCATGTTGACAGCTGCACCAGTGGCAATCCATGAAAAGTTTGTAATCATGCCGCAAGCATACGACAAGCTTCTGTAGAACTTGCTTGGGGCAAGTATAGAGACAAAGTGATACTGCCCTCCTGCAGTAGGGTATACACTGGCCAGCTCTGCTAACGTTAGAGCTATGCAGCCATAGAGGCTAGAGCTTAAAAGAAGCCCGTAAACCAGAGCGACAGGACCTCCTTGAAAGAGAGAGATGTTGAGGGTTCCGGTCAGCCCGGCCCAGCTATTGCAAACGTTGAAAGCAATCGCAATCAAAGCCCATGGGCCAATATTTTTGGTCATTTCAATTGTTTCTCCATTTTGAATACTGACATGCGATTCAGAGTGCTCCGGGGAGGTATTTACAGTGATACCACTGTTGGACGACCCATCTAAAGTATAGTTAGGATTCATTTACTTCATATAATGGTGGCAGTTTCTGAGAAACTTACGTAGTTCTGAGGGTAATGGGGTCGTTTTGTTTTGGGCGTGATTTGCTTTGAGCTTGCCTTTCTCCATGATACCGTGTTGAGTTGCTCGATGAAAAGATTGATAGTCCAGAAGTGGTATTGCAGAGACTGGCAGTTAATGATAGGAAGAAGAATAACATGAATCACAATACAAGAGCCCCGGGATCAGAAGGCAGAAAGATCGATCTATGACTAAGTTTAGAAAGACTCAACGCCATATTTATCTCCATGCCGAAATGCATCCAAGCCGCGATATGTGATACCTAGTAAAACCCCTCCACGTCTTGTTTAGCATAGCGCATCACCCTGGAAGCTCCACGTACATAGGTATACGATAGCACCTGCAAAGATGCCGTATCATCGCAAGCATGCTTCATACTGACAAATTCATCAATCAACATCTTCTGGAAATTTTATTTACACTGTGCTCTCCTTCATAGAACTCTTGCATCATGAGTTGGTGTATCCGACTGGCAAGCGGTTGCCTCCATGTAACCACTCTCCGCACTTCCCCGCGTTATGGCACCGGGTCGACAGAAACTAAGGAAATGAAACCAGCAACTGCCGGACTAGTGCAGTCTGATAAGCCAGTTGTGAGGAGTAAGCCAAACAAGGTTGGTGGGTGGTGGTATTTCAGGCAATCTGATCAACACACTGCCGAAACTAGTGGAATGCAGCGCGGCAAGATAAGATAAGCCAGTCTCGACAGCCAGCATGCGTATGCCATTACCAAGCCACTGCTTCAACGATACGGATAGGAGCAAAGGAAGTCTCGGGCTCCGCGAATTCCATGTTCCCGAGTGATGAACTCGTAATTTGTCAGATGGAGATCTTTTAACACATGCCTCGGTTACGGTTGTGAGTTACTGGGGACGGTTTCGAAGAATAAATGATTAATACATAGCTTGGGGTATATGAAGCAAACCATATTAATGAACCGACAATTAATCCTCTTTGGAACACTAGCTCTGAGATCATACTATTTTGCCTCTTGAAATATTTTAAAAACTCATACAATGCTTGTACCGTCAAAACCCCGTGGATATGAATCCTCGAGCAGCACTTTCTATCCAGTTGTCATACTGGGCGCTGGCATGGGAGGGATCGGAATGGCATGCCAGCTGAAAAGCAAGCTAGGAGTTGATCAGTTTCGTATTTTTGAGCGCCAGTCCGGTATTGGAGGGACGTGGTGGATAAACAGATACCCTGGTGTCGCGTGTGACATGTAAGTCTTTCCTCGGCTGAAGCTGTCGCTAATCCTGTCGGAATTAATGGAGTTTATCGTGTAGTCCAGCCATATTCTATTCATTTTCGTTTTATCAGAACCCCAATTGGTCATCGTTCTTCCCCACTGGGGAAGAAATATTACGTTATCAGCAATCTGTCGTCGAAAAATATGAGCTCATTGACAAGATACAACTCAATTCTGATGTTGAGCATTGCCAGTGGGATGACTCCAAGAACGAATGGGAAATCACTGTACGCCACTTAGTACCCGGTATGGGAGAGCTATCTGCGGCAGAACGGCAAAGAATGGCAAATATTCAGGGCGCCAATGCGGTCTATGTCTCGTCAGAGAGAGTGCGTTGTAAAGTCCTTGTGAGCGCGGTTGGGGGTTTAGTAGAACCGCGCGGCTGGCCCTCAGACGTTGAAGGTCGAGAGACATTTCAGGGTGAAATTTTCCATTCGGCAAGATGGAATAAGAATGTTGACCTCGCCGGAAAGAACATTCTCGTGGTAGGCACAGGCTGCAGCGCGGCTCAGATTGTTCCCAAGCTCCTCACGGAGAGTGGTGCCAAAAAAGTGACCCAAGTTATGAGAGAGGCACCTTGGGTTGTTCCAAGATTGACACCGCCATTGGGAGAGGAAGGCTGGAACATGTTTGCGCCAAAACTATTCAGGGTTGTACCAGGTTTGATGGACTTGATTCGCAAAATTGTGGCTGTTCAGATCGATGCCACTTTTGCGTATTTTGGGTCATCAGAATCCAGCCAACGGGCGCGAGAGAAGCTGCAAAAGGATCTACTTATTCACCTTCACAAGACAGCACCAAAAAAGGTCAACTTTCCCAGACATCAAGGCCACGTGTTGTGATTAGCACTAATGCGTTTATTCCTCAGTACCACCAAATTCTCACGCCCAATTACGATGTGGGCTGCAAGCGCCGAATATTCGATACCGATTGGTACCCAAGTCTAGCGGATCCTCGCCTCGAGCTCACTACTCTGGGTCTCAAAAGCATAAACAACAATACTGCAATTCTAGCGCCATCACAGAAGACACATCCATCGGAAGCCAATCAAGACGAAAGAGAAATACCCTGCGACGTTATTATCCTTGCCAACGGGTTCGAAGTAAGTAGGTGGTTCCACCCACTAACAGTTGTCGGCCTAAACGGAGAAAGTTTGGGCACCGTCTTTGATAGCAGAGGGGGGCCTCAAATGTACAAAGGGACTGCTTTAGATGGGTTTCCAAACTTCTTTACCTTATTTGGTCCCAATTCCTTTAGCGGACACTCAAGTGTCATCTTGGGTCTGGAGAATCAGATTACCCATTCTATTCAGCTAATCCGTCCACTATTGCAAAACGAGATTTCCAAGATAAACTTGAAGAAAGAAGCGGCACTGTCATACAACCACGCAATACAAGGCGCTTTGAAGAATATGGTTTGGAATAGTGGCGGGTGTTCGAGTTGGTACCTCTCCAGCGATGGTCACAATTCAGTGAATTATCCGTGAGTTGATACCAAGAAAAGATTCTAATGGGCTAGCAGCTGACATATATTGGGTAGACATAGCATGTTATGGCAAACTTGGACTTGCCTCTATCCTACATGGTCCGATTGGAATATTTCATGGACTTGGCAAGGTCGCAGAAAGATGAATGTCCGAAGATGCCAGCGACTCGCTATAGTAGTCGCAGTTGCATGCTTGTTCTTCAATAAAGAATGGCTAAACGTGTTTTCAAGATTGAAAAGTAATAAGAACTGGAAGATGTATTAATTAGAAACTCAATAGCAAACCAGCAGGCTGGCTCCATTATCGTTTACTGTGGGATATGTTGAAACATTGCATTACTCACGTAATACTAGGCCCCCACTACTACCAAAAAAAACACCTGTGAATTGACTCAAGTTTAATGAATTCTATCTCTATACTATCAACTTCTAGATACTCTAGATCACCTAATCTAGTTCATTAAAATGTATAACTTCTGGCGCATATGTGATATTGCCATTTACATTTCCACCGTACGTTAGATAGCCTTCCACATCTAGCTCACCCAACTTCATGATATCCTCTGCGTTGCCATGCACCCAAACTGTCTGCATGCCTTGAATCATATGGTGTATAAGGTGGCAGTGAACCATCCATACACCAGGCTGATCCACGCGAAGCCTCCACGCTCGCCATCCCTGCTTCTGGTCTGGAGCTGTCGTTGTAGTGTATCGATAGAGCATGGTCGTATCCCGACGGACGGGCGTCGTCCCCGCCAGCTGCTTCTCCATTGTATCGGCGTCCCATGCTCCATCTCCGCCGCCGATATCCCAGTAGTGAGAGCCATGAGCATGCCAGGGATGGGTATCGAGTGACCCGCCAATATTGGGATTCACAGACTCGGCTGCACCGTATTGCTGAAAAACGATATCAATGACTTCTCCGAGGAGAGCAGGGTAGGTTTTTGTTTGAGGGTCCAGTCCATTGTTGGCTAAGGCAGCTTCGTAGTTTGGCAAATATTGAGTTTGGTTTTCGTAAAGAGCAACCAAGTATGGCTCTGATGGGGTTGTATGAGGCACGGGATCAGATCCATCTTCAGTCCAGGTGTTGTTATTGAGTGACCACAGGAAATAGCCATTTGCAACTTGTTGAATGTTGATCATGACGCGCCGAGTGACTTCGGACGATGATGGAAAATCGTCTTCGACTTGAAGCGGCTGTAGTTGGTAGTCGAGGTAGCCATTAACCGTTGGTGGAAGCTTGATGGGAGAAGTCTTGGGATTCTTATGCGTGGGAAGCCTATTTATGCCCAGAAGCCCACATTGGTTAGAATACCGAAGGATCGCGTAGTTTGTTACCACAGCGGTTCTATCGCGACTTTCCAACTGAACGTAATAGTCAAGCTTGCCCAGCTTCCTAAGTTCATCACATGACTTGGTTTTGAGTAATGCATCGTATCTCTGCCCTGAGCCCATCTGCAGGACGCTCACATTTTGAGGTTTGGTATAACCCCCGTCCGCGGCAATAATATCAAGCTCAGTATGATCTTGGAACCCAAATAGAGCAAGTGACAATGCGGTTGCCGCAACAAATCGAAATCGATAGGTCTTCCCTGGATCAACCTCAATGACACTAAGAGCTGCAGAAGACGGGTCAACGATGCCATAATTGCTTATGCCTTTCCCGTTGATCAGCCATCCGTTGGGCTCTCCAGTCCAAACGAGAGGGTTAGACTCCAATCCTTTGACAACCTGTTGGTCCGTTTGGTTCCAAAATTCTTGAAGGAAAACGATTCTCTCGCCGTCTGTTTCGTAGGGCGGTGACTGAGGATCCTGTACGATAATGGCTCCCGTCGCAGTGCTTGGTTGAAAGCCGACATGTGAGTGATAAAAATAGGTACCAGCTGATCCGTTTGGAGCTTTGAGCTCGTAGTCGAAGAAGTGTAGGGGCGGGATGGGCCACTGGCTGGCAAGCGGTGTTCCATCAGAGAATGGGTAAGCTGCTTGAGAAAGTCCGTGCCAGTGCTGATATCAATTAGTAATAGTCAAGATTAACGTGACAGAAGCATGACTCACGATTGTAAGATTTTCGTCTTTCATATTGTTGTAAACTCGGATCCAAAAAATTTTGTCTTCAGGAAGATAGAGTGTTGGACCTGGTACAGATCCATTCACGAGGGTTGAATACCGTTCGAGGCCTCCAATTCCTATGTTTCCTTGAGTGACAGTGAGAACTGCATCTGGTATAAAAGATTCATCATGAGTGTGCGTCTGTAGCGCCACTGCAAACGCAGCGAACGAAATTAAAGAGAGGCTTTTCAGTATCCAAGCCATGGCTTAGTGTAAACAACAAGATACAATGCTTTAAGGCTGAAGATTTTTTTTGCTTCTCATTTTGGATTTTCTTCTATTATTATATACCAAAAAAATAGCCCCCATCAGCTTCACACATTACACCCATTGTAAGCTGGACACAGTCATGGCATGAAGGATCGCGGTCAGCCTTCTCAAAATGCCGAACCGAGAAGCCCGATAGTTACTATTTTCCTGATTGTCCGACTATTGGATCGCGTCTCGCCTGTTGAATCGCGTTTCGCCTGATCGACCAAGAAAGCTACATGTCACAAAACATTCGCCACGAATCCTTTGACGCTTAATTAGTCAATCTCCTAAACTGCGACGGGGTTACTGGTTATTTCAGCGTGACGTAAATCCGAGACTCGGTAAATTACACGGTTCTCTACAGCAAGTTACCAAGCAACTTTTGCCGCAGCAAAAATAGACGATCTTCAAATTAGTTTGAAAATACGTGTATTTACATTCTGAGTACTAGAACCATAAAAGTAAGTTTATGTAGCATTGACTTTTGCTAACTCGTGTGGCGGACTTCGCTAATATCGGGCTTTTGTCAGGTACACAGCCCAACCTAAAATTAGCACGGATCTAAGACCCGCGAAACTACATGTAGCATGATCTACCTTTTGAAATACTGAAGTAAAAAAATTGTAAGCGTAATTTCTGCTACAGAATGGACTGTTTGAGACGTGCCTTGTCTTACTAAAGCTCTCTGTGCTGGTTTGTAACCGTGGAACTGTTATACCAATGAGATGCGCAAATACAGCAACTGTCTCGGTAAATTCGTCGCAAGCCTCCGGGATATTACGCGAATACAGGGGCGGTGGCTCTTCTAATCTGGATGCCATTGACGGTCGCGATTTTTCTCAAGAGTCCCTTCTATACATCAACAACATCGAGATCAGCTCTTAGACTGCCAACGCACTCTAAAGGATTGCACAGTCCGCAAGACTGCAGCGTCCGCTTCCTGATTGCCTCCACCTTGACGTAACGGGCCGCTCCATCAACTCCCTTAGCCTTATGGTCCAGCAGCTACATCCAATAACTAAGCTGTTGCTCAAGATTCCTCCAGAAACTACCACAGAAGCTAAATCTTGAAGTAATGGTACAGATCGCTTGTGAGCTTACAGGATTGTATTGTTAATCGCTCTGCAGCTAGTTCGTCTGTGGCCACCACCGCGAGAATGACATCGGGTGGTATATTTGCCTTTTCGACTTATGTTGCGCTTTAATGCCTATGCTTTGTGTTAGAGATTGCATGTTCATTACCCTATACATTTATTTTAAACGAATGCGAAGCTATCTTCGAAACAATTGATGTCATCTACGTAGTTGGTGGACAGAATGCTGCAGCAGATAGGCATTGTAGATTCCGTCACTAGAATTACCGTGCTTTCTGTGAATCTGACTTCAATATTCTCAAAAACGTTTGTTCTTTGAACAGTTAGAATTACATTCTGGTGCCTGACAGGTTGAGCACCGCGCCTGAATGTCCCAGCCTACTCTTTCACCCATGCAGGCGTAAGTTAATACTTGCTACTAACGTCTCAAAGTTGCTATAGTGGACTGGAAGACAAGGTGCAAAGTAACGACCGCCCGAAGTGGGCGGTCCCAATCCAATATCTGCCTAGGCTCGGAGATTTTTGCGCTATAGAACATGCGTGCATACTTGTAAAGTTCTAAAATCCCTTACTCTGCAGGTAATTGCCCTGTAGCAGTATATTTCCTTGTGATTGTGCAAACGCTTATATGAAATTGTGATAGAGACTATACATCTTGACATTGCCATAAACTTTCGTAAGTCGCCCTGAATATGAGTCCTAGTCGGGATGTCAACGGATTGGACGTTGGCTGGCTACCTCGGAGCCCTGGTCGATTTCTGAATCTCAATTGCACGTTCGGCTTTGGTAGCAGCTGACCACGTGCCGTTGGAAATGTTCTTCCTCCTTGACAGGATTGATGCATATGATAATGACTATACTGAGCTCTGTAATGTTCTACGGGTTATGGCCAACTGTCTATCCATTAAAACGTGTGTCGAACCGTCCGTAGGCTGTATTAGAAAGCGGCTTCAGTAATAATAGCAAAGTGGAATTGAATACTCAAAAACTCGTTGAGAATAGTATCTAAGAACTGGCAGGGAATCAGACTCGGATTTATTTTGGGTGAGCTGCGACTAAATTTAGAATTGTAGACTCTAAGGAATCTGAGCTTACAGGGTAGACCGTGACCTAGGATGGTACTGTGTTTCTTTGGATCTTCGGTGACCGAGATCTTGACATTGTATTTCAACGAGGGGAGGAATCAAGTGTGCTACCACAAGTATGAGCCCCAAATGTCTCCGAATTGGCACCACTTGGAGCATTTTCGCTCGCGATACTACGTCTGTCTTCAATATACTATTAGGCACTCTGATGTTAATGAACTCTCTAGGCAACGCCTTGTAATCAAATCGACACATATTAGCCATTGAGATTTAGTATTTGGCGCAATAAGTGTTGACAAGAACAAACAATAGTATAAATTGAACGACTACTGGAAAGGATACGTAGGGGCTGATTGTTGTATAACAAAGTGCCACAAATGCAGAATCCTTTTGCAGTATATTTGCTATTACTGAGCTATTTCTTCAAAAGATAGTATAAAGTATAACAGCCTTTATAAAAACAGTTTCAAAGAAATCCGAATTAGCAGTGATAGATACTCCAAGTAGTCTAAGAAAAGAAATAGTATCAGTATATGAATTCAGGCACACTGAGGAGTGAAAGTCTTACAATGCAATTCTCAGGAACAATTCGAGCTGGACAAAGCATCTCTCCTGAAGCACCGATATAGTCACCAGACCTGCACTTGTTGATAGAATCCCGTGTGAGGTCAGCGATATCCAAGCCACCAATATAGGCAGTAGCCAAATCGAAGTGGTTAGTGGCCTCGAAGCAACATGTCCCAACCCAGGCGATGGTGCGAGAACCGGAAGCGGAATAGAGATCCCACTCTTCATCTCTTGACATCAAGACGTTATACATATAAAAGCAGTCAAGAATTAGGGGAGAACCACCGCTGGTAGCGCAGCCAAAGCTGGAATCACCGCAGAAGCCTTGCGGGGTTCTAGCAGAGAGAACGCTTGCCTTTGTGGTGTTGAAAGAAGTTCGTGAAAATCCTACATCTTTTGGGTCGTATCTGGAGAGGGCCGCATCTAACTCGGCCGGTCCAAGGAGGTGATTAAAGTCAAAGTTGAGACTAACAGACGTGGTGGCCTGATTGCCAGATTCTGGCGCGGGAGCTGCAGTTATGGAGGTGGCAAGCAGCGTCATTGTAATGACAGCTTTAAGGAAACGAGCAGCCATGTTTTTTAGCTGGAAAGTCTGACAAATAAATGTTGACAATATAAGGGCCCTTGAATAAGGAAAGATAGCTTGGATTATGGACTTTAATCAACAATGAAAGTAAAGCGTATCTGAGAACTACTCGAAGCAAAGCAATAAACATTCTTTTTATACTCGTCGAAAACACCATTAGAAACAGAGAACACCATTAAAAATCTCATTAATATCTCAAAGTTCGTACTAAAACTAATAGTCTGTAAATTCCAATATGCGACTTAATCCTCCTGCAATGAAAATGGCAGAGCGTCTGAGTTATAATAGAGCTATCATTGATCAGGTGTTCTGCGTTGACAGTCCCATTGGTAGAGTTTCGCACAAAGGTTCTAGAATTATTATCGAAGGATTATAGTTAATTTAGGGTCGTTACGCACCTTCCTATCTCAGGTAGTGTTACCGAAAAAATGGTGATGCCTATGAGCATTCTCCACTGAAGGACGAAAGGATTCAGCTCCTACAGTATTTGTATGTAGCTAACGTAGGCTACTGGCCTCTAGATGATAGACTCCAGCGAATCCGTAGCAGCAACAGCACGATAGCCCAACAAATAAAGTCATTCTATACACCACCTGCGTTCTTCTGGATAAGCCTAGACTAAGAATAGAGTACTGTTTTGGGAAAGGACAGTGATTTACAATAGAAGATGGGTAGCTGCGAAAGCCCTCATCAGAAGCGCACCAAAGTCCGCGTACTTCGATAGACGACATAATTGAAGTTTTTCACGGGCTTAGCTACCTATGTATTCTTTCTGTTTGCAGACTTTCCATCGGAAATTCGCCTACCAAGTCATGTGTTCGCTCCATAGCTGCACCTCTCCCTCTCTTACGAAGATGCTAGGCCGTCGTTTTAAGGCCAGATGCATCTCATATCGCGTGTAACGCTTTATCATGAAAGATCATTATATAAACAGATACTGGCAGCTCAGTGTGTAAGATCCTAGGTATGAGATGGCTAGTACGAGTATTAAATAACACAAGGAGCTCATGGCCGGCCGGCTGTGCTTATTGGCAAATCGCAATCCAAAAATAGTCACGAATCCAACGATGATATACGAAACGGACAATCTCCATTGGCGGAGAGGAGGAAAAATCGCAACATGAGAAATCTGAGTTGGAACTCCCGTAGCTAAATTAATCGCGCAAAGTGGCAATCAAGGTAGAAGTCGACAAGTTTGAGGACCGAGGCATAGGCGATGATTGAGGTATCAGAACCGTGGCAAGGGCGAGAGTATTGGGTCTAGTCCTCACCAACGCTGGGCTGGGAATAGCATGGCATCAGGTGCAAACTGAGTTGTGGCCGATAGCTAACGCTGAAGGGACGGCAGACGAAGACATCATCGAGACATCGTTCAAGACGGAGAGCTATAAGACCGCATCAGTCAACGCGGCAGTCACGCTAACCAATTGCAAACCCAAGGGGGATACTTGAAGACTGACTGTTCACCTTCATCACGTGTATTAATGAGTCTTGAGCACAAGTATCCCTCATGTCTATCTACTGTTATGGACGCTTCATAAAATAGGAATGGCATCACCACGTTAAGTGAGCGGTGAAGATACAGTGGCTCGCTTTACTTGTAGATACGCGTGTTACAGCACACTGTGAACCCAACACTGTCCCTTGGGTCTTTTCTGCGGCGAGTTCCACCGTCTACGCTGTGGCGTACATAAGGCGCGTCTTACACCAACAGGCGGGGCCGCCTCTACTGTAGTTGTGGGCCTACAGCATCCTGGTGATTCTAATGGTTGAAAGCGGCGAATTGCATTCAATCTCTTCATAATCTCAACATCGGAATAAGAGTCTGCGGCATTCCGTTCAGCAAGCAGCTTGAACGCTGCCAGTGTCTCTCTTCCCAGTACAAGGCCTATACGGCCAGTTGGGTGATGCCGTCAAATGTCTCCAAAGCCGGATATTAATAGAACCGGCCGTCAATACACGCCAATCCTTGACCGCGAGGCGAAGAAACTTCCATCTCTTCTTTGACGCTCAAAAGTCATGGACCAAGAAAAGCCTTCACAGCGAGAGCTGGGTACTTCGTCGCAGTTGGCTTCAACCCAGCTTACGACCAACGAAGCAATTGACTGGGCTCAGCATCCCTCCAATCCCTTCAATTGGTTGTTGTGGCAAAAATGGACAACCATGGGCATAGCATGCTGGGTTACATTTATCGTTGGACTTAATGCCACCTCCATCACGACAGCCTCAGCTCCGATTTCATCCAAATTCCACTTGTCGAATAGCGCTCTCGACGTCAGTTTTTTCCCTTCGACCGCATGGAATGCCGCAGCGGCCGTCGCTCCCTTGGTCACGCTGCCTTTGATGGATACATATGGAGTGAGGGCTGGATATGTGGTAAGTTTGACCCTACATGTTTGACCCTGTTTATGCCGCCATATATTTATATGTTTCTACTTTAGACATACTTCATTTTATTCTGCATCTTCCTCATACCGCAAGCTTTAGCTGAAAACTTCGCAACCCTTGTGGTCTGTCGCGTGTTTGCTGGTATTTTTGGCGGTACTGTGCAGAATGCAGCTGATGGCATTGCTGCCAACATGTTTCCATCTCACTCCGAACGCGCGTTGCCCTTGACTGTGTACGTACTTTCGCTTCTTTTAGGTGTTACAATGGGCCCTGTCTTGGGCGCCGTGGAGGAGCCGCTGGGATGGCGCTGGTAAGTTGAGTCTAAAGATCATGACGCTGGAATGTTTTGTTAATTGCTGATAGGATCATCTGGATTCAACTCATCATCTGTGGAGCATCTATCCCTCTTGTCGTCGTATTTATGAGAGAGAGTAGAGGCTCCGTTATCCGTAGCCGTCTTCATAAAGCTGGCATAGTGGCTGATCAGGATGAGATCAAAGAATCTCCGGCGAGGATTCTCACGGAAACTATTTTCCGCAGTGGTGTACTTCTCACTACGGAGCCGACAATCATATCCATGACCACCTGGTCTTCATTCACATTCGGCCTTATTTTTATTTCAACACAGTCGGTACCACTTGTCTTCACAGATATTTACGGCTGGTCCGATGCCAGTGGTGGTATTGTGCAAGTCAGCATTGGGATAGGGCAGCTTTTAGGGTTCGCAGCCTGTTTGGTACAGAACAAGGTCTACACTCGTAGTGCAGCCTCTAACAAGGAAGCAGTGGGAGCGCCATTACCCGAGTCTATTTTGTACCTTTCAATCCCTAGCACGGCTATTGCTCTGGCCGGTGGGCTTTTCATGTACGGCTGGGGCATTTTCCAGTCTCACTGGATTGTCCCGGCAATAGGATTGGGTCTTACTGGGTTTGCAATTATCACAGTTGTGCATGCTGTTACCATATACGTTACCGATGAGTATGCAGCTTGTGCCGCGAGCGCCATTGCAGCCGTGGCATTTGGGGAGAATCTCTTTGCAGCATTTCTCCCGCTGGCTGCAAAGCCGATGTACTTGCGTTTAGGTTTCCAGTGGGCAAGCACATTGCTAGCATTTGTTGCGTTGCTATTGACGTTGGCGCCGATCATGATTGTATTTAGAAGGCGTGGTGTTAGACACAAGCCCATTATGGTCAGCAGACAACCTGATGTGCGGCCTGGGCTATAATAGAACAACTAGCGAGATTCTCATATCGATGTTGCAAGATGGCCAATTGAGTGATGAATCGAAGTACAGGCGGCATGAGCTCATCAAGTTTCTCAGCCAGCTGATGTAATTATCGTTTGTCAACCGCCAACACTCCTTGTTCTTACTGTTCCCTTTTTCCCGTTGCAGCGCAGCAGTTATAGATAGTGGGCTTACCTGATCAAGTGGGTCATGGTGGCTTTACCAAGAGTCCGTCGTTTCCCAGATTTGGTCGCTTGATTCCAGTTCCTCTGCATCATTAAAGTAGCATCGCATGAATACCAGTCTACACTGTCATTTGACATATCTATTTCCTCAGTCTGATACAGTCTATATGAAATGGCAGGAGATGAGAATGAATTGGTCCAGCCTTGCCACGACCCAGACCTCGACACTTTTCTACCCCCGGGGTATCAGGATCAATCGCCACTCCTAGAAGACGACATCACACAACGCAGCATCTCGACTCAAATCCCAAGCGCACAATTTTCGGAGCAACCTTACGATTCAGTAACTAAAGATCACCTAGAACTTCAATACTGCCTCAATGATGAACTTTGGGGCTCTGACAATGTGGCATCAGCGGCGCTATGTGCATCTCGCACTGTAGCTCCAGTGGATGCTAGTTCTCGCGTGCCTGATCTGCCATCAAGTCAGAGCGGTTCAGTCGCAAATGAAGATGTCTCTCAAGAAAACGTCACACCTCTACTAAATGAGTCGTTTACGACGCCACCAATACTGTCTTATACGTGTTGGGAATCGGGCATCCAATCTGCACAATCTGACTTTGGCCATTCCAATCTCAATGCGAATCCCCCAAAGATAGGCACACGCTTCTCTAGAGAATCATCCAAAGTATTAACGCGGTGGTTTGAGAGTCACTATAATTATCCATATCCAAGCAAAGAAGAAACAGAAACGCTGCAGGATCAGACCGGCCTATCCAAAACGCAGATCAAAAACTGGCTCGCCAATACCAGGCGGCGAGAAAAGATGCACCAGAGCGTACAGTCCTCGCGGAAGGCAACACCTGGATTTAACTCCAATAACGTGCCCATAGATATCCCCAGACGACCCGATACACCTACAGTCCGGACAAAGAATGCTCACCAGGCCATGGGGCCTCTTGAACGCTGGGTTGACTCACCTCCAGAGAGTGAGCCTGCAACGGTCACTGCTATTGCCAAAGCAGTCCAGCGTGCTACGTCGTCACAAAGTAAGTACCAGAACGGTTTTTAGACAAAGATAACAGACAAGAATGCACACTGACATGAGTCTCAAGGTGAGCTATTGTCGAAAGCCATAGACGACGGGTCCGGTCACTCTATCAACGAATCGTCAGACAATAGCTATGGCACATCTAGTGGTAGCTCACTTACCTCTATATACTCATATGGATCCAGTGACTCTTTCACGGGGATGCCGGCTCCTGTGCGTAGCAAGTCACGACGTCGAAAGCGCAGGTTGATTCCAAGGCCGAGGAGATCTCTTATGGGCAATAAACAGCATCCATTTCAATGCACATTCTGTGCGGAATCATTCAAAACTAAATACGACTGGCAGCGGCATGAAAAGACTCTGCACATACCTCTTGAACGATGGATGTGCTCTCCAGATGGACCTCGGGCCATCAACGGCGAAAACGGCCAGCTGGTCTGTGTCTTCTGTGGTAAACCAGAGCCGACCGATGTCCATATCAATAGCCATAATCCGAACTCTTGTCAAGAACGAATATTTAATAGAAAAGACCATCTTAAACAACATTTACACCTGGTACACAAATCGAAGCTAGTAGACGCGGTTACAGAAGGCTGGAAAAAGTCGACTACGATAATTCGATCACGCTGTGGATTTTGTGGAATCCATCTGGATTCGTGGAACGACCGAGTGGAGCATTTAGCTGACCATTTCAAAATGGGCAAGACTATGGCTAATTGGAAGGGTGATTGGGGCTTCGAAGATGCCATTATAGACACACTCGAAAACGCCCTTCCACCATGTAGGACATTTTCCCATATTCTCCCAGATTCTGGTGTAAGCTAATTGTCATAGATCTCCTCGGTGAAGAAAGAAGCAGTCCGTTTCCATTCGAAGCAAGCGACATTTCACCAGAGTCCCCTCGTTCTGCCTACGAACTACTCGTCGTCGAGCTCTCGTGCTTTGTCGAGACTTATCAAGACAGAACTGGGCAGATTCCTGGTAATGACGCTATGCAACTCGAAGCTTGTCGCATCATTTTCGCCTCTGAGATATTGTCGCTGGAAGTAGATACACAGCCTTCGTGGCTGCGTGACTTGATCTTGTCAAACGAGATTATTACTACTCAAGCACAGTTTCTTCCTATACGAACACCATCCGAGGGAAGGCTTCGAACACTCGAGATTAGAGGAAAGAAAACGCTATTCGAAGAATGCCCTCTTGAGGCGCAACTTCATAACTTTGTTCTTACAGAGGCTCTGGTTAATCAGAAAACCATCTCCGATGCGAGTTTACAAGTTGAGAGTCGGAAAATACTCACAGAAATGCAACGAAGCTTACAGTTGTCCTTGTCCGATTTAGTGTACACGTGGTTGATGGCGTTGATACAATCATCCTCGACTAATTGGCTCGATCACTTTAGACAACGCGTGTATCTTCCCGCCCCTCAAAATAGTAGCTCATCTGTACCCTCGACTTTGATCGGCCATTTGGCCCCTTGGACGACGTCTGGCACGATTCTGGACTATCCGTATACTGATACTACGAAGTTTGACACTCTCAGGATATTTAATGAAGAGGCTACCAATGACGGTAGTCGAAATAAGAAAGCTTTGCTTGGGGAGCCAGGTTCCACCTGGTCTGCAAATCCCGGGGCTAGCACGCCCTCACCATCACAGCAATCCTTTACACCCATGGCCCCGACATTGGGCGAAGAGTTCTTCACCCACGGGCCGGTAAGTTTTGGAACAGCGGCTAGTTCTGGTCCAGAGGCAGGCAAAAGCGCGTCCCCTTCGAATCAAGTGGATGCTGGCTCACAGACTCAAAACAATGGCGTTCAGATGGGAGCTTATAGGCTCCATGATCCCAATTTTTACAAGTGGTTGGGTCGAGAGCTGGGACGCTGGGTTACTTCCATCATGTCTCCAAATAACCCAAATTGCCATGTACCGTCCGACAAGGAGATACAGCATCATGCTCGCTTTTTGATGTATGACGAGTAAGTAACTATTCTGATCCATGATTCTCTACCCTGCTAAATGATTTTCAGCGATGATCCGTGGAATCAGACAGTTGCCGATAATCCAGAGTGGTTGCACCGTTTCAAGGTCGGTGTTGGTATTATGACGGATAAAATTTGAACATGGCCCGACCTCGCTAGAAAATGAACAGTGTTGTTACTACATTGACTCGGTTACCGATCACAGCGACTGACTTCTCAGCTCATGTATGTGCCTACAAACTCATTTCGAAGAAATTATACGTTTGGAGCCTCTTGCCCTACTTACTGAGCCGCTGGGGGATTTAAACGCTGCAAATCAGAATATTTCATATCGTTTTGCTTTAGGATGTAACGGAAACATTAAATACCACAGCTAGAAATAAGCTAATAAGTTGCGGCAATGTTGCTTCTTGAAATTGATGTACAAGGATCAATTTTACATATGTATCTAATAGGGCAAATAGTCATGTTTTTGTTGTCGCCAAACTTAGTGGGGCACCACGCTGCCCAAGGCTCTTACGTGCTAGAGGCTCAATAGTTGCAAAAACGCTCATCATTGTCCATAGTGGTCCCCAAGACCAGAAAAAAATCGGAACAGGCTCGGATAGAAGCAGGAGGAAAGATAATAGACTCTTACGCTCCGATCCGTTTGGCGGTGATTCGAACGCTATGTACATGCACCTACAACGGGAGATGCCGCTGAAGCGCCCCGTGGGTAGCTGTAAGACACGCCCTGGAATCACCAACAAGCTATAAAATGCCCCCGTCAATGCCAATAGCTAATCAACTGACATTGAGAAAACGTGTCAATATACGCAGTAGCTTGATTTCTGTTGAGGAGGGTAGCTACTATCTGGATTGTTCTAAGCGCTTGCATAGTAGCTAATTATGTGCATCATTGTTACTCCGGAGAATAATGCCGTCGCTGGTGGTGTCAGCAACAAGTCTGCGCTGCTGGGCTCTTGAGTTATCCTGTACATTATTACTAGTAGTAAGGCATGCGCTATGGAGACTGGCCTCGTTCATTTTTCCATTAAAGTATTAATGGATTAAGTAACAGTAACTATGAGTCTAAGTTGAATTAAGAGATGGCATGTTAATATAAAGTGCTAAAACCAGAACATATGTGAGTACATATCATCACTTCATCACTACAGTTCAACTAAGGCTGATCACTGAAAGTTTTTACCGAAAATTAGCCTCCAGCTTTTAGTTCTCTCGCTGCATTATGCAGCTTGCGCAGTTTATTGTACAGCGTCTTCGCCTCGCTAATGAAGCAATGAACTCCAAAGTCTTCTCCCATGTCCCTCTTTCCACCAATGGCCACCATATTAGGCTTGTCAAGATCAAAGCTGTGCAAGACCATGGAGCAAATGAACTCATGTTGGATCTAGCCGTCCACCAGTTCACAGACAACATTGCATACAACGCGGTGTCATACGAGTGGGGTAATGCTGAGGCGGCAGCCCAAATCCAAATCAACAATCAAGCCGTTTCAATTCGCCAAAATCTTTACGACTTTCTCGAAATACTATCCCAATCTGCTTATCAAGATGAATGGTTGTTTATAGATGCCATATGCATTGATCAAGGCAATATCCTCGAGCGAAATGCCCAGGTTCAGCGTATGGGAGATATCTACCGACAAGCTCGAGTAGTCCTCGTCTGGCTGGGGCCAGCCACGCCGGAGAGCGATGTCATCTTTGACATGTGCGAGACACATGTTGTGTCCGCTGAACATGATGCTTTAGCAACAATCAGCTGGGAAGGAGAGATCGGCGACGCTCTAGACACAATCTATCAACGAAGCTACTGGACTCGACTTTGGATTATTCAAGAGCTGTTACTCGCAAAGTCAATCATTTTCTTTTGCGGTCCAAAGCTTACAACCTGGTCGGTATTCAGGCGTCTCCCGAGATCAGTAAAGGGCATATTCTACGAAGGGGGCTTCACAGGCATGGATATCAAACTTGGGAGCACACCTCGAGGACGCCACGCCCGGTCTTTACTGGGTGCACTAGAAGAGCGGAGTTCCAAGAAAGATCGAGCAGAGCAACAGCTTTATAAGCTGGTTGTTGATTTTGGAAATGCAAAATGTTTGGACAATCGAGATCGTGTATTTGGCCTGCTCGGCCTCGCAGGTCAGAAATCCACTGAGAGACAATCACTAGACGTTCTTGCCGACTATTCGGCAGAGCCTTCTGAACTCTTTGTGCGTCTACTTAGCAATATGCCTCGAGAGCTCAACATCTATGCCGCTCGAGATATTTTCGACATATTGCAGCTTTATACAGATCTATCCGTATTCACCGAAGACGGCCAAATTGTGAATAAAACTTCGGCAACAATCTCAGAGCTGAGCTTCGAAGTCGATTTTGTCCATCTCGGACATCTTAAGCATGTGTCAGCCTCGACATGTGATTGGTGCGAGATGTGGAAAGAGCGCGAAGACGCAAGAGAGAAGGATGCTGAAGCTTCTTCATATCAGGGCTGCGCGGTTCACGAGATTCAAGCCGGTAAATCTCAGACTTCGTGGGCAGCACACAATGTTGGTCCTTATCATGCGGTGTGGCCCAAAGATTGCTGTGTCGTGAGCAAGGATACCAGCGTTTGTGAAGGTGATGACATCTTTGTGCTTATGGGTACAAACCTAGCTCTTATTCAGCATATCGAGAATGAAGCCGAGGTCAGATTTGAACTGGGGTACATGGCGTATACTGGGGACATTGACAGCATAACTACAGCTTCACAGAAGCTCGCAAAATATCTATCGAGGCTCCCGAGGAGGGTTGTAGACCTCGGTTGGCTTACTAACAGCTCAGGCAAGAACCTAGAAAAAAAGATAACGCAGCAATACACATTGACAGATGTCGTGTTAATTGTCGCGCATGCAGCTACTCACCACAACCACTGGAGCCAAGATCTTTAAGATTCTGACTTGGAGAAGTAAATCCAATCATAGGAATAGATATATTTGAAATTGTTATACTGAATTTTTGTGTTCGATCCAAACTATATTATACTCCAAATGCCAAAAGCGATTGGCTACCTACACTTGTAGCTGTGTTAGCTCGGTACCCAGGAAGTCGCTAAGCTCCGCTGGTTTTCTTGCGTAGTCCTCATCATTGTACAAGCAACGTTGGATCCTATTAATATCATGCTGAGCAATCAGACAATCAATCCATTTCATCATGATTTGAAAGAGTGTATGCGGAAGATGCCGAGGCTTCGTGACGTTAGTGCCGATTATCATGCCTCGATGCCTGCCGAGCGCCGACCTCCGACCTCCCGAATACTCGGCGTGCTCTATTTGCGGGTGTAAAGATTCAATTCTCCAGTCCATTAAGCAATTGATCATCGACTATATATGTCTTCTGTTGCCGTTGCATATCCTGTTGTGTCTTACCATCACAGCTACTTCCATATAAATCGCTATACAAATTGAATCGTCTAAAAATGCCTTACTTCGAGGTCCACCACTCTTACCCGCTCACCAGCGAGCAGCAGCAGGAGATAGCTTCAGCCATCACCAATCTACATGCCACCACCTTTACCACCCCATCTTTGTTTGTTCATGTGCAGTTTACAAAATCAGATGAAAGTGGCAGCACCGTTCATTTCATGGCCGGAACTCGTCGCTCTGCGCAGACAAATCGCATTATCGGCATCGTTCGCACCTCAGCCAAGCGAACAAAAGCAGACTTTGATCGACTCGCGAAGCGTATTGAAAATATCTGGTACTCCGCTCTTGGTGTGAGATTCGACGAATCTACCCAGCAGCTTCCACCTAATGAAGAGGGAAAGAGACTTGCCTTGGTGGGATTCACCCCATTACTGCATGTCCGTGAGTGGGGCTTGGGAGCTCCTGAGGCTGGAAAGGAAGGCGAGTGGATGAAAGAACTGCTTCCTTATATGCAGAGAATTGCTGAAGCTGGAAATAAGGATGTGGCCGGTATGTTGAAAGAGTTTGAGGAGAGGGAGGACTTGAAGAAGCTTCTCGAGTAACGGTGTTATGAACGTACCTTCCGTGTATGCAACACGAAACGGAATTTTTCAAGCATTTCTCTCTCGTAAGACTGAAAAGAATATTATTTTGTTCCCTCATCTGCGTGTATCTGTTTGCCTTTTGTTCGAATTTGTGAATGGAATGGTACACCTTGTGTTACTATTGTTGAAGCCAACACTATTGTTGAAGCTAACGAAATGCATCACCCACGCTGTTGTTACTATTATACAAGAGATGACAAGGTTGAATGAAAAGAGTGTCTTTTACAGCAGATTTTTTTTTTTTTTTTTTTTTTTTTCCCTTTTTGAAACCCCCCCCCCCCCCTTTCCGCCCGCCATAGATACCGCTAGCTTGGTGAATGCCTTTTTACTCTAGCATACATAGGTACCTAGACCCAACTCTCCAATTGCGTTGGCGAAAGTATATAACTACGGAGTGCCACAGTGAAGGAAATTGCTCTTAATTCCATGGCGGAAATAGCCATGATGAGAGCCATCGAAAACAGAATCGAGCAGAAGACGGCCACCTACATTCAAGCATTGATGTTTGTGGTGGCATAATGCCCGCTAGGATCGTCGCTGGTACGCTGCCGCGAAGCAGCTTGGAATCTAAGCATGGGATGAGCTAGCAAACATATATTTAGAGCCTTTGTTGGATAACAATGCAGACTAGGTATTTTGACGCATCCTAAACGTTTTGGAAGAGCATCGTCGTTCTAATACCCGTGAACGCTGGCAATACCTAGTCATCGCATGGGCTCCAGTTGGACATGTGGGGAGACTTCATCGAAGGAAGAAGCGGGGGCACCTGCAGCAGCGCAGGGATGATGGACTGGCGGTAGAGGATCGACATGCGAAAGTTTGAAGAACACATAATATTGTCCCCTGAGCATCTGCAATGGGAGCTATGATGCCCGTTGTTCTGCCCACCTATACTTGCTGGTAGGGAGGAAAACTGAAGAGGGCAATTTTGAAGCTCTCTAGCATAGACTAGATAAACAAAGCGTATCCAAGATGCTGCGCTATTGACCGCCCTTTGCGTTGTCAGCTTCTCGCTACTCATCAAAGGAGTATTTGTCGCCTACAGCACGAAGCCGCTGGGCCCTATGAGCAAGATACATGCATAGTAATATACATCCTCACAGGATTCTGTGATAACTGCTGCCTAATACTACACAACACCAGGATCATACGAAATCGCCGCTGTCTTTGGCGTGTCCTTGATTCAAAATCTGGCTGAAAAGAAAGCTCGTCCCAAGCAACGGTGCAGACTAGATCCCAAATGCCGAATCGGCAGATCCGGGGCTGGGACCTGAAGCCACCGAAGCTGGCATCTGACAGGCCCCGCTGAGTCTAGGGCGATGTCCAGGGCTATGCTCTCGGCTGGAGCTGCACCGAGAGGTCTGTCTCATGGTGAGCAGCGCGGAGTTGTTCAACTCCCGAGAAGCATAAAGTAGCAAACATTCACGATCGAACAAGCGACCAAATTGGTCGAAGGAATCCAAGTGCATCCCGCTAAACGCATGTTCAACTCCATCTTGCCCTTGTCGGTCCGACTTACTTGTAGTTGTGCTGGTTGTTTACCTCTGTGTTCCTAGTATGGCAAACTATATATAACACCATCGGAACACATCCTTTAGCATTGTTCATCATCCAACAATCACAATGCGATACAACATTTCTAGGCTATTCGCCTTACTGGGCATTGCGTCCACTGCTCATGCTGTGACCCTTACAGTATCCACTGCGCAAGGCAATGCAACTAGTCCTATCTTGTATGGCCTTCTATATGAGGTTTGTGGTAGGAAATGATCCGCTGGAGGACTTCAACTGATTACTCTTAGGATGTCTATCACTCTGGCGATGGAGGTCTATACTCAGAGCTAATCCAGAATCGTGCCTTTCAAGGCACTTCTGTGTTCAATAACCAGGGCCCGTATCAGACTCTTCAGTATTGGCACACCAGGGGATCGGATACTCTGACTCTCGATAATCAGGCGCCACTGTTAACCAGTGCTCTCCCTTGGCAGATGCGTGTAGATGTCGCAAACGGAGCAACTGGCGCAACTGGCTTCTGGAACGAAGGGTATGCAGGCATGAATATAACAACCGCCACTCGCTATGCAGCCAATTTCTACCTCCGAGGCAATTACAAGGGGCAAATCTTGGCCGCTTTCTGGAGCAATACAACAAACTCTATGCTTGGCAGCACCACCTTTCAAGTCGACCAAACAGAGGCCAATGGCTGGGTCCCTTATGCGCAAACTTTCACCACGCAATTTTCTGCACCAGATGAGAAAAATACGTTCCACCTAACCTTTGATGGTGCCAGTACTGCAGGTCAAAGCCTCCGTTTCCAGATGATTAGTGTTTTCCAGCAGACGTACAAGAACTCAAACAATGGACTTCGGATGGACCTTGCCGAGGCTCTCAATGAACTAGGTGGCAAGTTTCTTCGCTTCCCAGGAGGCAACAACCTGGAAGGAATTGCTTCTCCGTATAGGTGGAAATGGAATGAAACAATTGGGCCAATCATCAACCGTCCTGGACGTCCGGGAACATGGGGCTATGTCAATACCGATGGCCTCGGGCTTTTGGAAATGATGCAGGTCAGTTTCACTCACTGCTTCAAATGCAGACATCAATCTCTGACAAAAGAATCGATAGTGGTGCATTGACATGAATCTCGAACCGTTACTGGCTGTTTGGGGCGGGCTGTATCTGGACGGCGAGATTATCTCCGAAGCAGACATAGGAGCATATGTCGAAGATGTTCTCAACGAGCTGGAGTTTCTTTTGGTAACTTCTTGTCTTCCATATATCTCTCAAGTGTTGTTTCTGATATGTTTTAGGGCCCATCAACCTCACATTGGGGCAGCGTTAGGGCTTCGCTGGGTTACCCAAATCCCTTTACAATCAACTACATCGAAATTAGCAACGAAGATTTCCTCAACGGCGGTATCCCAAGCTATGTCGGTAGGTTTGCGTATCTGCACATTGGTATAGGCTGTACGAGTAACCATCTTTAGGCTATCGCTTTAACGCGTTCCACGACGCCATCAAGAATGCGTACCCGAATATGAAGATCATTTCGTCCATTTGGTCCGGGTATTTCACCAACCCCTCTATGCCTGCTGGCGTCATTCAGGACCTCCATGATTATCTCTCCGTGGATGATATGGTCAGCAAGTTTAATGGCTACGACCACGCCCCTCGCAATCAGCCTGTCCTGGTGGGTGAATACGCTGCCATCTACGACGCAGAGCACACCAACCCAAACCAGCTAGATAACCCAACATTGCAATCGGCAACGTCCGAGGCTGTTTATTTTCTGGGCCTTGAGAGAAACTCGGATGTCATTGTTGGAATATGCCATGGCGCACTGATCAAGAGTCTCCATGACGAGCCAGACAACGTCGCCATCATCAAACACACTCCTAATGCTCTCGTCCGATCCATGAGTTACTACGTATCTAAGCTCTTCTTCACCAACGTTGGCACACAGACCGCCGCAGTCTCTGGGAATGTGGGGTATGGGCCACTGTACTGGTCTGCGACGAAAAATGATGCGGGAACGTACTTTGTGAAGATTGTCAACTATAATGGCGCAGCTTCAACTCCGGTCACAGTGGTCATTCCAGGGAAGACGGGAGTCGCAACTTTGAAGACTGTAACTGCTCCAGATCAATACAGTACCAATTCGCTTGGGAATACGCAGAGTGTTTGGACCGAGACGCAGGTAACAGGATCTGCAGGACAGTATTCGTTTACCCTTACAGGAAACTATGTCAATGCTGTTTTGGTTGTGTAATCATTAGTCGTTTAGTCATTACGAGAATTGAAGGGAGGGTTACATATATCTTCATAAGAAAGTATAACTGGAAATTGGAATCGAGAAAGTTATAAGAAGAGAGCTATTTCAAGTATTGGCAGCAGTTTATCCGCCTAAAAACCCAGTATGTATTGACGCTCGGCTATAGCAGTATGAAGCATAGTAGCCGCTCTCTTGCAGCGTGTTTGGCACATACATATATACCTATGATCAAAAGAAAACGAATGCAAATATCTATTTACCCTAGAGCATCGTTATTTTTAGACCTTTTCTCGTGCCATTTGCGAGTCGGACCGATCCAAGCATGGAGTGCTTAATTACAGCGATTGCTTACTCCAAAGAGGCATCATTGTCCGCCTTGGAGAATCTCGCCCAAATAAGCGCCAATTAGGCCCGTGCTAACTAAACTTCCGACCTCACGCTGTAGATAAAGCGTCGATCCATCCTTTCTGAAGGCATACAAAGCATTCCGTCAAAGTGCTCATAGAGAAAATTTAAAATTGGGAAAAACTACACTTGAAAATTCCAATTTGAGTAATGATTGCGCAAGCACGACAAAGGGCTACAAGTTTGTTCAACTGAAAATGATGATGAAGAATATCTTGTCTCGTCATCTCCAAGCTTTAACGCCGCTGGACGTTCGTGTCAGCCAAGTGAAGCACTAGTGCGCCCTGTCTGTGTGGATCACACAGTTGTGTATATATAGGTGGTCTTGTCATCGACTTCTCATTGAAATAACTAAGCCTTGTAATTGATACCGTTGCTATTATTCTCATCTTGACAGTCCTGTCTACGAAATGTTACCCAAAACACCAAATTTACCACATGCGACCTTCTCTGGAGTTGCTCGAATCAACAACGTCAATCTCTGGTATGCTTTGTTCGGGCCTCCGATAGATAGCGGCCGAATCCCCGTACTTTTCCTGCATGGGGGCAAGATCAATTCCAATTGGTGGGGTCTCCAGATCAAGCATGTTGCTGAAAAAGGATATCCGGTGATTGCACTCGATACAAGAGGCCATGGTCGCTCCAGCGACGATGATACAGTATCGTTCTCATACGACTTGTTTGCAGATGATACAGCAGCTTTACTGGCATATCTCAAGGTGCCAAGGGCTTCCGTTACTGGTTGGTCAGACGGCGCCAACACAGCTCTTTCTTTGGCCATGCGCTATGGCGATAAAATAGACCGCGCGTTAATATTCGGTGCGAATTACCAACCCGATCAAGTTAATATTGAAGGGATGCTAGCCATCCCTTTCCTGGACGATGTAAAAAGCCGGATGAAATTGGAATATGAAGCTCTATCTCCGCATCCGGGCAAGTTCGAGAGCTTTATGGCAAAGATGGGTTTGATGCAAGGCGCACTTCCAAACTGGAATGAGCAATCTTTTGCGCAAATAAGGACTCGACTGGAAGATCCTATTCATGCACCTCTTATGTGGATTGTTGATGGAGCTTCGGAAGAAATCATTCCCCGGAGAGTTTTTCGCGAAATAAGAGACATGATCCCGGGGTCTACTCAAATTGTGGTACGCGTTGGACATTTCGGCCCACTTCAAGACCCAGATGCTTTCAATGCTCTTCTTGACCGTTGGCTAGGAGAAAATCGATGATCTGTCTGACATGATAGGAATACTTGTCTCGGTTTATATGGAGCTTTTGTCAAGATGCCTGGCATGTTATGGAGAAAGGCATTGATGTTTCTTAGCAAGAGGATACTGCACGTATGTGTATAATATATGTCAATGATACAAAAGCTTCTAGCTATACATACAAGTTGATATAGACCTTATTTGTAATATTTTCCAACTTGTCTAACGTCCTCTGCCAGCGCAGCTACATTATCCAACGATGGAAAATGACCGCCAAAATCAACAGCTGCTGAAACATTAGTAATCTTTATACGTAATACCATGGATATTTCCTTTACTTACAATTGTAATAGACCAAGTTTCCGACAGATGCCACGACTTGCTTAGGCCAATACTGGATGTTGTACGGAAAATCTGTAAAGAGCAGCGGACTGCTAGTCTTTGCTTTGCGGTATGGGTAAGCGCTGGAAAGGACCGTAGGATTTTGCTCGTAAATATAGGACGCTGTAATGAATGTCTTTGAAAGATAGTACAATGAAACATGTTTTAGAATCTCATTGTTTGTTAGTGTCGAAGGGCCGGTTCCTCGCCTAGGGTCGGACCCTAAATAATCATTAGCTGGCATAACATCAACAAGTAGAGAATTTACTTACAGAGAATGAACTTTTCAGCTAGCCAAGATAATTGTCCGATAGGGTTATCATATAATGCAAGACCAAGGGTATTGGGCTAAACAAATGTTAGTTTCAGCCCTCCTTCACAGATGGTGGGGCTTTGTATCATACTCGCGTCGCCATCTCAGCAAAATATATATCGCCCTTGGTTTGAAAGTCCATTGCCCTTTCCTCTTCAGCTACTGCACTCGAAGGAAGAACGATGCCCTCCGCTGTAAGTTGTACTGGCGTGAGACTTGAGAAAGGTAGGAAGCTCAGGTGTGCGGCTTTGACGGTTGCATTAAATGAATCGTACATGTCAAACGAGACACCGCTACCCCAATCGGTTCCATGTAACGCATATGTTTTATACCCAAGCACCTGAGTCATCAACGTATTAAAGAGCGTAGAAATATCGGCTATTGTCCAATCTTTAGGAGCGGGAGATGAAAACCCAAAACCAGGCAAAGACGGCAAGACAACGTGGAAAGTTTGACTGGAATTACCGAGCATGAGCTGATCAAGTAATGGGGTCAGCTCTAAGAAAGAGCCCGGCCATCCATGCAAAAGAATTATGGGGATAGCGTTAGGATTTGATGACTTTTGATGTATAAAGTGCACAGTTTGTGTTCCTATTTTTGAAAGGAAGTGATCATATCTGCCTGGAATTAGTTGAAATCTCCAAAGCCCACTGTGATATTAATTTACTTATTTATTTCGTCTTCCTCCGCTGTCCAGTTGAATCCATTTATCCACTCGTTTTGAAGACTGGCCAGTGTGGTCAACGGCAGCCCTGTCGTTTCAGTCAAATTATAGATGTTCACAGCAGCTGGGTCTTCTGTTGTTGGAAGAGTCGTTTTCTGTATGAGATCAAGCATACGAGGTACTCCGGAAGATAGATCAACTTTGAATGAGGTAGGAGCTGATGAGGCGACTGCGGCTGCATTTGAAACTACTGCCAGACCCAAATTCAACAGTAATAGCGACCGCATTTTAGAGACTTTTCAAGATATTGGGACAGTAAAGATTAATATACATTTGCAACAAATAGGTATCCTTAAATCTACTAAAGAATAGAAATGGTAGTCATTGAATAGAGCTGGATTATATATGGAAAATTTCGACCCACATGCTATGCGTGCATAACAGGTGTTCGGCAATTTAATCCCCGGATGCTACATCCCTTAAAGCTATCACGATTCAGGCAATTTGATTGCGCTCTTGGTTTTTATTGCAACCCACAGTAAGCTATAAATAATATTTCTTACCTTGACACTGAGCATTATCCACGGCTTGATAATGAGTTACTCCTTTGTGTTTCACAAGGTTAGATGTTACTGTTTAAGGTTGGATGTTACCTCGTCGTTATCAAACGGAAATGTCCCGTACACCACGATACCTCCGTTTCTGTGAAGAGTTTGGAATTATGAGAATATTTTACATAACACCATTACCAACCACAAGATAGGATTATCAACCGGGGAATGAATATTGGAGAGAATATGCCTTATATCCGAAAATATTAGCGGCTGATACCACTTCGTGTATTTTAGCTAGGTTAGAGTAAACCAGCAAAGTCTGGTTACAATGGGATGTGATGTGTAAGCGACGAGGTCCCTAAATCAGCCAGTGGCTTTTTGTATTTCGTTCCGTCATTATAATTATCTTCGTGTTGCGCTGATACCGAATTGTCGCTAATTGAGAAGCCTGGTAAGTACATATTCACATTGAGACTAATTTCCTTTCTATGACTTGCTTACATATTCCATAAAGAGTTCACTATTGTGAGAATTGTGCGACTCCGTAGTAAAGGACATTTGAGAAAGGGCTGGCTGAGGGTATGAATGGCCTATAGGTGCAAGTGACTTTCGTAGGAGGTCTACGTGGACAAGGCTTTGAGGTGGAATAGCATATTCATTTACGCCTACTGCACTATCTTAAATGTCCAGCATCAAACTGAATGCGCTCTCATCCCTAACTATTCGCCAAAGTAAAATCAAGAAATCCAACTATGCCTAGGTAAGCAGCGTTACCGTGGTGCAAATGAATGATACCAATGATCATTTGACGTCTGGCGTTGAGTTACAATTTAGTATGATGATCCCACAGCATGGGAAGTGCTTTAGTGAACCAGCCAAAGGCATGATCGGCAGGTACAAAGCGGTAGGGCCTTGAGGCTTTCTCGCATGAACCATGTTGCGCCTCTGAATCAAATGAGTGGCGAGTCTGTCAGCAATATTTTCACCCATTCATTAATAAGCTATCTAAGCACTGCCATACTTTGTCCCCTGCGAAAAGGTCTGCTCCACAGCCGCCGAAATAGCTGCCGTCTCCCCCAAAGTCCTTTTTAAATTACAGCCTAGCATCGGGCATCTCGGGATAGTATTGGCCACCTTCGGCTTTTTATCCATGATATCCTTGCCCTCTACAAGCCATGGGCAGCTCTGCCTTTCGCCATACTGTCCTGGATCTTTTGAACTGAATTTCTCTTTTCCATTGCTTCAATCCACGCTGCGTATTTTGTATATTTTTCGAGTTCCGAATCTCTGCCGAGCTCTTTGAGTAATCCTTTGCCTACCGAAGCCCACGTTATGAACGAGAGATCGGCATATGTAAGGCTGTTGCCGACAAGCCATCCCGTCCCATTTCTCTCCAGGGCACGGTCCAAGACCTCGGTGACTCGAATTATCTCGTCGACGTAGCGGTCAACAGCTGATTGAAGTTTCTCAGCGTGGAACCGAGCAAACCAAGTAGCTTGGCCGAAATAGGGTCCCTGACCTTTGCACGTATTAATTAAGAATTAGTTAGCGTGTAACAGAAGATATTCGGGTTATTCGGTAAACATACCAGATATCTGAAATGCCAACCATTGCTGTGCTAAATGCTTTTCGGGCGCGCTTTTAGACGAGATTTTACCCTCATCGTCATACTGTTCCACCAGATATAAAATAATAGCACCCGACTTTGCATAACAATTAGTCTCATAGTTGCTATAACAAGGATGAAAAAAAGAAATGGGTTTAGACTCACTTCCCAAAGAGTGATGCCGGTATTTGGATCGTTGATCGTAGGCAAGCGTCCGTTCGGATTGAGTTTGACGTAATGCTCTTCTTTCACTTGAGAAAATTCCAGCTGGTGAATTACATACGGCAGCTTAAGTTCCTCAAGGATCATACACACTTTCCTGTTAAATAATGTTAGCTCTCTGTTTCGAAAGACTCTCTCGTTGTTCATAAACGCTTACCATGGATTCGGTGCGCCCCAGTGCCCCCAAAGTTCGATGGGTTGGAGAGCCATGATGAGCCGAATACGCAGAGTACGAATTTACACCAGTGGAAAGCAATAAAGTTGAAGGGGAATATGTATTAGTAGATAGTGTATCATAAAACATTTATAAAAGTTGGGCCATGGCTGCCCTTATATAGTTGTCCAGCTCAAAATCAGGAGCGAGTGCTGCCGCTGCAAACTCCTAACGCCGTAAACGATCAACATCTGATGAAACTCTCCCAATGAAGAAGCGAGGCTTCATGATGAAAATGTCTCAAGCCAAGGTGGCTTGCGAGAATTCTAGCGCTGCATCTCACGAGCGCAGGCGATAGACGGCTGCTACTTCTTACAAGTCGCAAGGGTACAGTTCAGCAACATACAGTCTCTATGCCCTATTTTGATAGCGTTGCGAAAACACTAGCGCGAATTCTCCGCTGATCACCCATAGCTGTGTCCACAATTCCGCCTGTAGCATTATCTCCGTTCACACTCCAATCTTCTACCGTCTTTGTACATCGTTTAACGAAAACCGCGGGCAAGTTTAGGGCTAACTAAAGACTCTATCATGTTCAACTAGATTAAAGACTGTGATTTCCTTTCTTACTTGTCTAAGTTATCCCTGCGGCGTGATTCACGCACACTTTCCCTCTCGCTATGGTCAATCCGGGTCACGCCAGTAAAGGATGCACCACCTGCAAACTGAGGCGGATTCGATGCGACTATGGACGTCCGTTTTGCCTCCAATGCACAAAGTCTAAACGAATTTGTTTGGGCTATGATTTCCAGGCGAAGATCTCTCACAACAAGCCTGGTCATCAAAATGCCGCTCTAATGCTACATCCTTTAGCTGCTACATGCCAGTTGACTGGATTGTGTCCTCTACCAGGTCTCAGTCTTTCGAAGGCAGATGACAGCGCAGCTCAGTCATGTATTGTGGCTCCACTCGTTTGGGACAAATTTGATAGACAATCAAGAGTTGATAGAGAGCATCTTCGCATGATGGTGTGGTCTATGCTGGGGACACTGAGTATCGCCTTCTATTCACTTCAGCAGTCTGTGCAGACCAAGGAAGCACGCAAAGAGCTGCTTCAAAGATATGGCTCTGCTACAAGGCAGCTTAGAGAGGCTCTTACTATTTGGCCATGTTCGTCGGCCTTATTAATCCCAGTTTTCCATTTCTCTTTATACGAGGTAGGCTAGACTCAATCAGCGCCATTGCAACATGATTCTCACAGTCGAACATAGATGATCGTCAATCTGGATCCAGCAGACAAAACATGGCAGACCCATCTTAGTGGTCTGTTGAGTATACTTCAGCAAATACCCGACAACAACATACGATTCACCTTGGTCAAAGCAGTACGGATTTCAGATTCAGTAACCAACATTCACAAAGCCTTAGAGTCATCAACGGTAGATGGCTTGCAGAGAGCGTGCTTGCTGCTGGATATCATTAAGCTTCAGCTTCGTAAGCTGGACGCCGACCTTGATGCTATTACGAGCAGTTCACCGCGGCCCTTGCGGAAACTAGACATGCAGAAATTGCAAGTATCAATGAAGCGTATTCGCAAACATTTGGATATATTTCCTCTCATAATTTGCGATCGATTCAGTTCTACAACGGTTCACATTGGCCAGAGTGGCTTTTACCCGGTCAGCCAGACGGATAAAAGATCTCAAAATAACTTTACAGATGGTAAGCTCAAAGTCATTTGTAATATTCTTACGCATTCTATCGGATCTGACTTCAGTAGACGCATTTATGATTCAATGGATTCAGTTTTATACTTTACAAATAATGACATCTGCTGTGTTACTCAAAATCGGAAGTTTCCTTCATCCAGACGCGACTTATCAGGGCAAAAGAGAATTTAAAGCACTATCGCACATTATACAAGAAGCGGGTGAGGGAATCTGCTCTATTACCGCGTCCTATATTGGGCTATGCTCCCAGACAGCACGAGACCGTCTTGAAATGTCAAAGATCAAAACGACGCAAGCTTTTCTCTTGATCTGGCCTCTGTTCTGCGTCTCTACGGCTCCCGGCCTGACAGACGGCCAACAGAGCTGGGCTAGAGAAGTACTTTGGGCTATTGGAGAACAACTCTCAATCCCTAAAGCGCTGTCATTGGTAAGCTGGCCTTCAATTGTCTATCTCTATTCTCGAAGGGATTCTGATTTAGCAAGTCAGGCATGCTCAAGTGGAGAGACTATTGGACAATCCGATATATTGGCAGGTATCCTCCTTGTCAACCTCTTATCCGTCTTACCAAATTCCACCTTTATATAGGGGCGCAGCGCAAATGAGTCCCTATTACCGCGATGCCATTAACCCCATTGGCATATTATCTCTCCAGCTGCCTCGCGCTTCAGACTTTCGCCTACCCTTTCCAAGAAAGATCCAATGCTATTTTGAATCATCTGCTTTATTAACCCTGAATATTCTGTTTCGTGTATGTTTCTCTCATTACCATCTCCCAAGCTCTCCTCTAGCTTGACTTGAGCTCGGCCTCTCTCCTCACGCGGATAGCATTAACCATGATCTTGTTCGCCATAAACGAAGGCAGAAGCGTCAAACTAGCCCCCTGTAGCGCATGTGCCCAGTGTCCGGTTACAACCACATGCCCGTGGCCAGCTCGATCCAGAGCGGCTCGCGCCATCGTCTCGGCTGTTGGCGTGAAAAGCGAAGGAGATTCTTTGTTGTGTGATACACTTGTAACGTTACCAACACGGACGCCAAGGCACTCAATGCCAGTTTGCCCCAATAATGCGAATTCCAAGTTTATAGCACGCGTCAAGGTCATTAGAAACTGCTTGCTCGCGCCATAAGAAGCCAGCATGGGAAATCCTGCGTCAGCCATAGAGCTGATGTTCATTATCAGCGCCGGTGAGTTTTGTGCCAGGTGTGGGAGCAGGAGGCGAATCAGATGCAGGGGAAACAATGCATTGACACTGACGTTGTCAGTGATACGCTGCTCAGAACAGTCGCCCAGTGGGAGGTAGACGGGATTTGTAGAGCCGCCGCCCGCGTTGTTGATTAGGACTGTGAGATGCACGTCTTGAAGCGCGTCTTTGATGGCATTGAAATCGAGCGAGTGTCGCGCTTGGGCTTCTCCGGCCTGCAGGCAACTCGTACATTGCACCGTGCTAGCGTCCGCGATCAGAGTCCGAAACGCTCTTCCGGGATGTCTCTTTTGCAGCTCAGATTTGACCGCGTCGAGCTTTGCCTGATTACGGCCGTGGAGGACCACATTGAAGCCTCGCAGCGCCAGCTCGTCAGCAAAAGCGCGCCCAATGCCGTCTGATGCTCCCGTCACCAGCGCCCACGGAGGGCGGCCATCAGCTGAATCATGGGCATATCGCTTGAGGTTTGAGGGGAGGAGGTAGACTGCGCCGGCGGAAGCAACTTTGAAGGCGAAGGCGGCAACAGCGATTACGCCGATGGAGGCAAAGATATCGGAGGAGTGCATGCTGGGTATTCAAGCGATAAAGTGACGCGGAAGTCAAGGCGAAGCGTAGAGCATCAAGGCTGCGATGCTGGTGAATCGCAGAGCCGAGTTTTCGTTATTGCACGCTCGGTATTCCAAAGACGCCGACCATTAGCGGGGTAAGTTGAAGTGGCGCGTTGAAAGCTACCCAATGGATGATGTGCTTTAGCTGGAGTTGATGCATAGATGAATAGCTTTGTCTGTGGAACATACCAAGAGCTAGCCTCTAGTGATACACATAAAGGAATCTTGGTAGGCATCATGCGCGGGTCTTACAGCCATTTCCACCCATCCCAGGGCTTATCAATGAATAGCTACGCGAGTACTGGGATATTAGGGCAATGTGTTGAGAGAAGCACAAGTCCAAATAATACTTTACTCGTGTTCTCGCTCGTCGTATTGCTACAAGTATATTCTCCTGCTGGGGCGTATCACACGAATTGTACTTGTCAAACCGTGATACAATAACACGTAATGTAGCATCTTAGTTCACCTAGTCTATGCATCGTTCGGGGCTTGCTTTAGGAGTCTCAATTCCAACGTAACTGATTATCTGGGTATTCGTGCTAGCATACAAAGGTAAAGACTGGTATTCCACTATTCCCGCTCCATAATTCGCCTGAAAAATCATCACTTCATAAACACGTTATTCTCCCCTTGCACCTAAAACCATGAGTCAGGGCCAAAGTAGCCCTTTGCAGGCAGTTCGGTTAGCAGAGCTGTACGTCCAGCGCCACCATCAATCGTTGCCCCAAGAACATTAACACCCCACCAGTCAATAGACTTCGGGTGATATTGCACAGCAAAGAAGATGATGATTCCCGAAAACGCGACTCCACCGGTGAGGGCGGCAGCCAATACATAGTTATACTTTTCCCACCACGCGGTCTTGTATCTCTTCAGATAATACATGAACGCGAGAGAGAAGTAAAGGCCGCCAGTAAAGTATGTGAGGTTGAGAGGCGCCCACAAAAGCATTCCGTTGATTACCAGCGAAGGGTGTACGTGCTTGAGCCATGAAATGGGTGTGAAAACAACCAGGTTAAGAGGCTTGAAGATGAATCCCGGCAACACAGCCCTGGTTCCCTCGCGAGCGTAGGATCCAAAGCGCTTAAGGCCCCACCACAGGAGGGCGAGCAGGAAGCCAAAGAGGAATGTGTATTTCATGGTCGGATAGATCTGGCTGAAAATTCTCTTGGGACCGATTGCACCCTGTGAAACTGTCAGTACATTGATACCTATAAGCTGAGATTAAGAAGAGCAGCGCCTTACCCAAACAACAGACGACGAGAAATATACTTGTGATCCGTTTTCACAGTTGAAGTTGGAGACTTGCTCTGGAGTACAAATGCCAGCAATATCGTTGTCAGCAAATTGCACAACGCCGTATGCAACAAGGGCAGTGATGATGGCGCTCAATACTTGGCCACGGTACATGGCACGCGGGGGTACCTTGGCGTAGAAGCCCATCTTCTGGTCCGAAATATAGTTATCAGCTTGTCCATTGATGTTGTATCCAAAGGCCTTGACGAACATCAGGGCCTCGGGGTGACCAGGCAGAGCGTAACCGACAATCAACTCCGTGACAACGTTGAGTCCTTCAGTTGTGCCGGAGATTGAGTAGAGGTAGGACATTGGAATAAGGAACACCAGGTTCAATCCAATGACGAAAAAGACTGTCCAAACGGGTGTGTTGAGCTGAGGCCAGTGGGCTACAATGACGATGGCAAAGATGAACGCAATCAGTGCGATGATCAAGAACCACCAGTCTGGCACTTCAGGATAATTGCGCATCAGCTGTGTCAGCGGGTCATCGAATCCGTCGTATATCGATGACTCGTCTTTGAGGATATCGGCCAGATGGCCACCAGCTTCACGTACCCTGCCCTTGGCAAGCGACACGGTTGCATTCTTGACACCAACAAAGGTCTTGCTGATCGAGTCAATGGCGGCCCTTGCCGTCGACTTGTAAGCTTTGAGAAGCGGTCGCCAAGCATCAAGCAAGATGAAGACCATTGTTAGGGGGTAGAAAGCAAAGAATGCGCCATAGAGAAGCAAGTTTCCAGCGCTGTAGAAAGCGGGGGAGTACTCTTGGTAGGCAGTTTCATTGAGGAAACCATTGTTGGGGTCGACAACTCGTGTAATGTTATACGATTGGCCAGTATTGTCAAAGATGCCGGATGAGTTGATAGGAAGGTATGCCGACCAATTGACGTTGGACCAATACAATGCAATAATAATCAGTCCGCCCAAAAGTGTACCCAGAAACTGCTGGAAGTATGCAAAGAATGGATACGCAAGCGGGAGGGAGTAGGTGGAAATCACGTTCCAGTCGAAAGTCGAAATAGGATTGAATCCAAGACCAACTGTAGAGCCAGTAATGATGTTTAGGTTGAAGTTGTTGGGTGCGATCCACGTCATCCAGGCGAAGTAACTGAGAGCCGGGAAAATGAAGTCTGGAAGCCAAAAGTATACAAACATGGCGCAGAAGACAATGAAGAAGAACTTGTAGCGAGATATCCGCCAGCCGTGAATGACTTCCTCCTTTTCGGGGACCAACAATGCTCTGTTCAGAGCCACTGTGGGCAGAATGTTGGGCCAGATAGCCTCTGCTGGGTAAACGACAAAGCGACGGAGCAGGCCGGAGAATCCCAAGCCCATGAGTTGTGTAGACAGAAGCAGCAGAATGCCATATCCGGGAGTCAGCCACTTGTCCTTGTAGTAAACGGTCTGAGTCTGGATATTCCAGAAGCAATAAGCCGATGTAAGTCCAACATCAATAATGATTGTGGCAAGCATCTGTTCTTTGTACGACCACGGGCCTGGGTTGAGCGAGATTCTTTGGCCGCGAACGGTGAAGCCCCAGTCTGGCAACACCAGAGCAAGGAGCAGGCCGCATGGGTAAAGGAGAATTTGCGCAACGGCGGATGTCAGCGTGATTGATGGGAAACGCGAGTTGAACAGCGAGTTGGTGAACTGGGCGAGGACCGCCCACATATAGCCAAGTAGATGGGCACGAATAGTTTCGCATGGAATGTTAGGGTCGTCTGTCGGCGTCGTAATAGCGCGCACCTCGGGGTACGGCGAGTAGAACTTGTTGATTGCCGTCTCGGTTTTGAGCTCCAGCTCCCACTCTTCAGGATCTTGTCCGTCCGAGGGCCCCTCAGCCAAAGCTGCAAGCTTCTCGCGCTGGGCGTTGGAGAAGTTGTAGTCGTACTCGTGATCTTTGAGTAGTACTGCGATGATATCTTTGCACTCCTGGACAGTCAATGTCTCGATCTTGTCCATAACGTACTCGATATCATCTATTGGGGCCGTGCCGCCAGCTCTATCACCGAGCTTCTCGGCAAGATCATGTACGCCATCGTCGACATCGTGGACCGTGCTAGGGTAAGCCGTCTTCTCATCAATAGGCCGTTCAGGGGAAGAAGTATCCCTCTCGACGGAGTTGTCGATGTACTCTTCTTGGGAACCCATGGTGCCTTGCTCCTTAGCTGTAACTGCTGCAGAGCTATAGCTAAAGACGTTGTAGGTGGCAGACCTCGCCAAAGTGAGGTGAGGGAACTCTGGGACGAGAAGTCGTATGGCACGAGGATCTACATAGCAAAGCTCTTGATGAGCGGCGGAAACAGCCGTGTTATTATAATGATGGAACACAAACAACACCACTACCACCACACTTTCATTAGCCGCATGTGTACATCTAGAGGTTACACCGAATCCCTTGAGACTAGATCTAATTACTGCCAAAGACGAGTTCCTTATCTCCAAGCGCCATATTGACACAGGCGCTCCCTATCAGCCAGACTCACATCCCCTGGGGATCTTGTGTAGCAGCACCCCAGGTCTTAGCCTTGCTGAGAACTTTTGCACTGCGAGCCCATGATCTAGGCCTGGGTGTGTATCCTTGAAGGGTGGAGTTGGGCCGTCGGAACCGACTTTCTCCAGCTAAAGCACGCGCAAGACGACATACCGGTATAACGGGGGCCACACGTCCACCATGATGCCGGGAAACGGCACGTCCAAGGTCGCCTCTGTGGCGTACAAGCAACAAGGCTGCTCTGGATCACGAGCCAGCGAGACAAAAGTGCGGCGCCATAGCGTGCTACAAAAGGACAAAAGGGCAGCAAAAAGAGTGGAATAAGCAGGTCGCTGGTCCAGCGACGCGGGGAACATCCTGATTCGGCAAGGCATTATCGCTCGATAGCTAGCCGGTCGGGAGGAATATGGCGTTGAAGGGTGATCCTCATAAGTTCGTCTGGGGTGCAGACCAACGCTACTTTGCCCTGGGACGTCCTTTGCATGGGACAATAATCTTATCTAGCCTCGGAAAATACCGCAAACGATATCATGGTATAACACGATGATGCTACTCTCTGAGAGCCAAGACTTGCCGAGGTCTTGCCGTTGTTATCAATGCCCTGTAAAGCTGCTCGGGCGGATTATTTACGGTAGTAAGATGCTCGATAGTACCTATTAGATACGATGTTCCCATAATAGAACGGATGACCTAACACCGGCTACAAACATGCACAGGGCGGTTTCCTAATCTCATTGGGTGCCCTTTGCCTGTAGAAGTAAAACTTGTCCACAGGTGGCGATGGATGTTACACTGGACTAGGTACATCCGTGAGTGAGACGCTGCTGATGCTGGACCTTGTCATCGCGTGCTGCATGTGTGTGTGTGTATGGAACCCTTGAAGAACAGAACTCAGAGCAATTATCACATTATACTTACAACGCTGTCTTGCTCTAATTTAGCTTCACAGCCAATGTCCACTATCAATTGTCTCTCTTTCATCAGTTCCACCCAACCGCAGTAGATTGATTGCTCCGATCCCAACCCAGTCTCTTGTAATAGGTCAGCGCTTCTGAAGAAGCCACTGAATGCTATTCTATCCTGTAACAGATGCTAACAAAGTCTTATTTGGGAAATCATGGGCACGGGAAATTAACTAGGAGCACAGACATTAAGCGGGAATGGGAAGAAGATGGCAGAAAATCTCCTAAACTGCAGCACTTGGCAGTTGAAGTCGACTTGGCGATCGCCCAGACATCTCTCCACAGCGCGGCTGGCTAGTCCTGAAGGAGTGAAAAGATACGGCCAGATCTTGGCGTGTCCACAGCACGTTGCGCCTGTCGTTCAAATATAGAATCTGGGAGCATCACTAGGTGGTAACGGTACTAGCATCTGTCTCTGGCTATGTAACCAGCCCGAATGGTGATACTCGTTCGTTGGCTAGCCGGTCACACGCTCCCTCTTAAAACCTGTCTTGCCCGTAGTCTCCATTCTGCCTATATAAGTAGCGGGCCGTAGCCACCAGACAAACGTTCCTGGCTCGCTAGGTTTTAGCTCCCGGTGGCGTGATTGCTGGCTTGAAGGGTCTTTTTGAAGCCGCCTAGATGACAATGCGGAGCCGTGAGCTGCCAAGATTTGAGCAAAGCGGCCGCATCGCTATCTTTGGCGCTTCATTTCAGCTACGATTGAAAAGGGCTGACAACGATAACTCTTATCTGTTTTGAGGAGGCAAACAAGGACAAGCTCTATCGCCCGCGCGTTACTACACGCTACGAGGTTTCCAGTGCTATTAGTGCAAAATGTGCCCAGGCCGAGGCACTGGATGAGACAAACTCAGCTGTAATGGCTGGTACGGAGTATGGTGGCCCATACTGAGATAACGAATCACAGGTCCGAGACTGCCAGTACAGGGAGCAGCGATCGGCCCTCGTCGGCGATTAGGACGGCAACTAGAGTTGCAGCATTCCTATTGACCCAGAAGCCTGTGCCAACCCCTTCTCTATGCATGCTGACGCAGTTTCATTCTCGTGGCGATCATTGGGAGAAACGCCAAAGGCACGTCTCTGATGGATGCGTGTCAGTCGGTGTTGGTATTTCGCAATCCATGATTTGCTCTTCAGACCGGCGCCATGAATCAATAGTACTGTGAGCTACCGGTACTTTTTCTCTCGCACGAGGCGAAATGGTTCCCCCACACCCACCACCCTTGGCGTTATCTAGCCACGCGGAATCAAAAGTGCCGTCTGCGACTAATTTACTACGTACATATATTGATTCCGGCGCAGGGATGTGTGCTCCAGCAGCGAGGATCGTTTGATAGCTTGGCGGGGCTACTGCCGCATTGGTCCTTGTCCCAGCCCAAGATCAATGCAAATGATCCGCGGTAGCGCCTTGAGGGCATATACGGTCCAAACGGTCTAAACGGTCTATACGGCTGCGTCAAGAATGAATGGGAGCTGCTTCAGCTCTCACATTGGACATGAGTTGTCTGTATCGTTTTTCTGTGTTTGCCATGTTTCGCCGCCGCGTTAGCCGCCCTGTCTTATAAGCCTGAATGGAACTTTTGATCGGATGAATAGATATGGACAATGGCCCTCGCTTCTTCTTTGCCTTTTGGATCCTGCGCAATGACACCAAAGCGCATTGCCGTTCTGTGATGAACAAACGAACAAGTGGGAATTTTTCCAGCGATTAGGAACTTGTCGCAAGAGCGTGATTGGCCCACGGCTCTGATGCGCTACTGTATACAAGGTCAGGATCTCCAGTATCATTAGATGTTAATAATGATATCAACTCATTCGACAAATTTCTACAAACTCCCAATTATGCAATCATCTGTTGTTCCACGTCTGCAGAAGAAAGTCATATAAAATGGATCAAAATGGGATATTCCACTTTGAGAGCGACGAATACATATGTACGTAGGACTTAATCAGAAATAGCCAAAGCCATCTTGACAAGAGAGCATATTATTTAGCTGCAACTGAACCATTGTAATCATACTCTCAAGATTCAGATTGTACCGACATGTTACAGTTCGCTCATTGCCCATAAAATGCCTGGAGAAAGTTATCTGCTTTGGAGAAATACAAACGGGAAGTTACAGGTAATCAAAGAGACCGATTAGGCAAAGCAACGCATATATATACTCCGCATGCCTACCTACCTAAAGCGTAACAAGAATTTGCTAAGCGGTTATGAAACAACCAACGCTTTTCCGCGGCTGTCATACTGTCATGTCACTACAGTGCAGCATATCCACAACATCATCATCAGCCCTGGTTATTTTGCACCAATGTCGTGGGGATCCAACACCGCTACCGGACACTAGTATTGGCCATTGGAAATTGAACCAATAAAAGCTCGCTCTGAGTTAACTAATCATCATCACGTTATGCCATCTCGAGACAATTATTCCGTATTACTTTTACCCGATTTTCGCTGCTTTTACCAGCAGCACTTTTTTACAATGTTATAGTGCAGCCATATAAATGAACTACTCGCTCAATCTATAAGGGCCTACAAACACTGATTGAATACATCCCATGACTCAAAGCTTAAGCACATTTGAGATACATTATAGCTGAGAGACTGTACAAATGAAGAGAAACAAAAACCGTCACAAGCCTCATAATGTTATCCGCTCATCTGCTTAGTTGACGATGTCTCCATCTCTTGGTCAGCGAAGTAAGCATCTTAGCTAATTCGGCCCGATGGAAAAAGCAGTCAGGCATTATTATATAAATTTCGATCTGGGGTAGAATCAACGCTTCATTCTTTACATGCCCAACGCTTGAGATATCAAGATACAATGGCGTTGTTAGTTATGTCCAATAGTGCCTTTGGCTCTATAATAAAGTCTGTAATATTGTTACCACTTCTTGCCGTTCTTCTTGTCAGTATCATGCAACCCTCAGATTCGGCTGGCCATTATACTGATAGGTAACTTGGCATTGTAGGGTTTGGCATACGCATTTTGCATTACGGTTTATAACCTCTTCTTTCACCCCCTTCGTAATTATCCTGGACCATGGCTCTGGGCAGCCTCAGACATTCCATACTCTCTGGTATCAATCGGTGGCAATGCCCATAAGAAAATGCTTCAAATTCACATCAAATATGGACCAGTGGTGCGCGTTGGTCCCAACACAGTGTTTTACAGCCACCCAGATGCCTCCAAGGAACTTCGTGGTCACCGTAAAGGCAAAGGAGTGGAGCACTTGAAAGATCCTCACCTACACTCTGGTAATCAAAGCAATGCTATTGGTGCAAGCCGGGAGAATCATATTCGGTACCGACGAAACTTATCTTATGGATTTTCGCACCAGGCCATGCTGGATCAAGAACCAATCATCAATAGATACATCAATACGCTATTGACGGAACTGAAAGCACGATGCGCCAACCAGGAGAAAGTCGATGTTGTCAGGTGGTACAATTATACAACATTTGACATCATAGGGGATCTGGCTTTTGGTGAGCCCTTCTACTGTCTCGAGAAATCAGATTACCACCCATGGGTGGCGCTCATCTTTTCTGGCGTCAAAAATATGTCATTCATTTCAGTTTGCTCAAAGTTCGGAAAGCTTGGCATGTTACTGGCATTACTTTTTGTGCCCAAAGATTTACCGGCAAAGGGTAGAGAGCACCGGAGGCTGTCTATCGAGAAAACACGTAGGAGACTTGATTCGGGATCAAGCCGGCCGGATTTTATGACGGCCTTGACAACGACTCGAGGGTCCGCAGAGGTAACTCGACGGCGGAGACAGATACGTGGGTATGCATATGCATGGAGAACTAACGTCCATTGTAGGAATTGTCATTTGAAGAATTAGTATCAAACGCCAGCCTGCTTATCGCTGCCGGTTCGGAGACAACCGCCACAGCTTTATCGGCAGCGACCTACTATCTTGGGATATATCCAGAAACCTTTAAGAAGCTAGCTGCTGAAATTCGTTCAGCTTTCCGTTCGGAGGAAGATATAACCTTGACTAGCGCGCAGCATCTAAATTATTTGCAAGGCGTGATTGACGAAGCGATGAGGCTATTTCCTGCGGCGCCTGGCACACAGCCTCGCATTATTTCACCCGGTGGTGACGTGATTGTTGGCAGATATGTTCCAGCTGGTGTAAGTGATGTATCCCTTGTTTGGCATATGATGCAGTTCTGAGTTCCGAGTTGTAACACATGACTTCGCAGACCGTCGTTGGGATATGGCAATGGGTGAATCATCATAATCCCGCCCATTTCCGTGACGCTGAATCTTTTATTCCGGAGCGATGGCTTGGCGATGCACGCTTCGAGAACGATAAAAGAGATGCATTTATGCCATTTTCTGTCGGACCGCGGAATTGCATTGGACACAAGTAAGTAGAGCTGGTTCTAAGATGTAATTGTGAAACTGACTATGCCCAAGTCTTGCGTATGCAGAGATGAGATTGATTCTTGCAAAGGTAGTTTGGAATTTCGACATAGAGCTGTCAGAAGAAAGCATTGGGTGGGATACAAGAAGTAAAGTATATATGCTGTGGGAGAAGGGCCCCATAAATGTGCAGCTTACAAAACGGAATGGTATTTAAGAAGAGAAAGGTCCGAGAAACCACCTAGTCTACAAACTGCAAGCATACCTAGATAGAGATGGACAGCTTCTAGTATTGACCAAAAGTTGAATAAGATCCAATTTCACGGCCATGGCCAGATTGTCTTAAAAATGGACCAAGCTTGCTTCGAGTCTGTTTCGACTTGCACAGCTAAAACTACTTGTAGATTATCTCAATTCTTGATCTACCGTTTGAGTGTGAGTATAGTCCCTCAAGTACCTTTATAGCTATATCTACTATTTTTAAAGTAGTGTATGCCACATCACTAGGCCTTCCTTTGACGATTATCCATAAAATGTCGGGCATGAAATGGGAAATAGTGATGGGATTTTCGTCTTCGTTACTTTTTATTTAGCAACTGATCGTCTTCATTCTCAGATTAGATGTAACGTGCCTTAAACGCTAGGTGTGAGGGATCATGATGGATACAGGGTCACGAGCGAAAGCAAATTGAAGAGAACAAACACAACAACCAAAGGCGCTGACACTCAGGGATCAAAGAAGTAACTGTAACTAAACCGTAATAATAATCATAAAAAAACTAATCTAGTGACAAGCAGAGGAGGAGGGAACTATAAGGCGTGCCGCAGTGGGTCACGTGACACACCAGTAGTATTCTGGTTCAATGAGGATATTCGTCATTGGCCAATGGTTATTCTCGATGCGAAATTAGTAAAGGTTAGCTAAAGCATTCAAGGCATCGTCAGGCGAATTTGTAGGCATGTCACAAGTTAACCCATGCTGAAGAACAATCACGGCGCGTTTACGCTATGTAACGTAGGCCAACTAATAGAAAGTTCAACTTTCCTCAATGAGAAGGTGTATTAAGAACGATGAAGTTAGCGCTCTTTTCTCCCAAGTACTGGTCTAAAGGGAAAAAAAAGGAAACAAGCAGATGTCCCGAAACATATAACAGAGGTAGGTAGTAATACACATTATCATCTAAGCCCCCCGGAGATGTCATCAAATTTCCCATCTAAGGCATAGGGTAGTCTGCAAATTTGTAACAACCGCATATGTAACTGTTCATTCATATTCGCTTTTTCTGCCTCTATTAAAAGCCACTTGTCGTTGAATAAAGAGCGAGAGTGGCGTCAATCGAAATAAATAAATAAGGCCAAATACTTCCATGTACATGTATTTCGTACAAGTGCGAGATAGTGCAAGTCTGCGTACCTACATATATAGCTTGAAGCCAAAGATGACATTTACAAGTGGGTATGATATTATGATAGCGCTTGAACAATTAGATTCGCAGTGTCAATGCGATCCAAAATTACGCAATCGAAACCAAGAAGAGCAGCAACTTCCTCACTAGTGGGGTATATAATAACTCATTGCCAAATTATAATAGAGACTTGCTGTAGCTCTTACACGAGTCTTTTAGAGGATGCTCTTCATCAGGTTATAGCCAGATATAGCTGCTCAGTTTGTATAACATAATGCTGGATGCTAGCGAAATATATAAACGGCATATGCGGCAGATTGTTCCTGAATCCTGGTGAACAAAGCAATCATTAAACATACCCTTTAAGGCACTTGGTCGGCAATGATGTGCCGGAATGATTGAAGTTTCCACATCCTCGTGGATATCCTACCTCAAAAACTCCTAACTGGCGTGTTCGACCTTCCATTAAAGCGACGGCCATGAAACGCGCAACTCAACTTCCATGAATGAGGATACCAGTAATTTAACGAATGCCTCCTAGTGTAATTTAGCGAGGCTCTAATGCTTGTTCATTGCCTAAGATGGCAGGACAGCTTCTATAGAGTGCTTATATCAGACTTACACTAGTCTCAATCGGTGAAGACCAGATTCTAAGGGACTCACGATGTTTCGGGCCGCTATTCAATAGCACACGGATAACCGGCGTTCATGCAATTGTTTGTCCATCCGTGGCTTGAAGAGATTTCCCAAAGGAGTATATGAGGTCTTTCTTATATGTATATAAGTCGCAATTTCCACGTACGTGGGAAACCTGAGACCTATTGAGCAGCAGTCTTTACTTGGCGCAAACACTCCTTCAAAGCATTGTCTTTCGGCTACTCTTTACATTCTTTTCATAAAACACCAAAGCTCTGTCAGCTTTAGCTCAGTCCTTTCAATTAAAACCATCACTCCCTAACCAACGCAAACATGAAGACTCAAATGCTCTCCTCCATCGGCCTATTTGCCGCATCTGCTGTCGCTCAAGCTGTTTTGAACAGTGGAACTGGCTTTGGAACCCTTTACTACGACGTTGTTGATGTTGATGGCTGTCAAGACGACTTTTCTAACCAAAACCTTGGATTTGTCGAATGCAACTTTTTCACTGGTCTCTCACTGGATGCGATTAACAGTGACAACCTCGTTGCCATGAACCACACTCTGCTGGCCGGCGATTTGGCCACGTATTGCGGCAAGAAAGTCATTGTCACCACCAATGGCGTTCAACATGACCTCGACCTGTTTATCGGTGATGGCTGTGCCCGATGCGCCGGCGGCTCCAGCAACAACGGCGTTTGGAACCCTAACGGTGCTCCAGGATTGGATTTCAGCTTCACTGTTGCTCAACAGCTGAACAGCAACGCGTGCTTCAATGGTCACTTTGATCTTAGCTGGGAAATCGTTGATGAGACCCTTTACAACTTCGACACCAACGCACCAGGTCAGCCTACCGGTCCCGTAAACCAGCGCCGCTCGGTCGACAAGCGATCTGAGAGAGATAGCCGCCGCCGTCTTTAGGTTATGAGCCGCTCAGGGTCTTGCACTAAGCTGCTTTTTCTATGTTATCTCTACGGTTAATTCGTTTCTCTATGCAAATATTTAAGAGTAGCTTGTATATACATAAAAATCTTGTATCTATTTACGAATTTTGTATATAATTCCAGACAATGAGTTTCAGGAATTTTATGCCAACAGTTTTATTACCTAAATTCATGATGGACATTATCTATTGTATTCTATAAGGTGTATCACACAGTTTGTCATAAAATTCCGTTTCATGACTTACTATTGTTATCCTAAATATTATATAGTACCAAATTTGGGATTAAATATAATTTTGTTTCTATATATTACTCACCACTATATCTTAAATTCGTTCTATTACTCGAATCCGGCAAGCGGTAAGGGGTGGCAGACTGTGTGTTGTGTTACCGATCGCAGTATCACAAAACACTGCCACGCGTCCATTAATCCGTTTGTCGTCATCTCCAATATGCTATCTTGAAGGATTTAACAATCTGAAAATGCTAAATTACGATATTGATGTCGGTAATGAGCCGAGTCTCCAAGATTCTCTTCTCACAGCTCATGACCCTGCAGCAAAGGCCAAAACAAATCCTACCTCAACAAAGCCTGACAATTCTTTGGAGAACGATATATCACCAAGTTCTAACGTGCCATATGTTTCAAAAGACTATTGGGGCTGGGAAATTTTTGGAGTCCTTGGTTCAGCCGCAATAATTGTTGGCATAGCTGTCATACTTGATAGATTTGATGGCAAGAGGCAGCCTTCCTGGGAGCATGTCTCACTCAACTCTCTCATCTCTTGGCTTAGCACAGCTGCCAAATTCTGTCTTCTTATGCCCATTTCCAGGGGTCTTGGTCAGTTGAAGTGGGTGTGGTTTGCGGAAAAGAAACGGCCGCTTTCGGACCTCGAAGAATTCGATTCTGCGAGTAGAAGCATTTCTGGAAGCGCCAAACTTCTTTGGAGACTGAAAGGACTGTGAGTCTAATGCAAAACTCTTGATTATTTGGGTGCTTTTGGCTAAATGAATACTCGTAATAGGCATTTTGCTGCTCTTGGTAGTCTAACTATCATCCTGGCTTCTGGATTCGACCCATTTATTCAGAACCTGATCCATTACTATCCGAATACTGTTTCAGACCCCTCCCAACTTGCTTACCTGGCCAACCTTTCGACCTATACTGCTGTTGGTCCACTGCTTGGTGGTCACCGTAGGTAAAAAATGCATCAGGATCGTTCTGGGCTAATGTTGCTATAGTCAGTGATGTGGACCTAGGTCTCAAGGCTAATGTCTACAATGCCATTCTGAACCCCAAAGCATCTCAATTTTGGGCTCAGCCTCAGTACATCTGCAACACAGGAAACTGTACATGGAAACCAGCAGCCAGTATCGGCATCTGCCCTCTCTGTGCCGACATCAGTTCGGATCTGTCCGTGTCATGTAAAAACACGGCACTACCTGACACGGATGAAAGCTATAGAGAGTGTACCGTTTCTCTCACCAACGGCTTTTCTACTTGGTTTGTAGATGGCGGGCTAAACAGCTACCCAATGATTATAGGGAACTCCCAGGAAAACAGCAATGTCAATCCCTTGGTGTACAAGAACCACACTTTCCCCCTCATTCAAGCCATCAAGGCTTTATATAATGATACGAATCAGAATCTCGCCATCGAATTGACCAACGAAACGCATTTTATAGCTACAGAGTGCTCCCTTGAGCCCTGCGTGCGAAGTGTCCAGCCTTCTGTCATAAGGGGCATTTACAGCGAATCCACACCAACCTACTGGCTCGAGCTTGAAAATAGGACAGCCGGCAGCAATAGTCTTCTGCATGTAACCTTAACTCCGCCATGGGGCTCAAATCTTGGAATCCAGGAAGGTCAGAGCTTTGGGATCGATTTTTATGCGCTCGATGCGCTCAGCGTCCATATCTCTACTCTGTTCTCAGGCAAGGTGCACGTTGGTTCAGACACTCTGTTTTTCAATGCATCGAGGCCTGATATACTACAAGCAATCTTTTATGGGCACTTTGCCGACTGTGACAATCCGTCAGATAAAGTTGGCTGCACTGTTAACAACGTCGCTAAAGCTATGTCGAAATCTTTCTGGGACACTCCATATATGAACTATGGTATGGAAGGTGCAAACATGACTATAGGAGAGACACTTGTCACTCTTACTTTCGTTCGAATTCAGTGGTGGTGGCTTGTTTTCCCAGCAACCATCTGGCTACTCAGTGTCGTCACCCTGTTGGGAACCGTGTGGAAAACGCGCAGAGCTCAAGTGCAAGTATGGCGGAATAGTCCTTTCCCGCTGATTTTACTTCATCGCCATGAAGATTTTGAAGCTAATGGGAGCTATGATATCTCTACTGCTGGCCTTTCGACAAGGGCAAAGAAACTGCGTGTTAAGCTTCATGTGCCAGAAGATAACATACGTGTCACAAACCATTCGCTAAATTGATTCATAATACATGGGATTTACATTGAACTCCAGCTTACTTTGACCACATATGGGAAAATAAATTTGTAATTTTAAACATCTATTCCTGTAGCTGAAAACGGGCCTCGCACTTCATGCAACCTCGGCTAGTATAATCTATTTTCATCACCAATCTTCAATTTCTTTCATCTCTAAAATTTTCACTTGATAGTGGTCAACAGCATACGACAAAAGGCTTTGGTGATCTGCTTTAGCAGTATTGGCATTTGTCCTTAGCTACAACTATAGTAATAATGAGAAATGCAGCCTCTCCGCCCAGAGGACTTTCAAGATGACAAAATTTTCCCTTGGTTTTTTTTTTTTTCCTTGTATTGACATTTTCGCTTACGAAAGGCTGAGGAAGTACGTCAACATCTCAGGGTAGATTGGTGTTCCGAGACCGGTAACAGGATCCCAGCCAGAAACAGCGGAGAATCCAGTGTTGCCACAAGCACTGGCAGCGCCATCGCCGTTCGGCCCGCCCTTGGCTTGGTTGCCAACTGTGATGTCGGTAAACATGGATGGGTTGCTGTAGAGAGCAGGGTTAACGAATCCGACAGGGCTCTTGCCGGCATTGATGCGCTCTTCGTTGATGCGAGTCAAAATGGCAGCAAACAGAGGAGCGGACATTGAGGTACCGCCTTCAAGCACTTGTTCACCCTCATTAACAACCACGCCGTTGTCACCTACGGCAGAGACATCAGGGTAGCCACGACCGCCTTTGTTGTAGATGCCTCCAGTGGTAGGGATCACGCCACCAGATGTGTTGTAGGAAGCATAAGTTGGGTTGTGGCTGGCGAAGTATCTGGAAGGAAGTTAGTCTCAAGTCTCGGATGGAATAAACAGGATCCATTGCAACTTACGAGGCCAAAGTACTGGCTTGGTAGCTTGGGGTTGTCCAGATGTTGCTGAAGCCACCACCGGAGGAGAACGAAGTCACGGCGGTCTCTGCATCACCAGGAACCTTTCCAGCTGGGAGGGTGGTGGCACCGACAGAGGTGATGTAAGGGCAGCTAGCCGGCTCACCAGGAGTGAAGATGTTGTGTTTGCTTCCAAGACAAGCACCAGATCGGCGGGCAACTCCGTCGTCGCCACTGGCAAGAACAACACTTGTGCCCTGGAGGCCGAGCTTCATGAACTCATCACATTGGCGCTGTAAGTTCAGTTAGCAAACAGGATCATTCATGAGAAATTTGATATGCTGACCTCGAGATAGTAAGTGGGATAATCAGCCTCTGCAGTACCGTAAGAGATGGAAATCACATTTGTGGGCTTGAAAGCTCCACACTGCTCGTTCCGAGTAGTGCCGTCCACGGTAGGGTCATCGCCAGTCTCACCGTCATCGGAGAAGGTGCAGTAACTTCCGTCAATGGCGTCGAGGAACGTGTTGAAGATGTCATCATTCTTCACAGCAGCCTGGAAGAGAACGGTGGTCTGGGGATAGATGATTGGGATGGCAATCTCGAAATCCAAGTCAGACTCTCCGCCAGCGTTGCCGACACTCGTAGGAGCAGTTGCACCGTCGATAGCGTCAACCTTTGGTCCGGTGCTGGAAGGAATGTTGGTGGCAAAAGCCTTCCAGAAAGAGGTCAGATCCTGCTGGGCATATGTATCTTCGGTTTCAAAGATGCCCAATGCGTTGGAGGAGATGGCTGAAGTTCCAGCCGTAATATTGTACATTGACTTGATGCATTGAGGTGTGATTGCAGTACCACACGAGGATGTAACCACTGGATTTGCCAATCTTATTAGTATAAACGTTGCTGACCATCTTCAAATAAAGAGATCCCAAACTCACGAGGATTTGCGGCCAAAAGCTGAGCAATGTTTGCAGGCATTTTCCTGGAAGGCCGACGAATCGATTTGCTTTCTCGCTTTTCCACGTTGGAGGAGCTCTTCACAGGGGCGAAAACTACGCCAGGAGTGATGAAATCAATGTGCTGAGAGATTTCATCTGGTAACGAGTACTCGTCTGTACCAACATGAACATCTCGGGCCTCGACGTGAGCGTAAGTGCTGTATGAAGTCTTGAGCAGCGACTCGAGCTGCCCAGATGTCGTGACAAAGTCGAGCCATCCTTTGCTCTTGGAGGAAGTAATTGAGCTGGCTGGGACACCACCTTTGACCAACCAGGCCTTGACGGCGCTGATGGAATCTTCACTGGGAGCAAAGAGCTCAACTACTTGGTCACTCGAGTAGTGCTTGCCGTAGTTCGCAGAGTCTGGGTGTGACCTAGTATTGACATGAGACATGTGCTCGTGGATTACCCAAGATATAGCTGGAGAGTCACTTACACGTCAAGAAGATAATCCATTCCCTTGTCGAGGTTGTTTTGCTTCAAGGCAATACGGACGGGGACTTTGGTGCTTGGGTTGAGCGCCTCCCGCTTAATCCATCGAGGGCTGCTGGTATCCCGTTTCTCATGGATTACTTGAGAGCCAGTTGGTGCTGCAAGAGCCCCGGCCAAAAGGCTGTTAAGAACAACCACGCTGATCTTCATATTGCTTGTGTGAGCCTCGTCAAGGACCTTGTTCTTCTTGGATACTCGGAACTGGTAGTAGATAGTTCTTGGCTTTGCATGGAGGATGCTTGGCTTATATAGACATCGACTGACTTATAAAGCTACACATCTACTTCTTACTCGAAACGCTTGGTCTGGATGCCGAGAGGGGTTAGCTACAGCGATTGGATCACCTTCCCGATTCCAGAGTATCGTATTCCCCGCCGTGTTATCGCTCATTCAAAAGTTCTGGCACAGTTAACGCTCCCTATTGGGAAATGGCCCTTTTTGGGAAACTTGAAGAGCCCATGACCACGAACTTTGGGAGAAAACTGGGGAATGGCATCGTGTTTGACATATTGTTGACTTATTGTTGACTATTGTTTGACAGCAATTGCTACTAGTTTATAAATCCTGTAACGAACTCCTTCCTGATTTAGTGTCGTTGATACGGCCAGAATGGGGACACGAAAAACAAGCATAACAACTAGGTTACTAGCCTTTCCTTAAAATGCGAAAACACCAAGGGATCTCGCGCCTTTACGGCATCCTTTGTTCGCCCAGGGAACTTCTCGCCAAAAACGTTTACAACCACGCACATCATAGGCCAGTATGCGTCTTCTAAGGTTGTTAGCTAATTGGCTAGACCTCGCTTTATTCCCACATCTTCTGTTTATTGAGGTAGGCTTAGCTATTCGAGCTGATCGTGTGTGTCGAGATGTCTGTTGCATCATCTTTTCGGACATGGATCCTGGCGGAGGCCGCTATCAGATCGGGAAGGTATCCGGATAATCGGAAGGCCAAGCCTTTGCATCCACCTCCAGTGTTACCACTGCTCTCAGCGATCGGTCCAATATACGCTCTCCAATCCCGCGCCGGGCGAACCTTCACTGGCATCTTCTTCACGGCTATGCTGGCCAGCTCTAATGACAGTGCACGGATACCAGAGTTGACCTTGACTTTGTGTCGTACATGCTGTTTAGAGCTTTTCTCTCGCAAGAAAATACCAGCCAAGAAGTATTGATTTGTACATATGATGTTTACTGGTTCGTTCAAGCTTCCAAGCCGAACAGTAGCTATTGGTCTTTGCCGACAATCGGCCTCCGTACTGTCTAATACCGCGGGGCACCGGAAGATAAACGACAGCAGCCCCAGGATCGCCACTCCAGTCTTCATCCTAATACAACACGATAACTATCCAAACCGTCCAAACCCCGCTCTAACTATGTCACTTTCAGGGAAAATGCGACTTCCGCGGCAGTAGCAGTGCTAGTAGCATCTCGTATCCGGCACTTCGTACTCTGAGTTCACCCACAATCCTTGCCATGCATATAGATCGGCAACATGCCAGAAAAGGATGAAAGTAAAAAGTTCCATGAGCGGCACGGAAGCCTTGCATGTGATAATATTTATATAGATAAGCTTTTCTTTATTGAGACTGATTGTAGGTTAATAAAATACAAAGATAAGAAATTTAGTTGCGGGCGTAGCCAATTAGGTACATAATACTAAGAACTTTGTTATTGATTCCCAGACAGGCAGGCCACAGAACGAGACTATCTACGAGACTATCTTCATCGAGATGGTGGCTGGGGTAGCACTTGTACTCTTTGGAAGCACGCCAATACCGCTTCAAGCTATCATGCGTCGCCTTCCCCAAGAATGTAATTTAGAAGGGATATATTTTGCTATTGTGCAAGACTTTGCGAATACAAAACAGTCTATGCGCAAATAGCGTTGCGCTTTTCAAGGAGCCTGGAAGCCTTACTCAGGACGGGTGTTATCTTTGCTGTGTAGTATCGCCTCCCCGCAGTTACATTGCTAGTAAGGGTTCACTTATCATGTTTGATCTTCTCTTCGTCGAGCAATTTCGGATGACTTCCGGGATCTTGTACAGCTGCTGGGGACGGCAATCGGTTTTATAAGATGCGTGAGGGAAATAAAATTGAGCCGTGTCCGCTGCCAAGCCTGCTGGCCAAACGCCGACGGCGCCTTGCATTACTATCCTTGTTTCAAAGCCCGGCAATTTCCAGTGAACTGCCGATGGCGATGGGGAATAAATCATTAATGATACAAGAGGCTAAGCGTTAATCCTCCAAAGATAGCGCAGTCGGTTTGGACTACAGTTCATAGTCGCAAGATGACTTATACGCAATGCGACGGGACCTAGATAAACATACTTCGGGAAGCAATGTATAAACGAAATAGTACTATATTTATCAGATGCATGCAAGAATCTAAAGTCTAAGGTATTTAGATTAATCCTCCTACTAATAGCATAAATATTAAAAAACCATCCTTAAACAACAACAGCATATTTCGACCATTCTTCGTCTTTCTCCAGTAGAGCCATCTCATTCTCTACAAGGTTAACCTGTAATTCTATACCGCCGGGATACTGACAAGATGCGCCATCCTTGACATCAACTGATCTCCTGCCATAGGTTGGAAGGGTGCATATGTAGGAAGGGCTGACTGGGTTATCCATCAAAAACCGCATCGTGCAGAATTGGCCAATACCCAAGTCCAAATCTTCGATGCTCGAGTAAATATGCTCCCAAGAATTAAAGATGACATCAGACCCCAGAAGATTTATAGGTGGGCCAATACCAAACTTTCGCAGTTGCTCTCCCACCAATAAGCTGGTCACCTGCAAATTGAATCCCGTCCCATCGAGTTTCTTCGCTTCCTGTACTTCTTCAATTGCTCTCGGAATAAAGTCCTTTTCCCTGAAATGGGAAAGCGGCTGCATAGCGAATATTCCCGCGACGGCATTTCCAAAATAGTCCTTTGGGAGCGGAGGGTCTAGACGTTTGCGCATACACATAACTATCGCCGCTTTGCTCATCGTAGATGCTGATTCGGTTTCAGGTGTTGCCCGGTTACGAATGATGCTGCGCCACAGAAGAATGAGAATGGACTCATAAATGGTTGGTGTCAGAGAGGAGCTCTTTCCTACAGCGGATCTTAATTCTTTAATCTTGGGTGCCGGAATCCAGAAAACTTTTGACATTGTCTCTGTTGATGTTTGAAACAATTTCTTCGGGGCCAGTTTTGATGGTAGGGAGTTTTCGTATAGAGCCCTCATCTTTTGGGCAGCCTGCTCACTCCCTTCCAGTTCTGTTTGGCTAAGCACGGTCTTATCATGGATAGCAAATGTAGATATCGATCCTTCTTCAGGATCAAGATCTGCGGCTGATCCGAGCCTAGCTTGACGAAACCAACGTTTAACAAATCCACCGGCCGCATAGCCATCGCAAATTCGATGATCAAATGCGAGCAAAAGGACGAAACCACCACGAACAAAAGTCAGCTGAATGGCCAGGTTTGGTGGCCCGCCTGGCCACTCAATTAGGTCTTCTTTCTCAAGCCCTTCTCCGAATACGCCAGTGGTAATAGTTTCCAAAGGGAACCTTCCATTTCGATGAAGATTCCGAAAGTCAATATCCAATTTATCTATCACTTTCAATTGGATAGCAGACGATTCTTCGACTCTGACATATGAGGTTCTCCCATCAGCAGGTGAGATAACACGGCCCAGTAGCTGCGGATAAGTAAAGGTATCTGGGTTAAGATCTTGAATCTGCAATTTCAAGCTTTCTTGGAGTTTTCGTATAAGATTTTTGCCGTCTTTGGATGTAGATGAGATATCCTCATCCGCAGCATAGATGAATGCTTTGCGAATGAATCGCACAGGAACCTGTCGATCGCATTCCGATAGAGGATATTCCGCGCTGAAAGGGGATTCGGGGCGGATTCGATAGATCTGTGGTTCCATTTTCTGAGCTCTGACGTGCATAGGTAATGAAATACGAAATAGTCTCTTCCTACCTTGGAATACTATCAGGAGAGCGATCTCTTATATGCTTTCATGGGCATATTAGACTCTCGGCGAGTCATTTAGCGCTGACGCCATGCCACGCAGTGCGATAACTTAGGAAAATATTGTTTGAAGCATATCCGGATAGCTTGTGCTAATTTACATTCCTAGCGCTTATGTCATGAATTCTATCTCTTATCAAAGTGGCTATGGACTGCTATTTAGTCTGATGAGAGACTTTTAAAGGTGGGCATTGCGGCGCCAACAAAAGGAGAACTTGCGGATTCGCTAGGTACTGGCCATACTGCTCCATTCTGAGCCACAATGAGGGACATGTGCGTCATATCAGTGAGGTCTGCCAGTCTCCCTATAAAACGGAGCATAATTGAAGAATCATAAAGATGAATCCAATTTTTAGCTGCTTTATTCTGACTTTGAGTTTGTCGAGCAATGAATACTCTGTAATTGAATAGTATCCAAGTCTAGGCGGAGATGAGGCTGGACTTCTTGCTGCTAGTTTCGAAAGGCATCACGAGTAATTAAGTTATAACGTAAGATAACTTACTACTATTTTTAAAAACTGTACATTTGATAACGCTTAATTTACTTCCGACCTGAAATAGCACAACTAGCTGTCAGCTAGGATAAGAAGTTTAAACTGAATTGGTACTCGGTTAATGTTCAACTATCTCATGCTTAAAGACGGTATTCCGGAAACTTTGTCTTGGAGAATGTATTGTAGTGAGAAATTTGCTCATGTTGCATACTCCTACTGAATATACGAGCATTCAGACTTGACTCGGATGTTCAATTAGACTAGATTTCTCTCGTACTTCTCAACTCCAACGAAGCGATCCGTTTCATTTTAGACGGACAGGGCCAGTGAGAGTAATTTCTTGAAGTTCGGGGTTCCAAATCCTGTTACAGGATCCCATCCCTTGGTCGCATTCCAGTGTGCCCCCGGAATGACACCAGCCTGTCCAAAAGTTAGTTAACAATGACAACCTTGGGTATGAAGGTGTATACGTACTCCAGGGGGAGGAGGCCCCGTCTGAGTGGTATTTCCGGCACAGCCCCAAGACTGGCCGGACGTGATATCCGTGAAGCCACCCTTATCAGCATATTGATAGATCAGGGGGTTCAAGAACCCAAGGGCAGGTTTGCCTAGGCAAAGGCGTGCATCGTTCAAGAGTGCAATAATACTAGCGACGACGGGTGCGGCCGCAGAAGTGCCTCCATTGGGACCAAGTTCTCCGCCAATAATCACTGGATAACTATATCATGGTTAGCATCTATTGGGGGCCTTGGAATGGCGAAACTCACTCGGGGTTGAGACTAAGTGCTGCAACGTCGGGAAAGCCGCGTCCCAAGAAATTGGCGTAACGTTCGTAATATGCCTTTGTCTCGGTGCTGACATGACGTTCAAGATATGTTTTGGCTGCGTCTTCTTGATACCATGGCCTTGTGAAATAGTTACTGAAGCCTCCCGATGAAAGCTCCCAAGCAATCTCATTATCAAGGTGCTGAGTTCCACCGACAGTGGTGATATAAGGACACGAAGCCTATATATTTGGAAAGGGGGGGGGAGAAAGGGGACCAGTCAGTCAACTAAAGAGAAAGCATAGGTTGGAGTATGTAACATACCGGGAACATGGGGTTAAACTGAGGAGTAGTGCTGTTCGAAGCCATACAAGACATTCCAACACCCGTATCGCCAGATGATGCGATAACGGATATACCGCGAAGGCCCAACAGCCCAATCTGGTTGCATACTCGGACGGCATACGCCTGTGGTACCGTTTGTTCCTCGTCACCGTATGAGTTGGCAATGACCTGGGGAAGCTCTGCGTTGGTCCTGGACATCAAAAACTCAAAGTATTCCAGCCACGGCTCGTTTTGGACAGGGTCGCCGATCGGCAAAGCCGCATCAGGAATATACGGCGGGATTCCGGCAACAACAAACTCAGTAATAGGAAGAGGTTGGACAAAGGTCAAGATGGTCTGAACGTCCATGTTGGCCTCGCTGTCGTTTTTGTTGGAAGGTGGCTGAACGTCGATTGCGCCATTGATCAATAAGGTGGAAAGGTTTTGGTTGGGAAGGTCAAAGTACTTCTCAAACTGCGCAAGATCCGAATAACTGGCAGTTTCGTTGAGGAATGAGCCAAAACCAATCCTGCTGCCACATCTTGGAGATGGGGCATAGCCATCAACGCCGTATTTCGTTTTAAGGCAGTCTGGGTGAAAGATTTGGTAGGTTACGTTCTTGTGGATGATGGATTCATTGCAGCTAGAAGGGCTTAGTCGCTTAGCCAATTGTTTTGCTTCAGGAACAATGGCCTTCATGTTGGGTGTTCTCGCTGTCGCGGGGTGGTTGTTTCCAAAATATGTTGTAGGCGAGATGAGATCAACATGGCCGACTAGTTCTTCTGGGATCGAGTACTGAAGAGTACGCAGCTTCTCAATGCCAACAGGATCGCTATAGTGTTTGAAATCTGTGCTAAGCATCTTGTTTGCGGTAGAGACAGTAGTGTAGAACCAAATACTGCCGGCTTGTTTGACGAAGTTCTTCACCCCATGAGACTGGAGCCACGATGCCACGGCTTTGTAAGAGGCATTGCTTGGGGCGAAAATTCCTTCAATCTCTCCAATATCCAGGTATTTGCCATAATTGCCAGAGTTGGGCGTGGATACAGCCGCGAGACGCCATTCCAATTCATCGATATTCTGTTGCGCGAGGGCGATTTGCAAGACAATCGATGTCGAAGGGTCTGGGGTCGAGACTGCATTCCACCCGTTGGGCACTTGTTTGAGGCTTTCCACGAGCACAGCAGCAGAGGCCTGCGCAGCCGCAAGGCAAAGAAGGCTGACGAGCCGAAGTGCCGTCAGTTTAGCCATTGTAAATGCAGCGTTTGGCGATGAAGCAATAAGGAGAGAGACACTTATTTTCGAGGCCACATATCGCGGACTTATTATACCTATAGGGTCTCTTGGAGTTGTTTGCCAAGTTTCCCTTTAGTTCTAAATAATGCTATTAAAAGATCAAAAACAGCTCTTGGCTTGATGGTGTAATTTCATGGTTGATCAGTGCTCTTAGACGACGGGGCGCCCAGAGTGATCGGACGCATGCCTATGAGAGACCCATAGAGGTCAGAAAAATAATAACGATTGATAGATACACTCCACAGACCTAACAAAAGATTATCTATTTCTACCCCTAGCTAGAAAGTGCCAACATATCTCCTAACCATCAGTCAGAGGTAAGCAGGCCAAGTTTGTCAGACAGCAATGCCGTTCCAAGCTGCGAAGTGAAACGTTCAATGGATGACGCTGTTCATAAATATACAACAGCACTTGAGATTTCCTTGACGCTTCCAGAAATGTCCGACAGGTTAGTATGGTCAGTGAAGATGTAGTTACGGTACGGCTTTGTAGCTCAATAGGCAAAAGGGTCCTGATGGCCAGTAAAAAGCCCTCGGACCAACAATTCGCGCATGTTTCTCTCAAGATCAATGTTTTTGGCCTCTTCTTCATCAGTCCGGGATTAATTGGCGTGTTACATATGTATGCCAAGTGTAAACAGCATGAGTTCAACTCGTTCATCTCTCTTCATCGTAGCAGTAGCTGTAGTGCAGCAGAGAGCCAAGTATGTCCGTGTCCAGCCAGCTAATCTCCAATCAGTTTAACCTCAGGGGTTTTGTAACTGCCGATAGATGGACAAACAAACCAGCAGCCCTTTCTTAATTGCCGGCCAACGATAACAAAGACCAATGCCAACATGAATATCTCACCAACGGCAGGCCTCGTATGGGGAAAATCACCGATCTTGATGGAGATCTGCTATTGATGCGGTGGGGCGCAGAAGATGCTAATCCTTTTGCTGGATTGAATACTTATTGTAAAATACACATAGCGCGTGGTCATAGCAACTTGAATCAGTGCTGGTTTATGCTTATTTTCCCAACAGAATGCATAGCCCTACATGCATACAGTACGATAGCTAATAGCAAGCGAATGCCTCTTCTGTCCCTAACTCAAGCCAAATTCTACAGGTACTTAGTATTCAATTATAAGTAGCTTCTGATCCTGCATCGGCTGGTCTGAGCCCACCACCTCACCGACACGAAGCCTCTGTACTCTAAACTCGTCAGTGCGGCGAGGAATCCCTTCAGTGCATATGTATTACACATTTCTGAAGAGAGACTTAAAGTTGGCCAGGAGGAAATAATCGCAAACCCCGCCAAGAGCGAAATTTCAGAAATAGAATTGATCCTCAATATATAGAGGGGATGACAACAAACGCATCACCAGGAAAGTTTTCCCCTCAGCGGTTAGAGGTGCTGTTTAGTTCAATGGTCGTAGTGATAATAGCTATGCTGATAACAGTTTCGACGATCCGATGCATTGAAGTTGTTATCTTTCACGGCCGTGTTCTTCGTATCTCTTTCTGAGCACTACTCACCAAAATGTCTGGCAATCCCGATGATGTAGAACCGGCGGTCGGAGCTCTCCGATACGAGCGCCGCCAAATGTTGCCAAAAGTGAGAATTTGGAGCACATACTGGTGATACACTACTCCGCAGTAGTCCTAGTAGCAGAAAAGACTGACAGCATCTCCACCACTCCGTTTCACTAGCACCATCTGAAAAGCACCATTTAAAAGGCGCCGTGCAGATGGAAATTTCCCAATTGAATGCTCGACAATACGCTTAGACCACCATGTGCAACGACAAACTTCACCAGTTTCTGCAGGCTCTCCCCAAGTGTGAGCATCATGTTCACATAGAGGGCACCATCTCCCCAGAGCTGTTCTTCAGACTTGCTTCTAAAAACGGCATAACACTGCCGTCAGACGATCCGGCTTTTGATAGCCCGGCAGCTCTCCACGCGCGTTATCAAAACTTCACCTCTCTCGATGACTTCTTACATTACTACTTTATTGGATTCTCCGCACTCATCAATGCCTCGGATTTCGAGGCCCTGACATATGACTATCTCGCCCTTGCGTATTCACAAAATGTATACCATGCCGAAATATTCTTTGATCCGCAAGCCCATATCTCGCGCAATGTTCCATACCACACAATCATCGCCGGCATGAATGCCGCAAAAGCAAGAGCTGCTGTTGAACTCCCCAAGCTCAGCGTTGAGTTTATACCTTGTTTGCTGCGCCATCTGCCAGTGCCTTCAGCACATGAGCTGCTCGAAGAGCTACTCGCCTCTGGCCACTTTTTTGACGGCACACTGGTTGGATTCGGAATGTCTAGTACCGAACTGGGAAAGCACCCTTCGCTTTACAAGTCTGTTTACGATGCAGCAAAAGCCGCTGGGGTAGGCAACTTTACGGCTCACTATGGAGAAGAAGGGCCTTCAGATTATGTCAAGGACGCGCTATCACTTCTTAATGTGAGCCGCATAGACCACGGTCGACGCTCTGCTGAAGACGTAGATCTCATCGCTCAGCTTGCCGAATCGGCCACCATGTTGACTTTATGCCCTTTGTCGAACGTTGTATTGAAAGGGGTGGATAGAATGCAGGATATACCGATCCGCGAGTTCCTGGATGCCAACGTGAGATTTAGCATCAACAGCGATGACCCTGCTTATTTTGGAGGCTACATCCAGGAAAACTATTGTGCTATTCAGGAAGCTTTCGGATTGGCCGTGGAAGACTGGGAGAAGATAGCTCGTGGAGCTATTGCTGGAAGCTGGTGCTCTTTGTTAAGAAAAGAGCAACTGTTGAGTGAAGTGGATAGCGTGCTGCAAGAATGGAATTGAAGCGCAAACCCTTCCTGATTACTACGCAATGCTTTTTGTAGATGCAAAGCAGGGCCCTCACTAGAATCGTGGCGAATCACCCCTCTGGAGTTATTTTGCTTAATTAGAGACAAGAAGAGAGGAATGCCAGGCAGTTGGAGCGATGAAACAATTGGCTACAGTGACTCTCCAGTTATAAATGTTTCACGTATAATGCATACTTAGTTCCAAAAATGAATACAGGCGGCTGCACAGATTTTGAGGTAATGTCTTGAAGTTGTTGTTAGTGGTAATGGGTTTATCAAGTGTAAAGCCCAATGGTTAAAATGGCATTGTTTATCTAAAGTTTGCAGAAACTCATAGATAGCTTTTAGTGGTATTGCATTGCCTACGCGACAGAATTGTTGTAGCTGTTGCATCGAGCCATTGGCGCAGAACAGTAGCCAATTCTTACCCTGTATCTCTGACCAAACTCTGGTTGCGCTTGCAGACAGAGATGGTTGGGCAATATAAATCCGAGTTGTATTGGAGGAGTAAGGCTGTATTAGAAAAAGACGTTTTCGTGTATAAGCGACTTTTCTTCTTGTGCTTGCTATTGGATACCGATCCGATGGTTTGTACATTATCCGCATTTTATGTGCAGTACCCGGATTTCTAAGTAGAGGCATTGCCTGAGTAACAATTGCGCATGCCATCTATGACATTCGCATTGGATGATAAGAAAAGGAAACAAAAAAAAAAAAAAAAAAAAATCTACGTCAGGCTGCAGGCATATACTACGTCTTTGTAATACCTCAAAATAAATCTGCAGAGCGCACGGTTGTGTAACATTCAACCAGCTGAGTTTTACTAGGTACACGGTCTTACAGGAGTAATATGCCGATCCGGGGAATATGCATAAAGTTGGATCACACGCTGGAAAAGGTCTGCAGATTGGCGATCCCGCAATTGACTTTTGAGGATCAGCACTTGGAGACTGAGTTTAATTCTAGCCGTGTGTGCCTTGCGCGGAGAGAGAAACGCCAAGGCGCGTTTGCACTGTCAATGTCTGAGACTCTCCCTTTTGCTCCTTCGGAAAGGAGTAACTATTGCTAGGCAAGTTTAGGGCCTTTTGTCAACGGTGAGGCCGTCTGTGAAAATTGGACCGAAATCGTGCATAGAACCACAGTTGCGCTGGAAACGACAAACTAACTGCTTTCAGGAGAGATCGAGATCTCATCCAAGTGGCTCCTGTTAGATGACGCTTATGTTGCATGTCTAAGTAGCCCGCGACAAGCGATTGTTGCTCAGCTTACGGCACTCTGCACGGGCATAATTAGTGCTTGTTCTAGACCTGCAATGTCATGCGAATTACGTCGACGATTAGATGTAGAGAAAAGCCAGAAACATAAAGAACGTAACAGATTGATGGCAGTCTCTTTGTCTTATATAGAGTTGCCAAACTTACACTTACACACCGAATCATTACCAATCGCCCCCGTCGCATCCTGCTGGCATTTATCCACAGCCTAATCTGAGCATAGTCGGTATTCTAGAATCGCAAACCCCAGCCCACCAAGCCGCTTGAGGCACTAAAAAACTGTAAAAAAACATTTTTAGGAGGACACTTTGCTCCGCGCACCCCACATTTGCCAGACAGTATCGGAATTCGCGTCTGATTATTGGCCAGAGGTTGAGCCGACCAATCTCCGGCGAACCGATGTAGCGGCTCCGCTTACCTAAAATCCATCTCTGGATCCAATCCATGCTGTGGCCCTGTTCCCTGTTCCGTGTGCAGTTTCCGCCCTCAGTCGGACTCGCGTCCACAGCCATGCAGCAGCGCTGATCCTCTTGGCCGTCGTTCGTTACTGGATTCTTGCAGGCTCTCTAAAACAACATCCGAGGCACGCTGCGAGTGCATCTTCGTCTTGACGATTTCCAGCGACACCAGAGACCGTCGACCGAAACCAACGGCGGCCGGCCAGGGACGTCCCCGGCGCCTCGACTCGACTCGATTGCCCCGACTCGATCGATCTAGCCGAAGCAGACGAGAAGCGAGCGACGGGCCAGGAGAAAACAGGGCCGGGCCAAAAACCGGTTTGCAGGGCATTTGATACTTTATGCTCCCCGTCGGCTCGCCCGCAGACCCAAGCCTCCAGCCTCGCCAGCCTCATCTCGCCTCTCATCCAACCTCACCTCACTCTCTCCGACCACGACTCCGGCAAGCATGTCGCGCTGGGAACGATAGTTGCGGTCGTTGCTCGCAGTATGCCACGCCTGGCGCCCAGCCCGCCCTCCACCGAAAATGAGAATCGCCATCCGGGAGCAGCTCGCCGCGCTTGTCCTGTCCGCCGTGCTCGTCGCCCTCGCCATCATCTCCATCCCGACATGGATCTACGTGCACAACTTCGTCGTCGACGTCGAGTCCAACGGCCTGGCGCTGACGGCGCAGCTCAAGGCCTCCGAGATTGCCTCTGAGCTGCAGCTGGCCCAGACCATCTGCCAGACCGTCGCCACGCGCATCCTGCTGCAGCAGGCCTTTGTCAACTTCTACAACCAAAACTCGTCCGACCCCTTTGCCAATGCGCGCGCCGACCTCGAGAGCGCCATGAGCTCCAGCCACTCGGCCGGCCTGCTGCAGGCCCGCCTGTACTCGCGCAACACCACCGGCGGCGGCCACGAGGGGCTCGTCAGCGTCACCGGCGCCGGCGTGGGCAATGCCAGCAATAACATCCCGCTGCCCTACCTGGCGCCCGACGGCTCGCGCGTCAACCTGAGCGACACCGAGTTCGGCTACCCGCCGTCGCTCTACCCAAACATCACCTACACCAGCCTCGGATACCCCAACCCGTACATCCCGTCGACCCCGGCCTTTGCTGCCTATGCGTTTCCAAACGTCAATCTTAGTACCGGCGGCGGCCTGTTCCTCGGGCCTCTAGTCATCAACGATACGTTTGCCTTGCTGTCCCTCACCATCCCGGTCCGGTCCTTTGCCATCTCGGGCTTCATTCTTGGCTACATGACGCTGGTTGTCGCCGCGGGGTCTCTGACCGACATCCAAATGGCGCCCGACGGCTTGGGCTCGACGGGCGTCGTCCTCGTCGTTGGGCCGGCCAATCCTTCCAATCGCTTCAATGCATCTGCACCACCAAGCAACGACACCTATACGCCCGTGCCGGGTCAATTCAAAAACACGCCTGTTCGCTTCGTCATCCCCCCCGTCCCAGTGCCAGGACAACCCGATCGACATTCTGAGCGTAGTTTTGAGGATGGCAAAAATTATGCTCGTCCATTTCCGCTCCACGATTTTCCAAGTCTGCAGAAAGTATATACCCAGAAGCTTTCCCTGACCAACAACTCCACTGTGGCCTTGTCAACAACAAACGAGCAAGGCGCCGCCGTTGCCGTAGGCGTCGCCCGCCCGGCCACTACCCTCGTCGACTGGGCTGTCGTCGTCGAAAAGTCCAAATCCGAAGCCTATCAGCCCATTAACCAGCTGAGAGATATCCTCTTAGGGTGCGTCTTTGGCACTGCCGGCCTTGTTGCCATTCTGGTGTTTCCCTGCGCGCACGTCAGCGTGCTATCCATCCGGCGACTCAAGTCCGCGACGGAAAAATCCATCAACCCTCCAGGATATGACGACGAGTTTGATGATGGTTTTGACGAAGAGCATCCAAGCTCGGGAGCTACTAGTTCTAAGCGATCCGACAGGGGCTTTTTCGGCACCATCTGGCGGAAGATATTCCCAAAGAAGAAGATTAAGCCCATTAGTGAAGACGATGCCAACCGACACGTCTTCAAAATTCCTGCCAGAGTCGAGGTTAAGAAAAACTACATTACTGACGAATTGACGGAGCTCTCAATGACGTTCAATGAAATGTCTGATGAGCTGTTGAAGCAGTATACATCTTTGGAGGAAAAGGTTTCCGAGAGAACGCGGGAACTAGAGATTAGTAAAAGAGCCGCCGAGGCTGCCAACGAGAGCAAGACCTTGTTCATTGCCAACATTTCTCACGAATTAAAGACGCCGCTGAATGGCATCATGGGCATGTGCGCTGTTTGCATGGAAGAGGATGATATTGTGCGGATAAAACAGTCCCTCAAGACACTTTATAGATCAGGTAAGCAGTCTCATTCCATCCTCCCCCTTTCGTACGCTGTACCTCTTGCTTCTTGCTAACCCATTGAAAAACCCAGGCGACCTCTTACTGCATCTTTTAGAAGATTTGCTCAGTTTTTCCAAAAACCAAATAGGCCAGCATGTCAGCCTTGAAGAGAGAGAATTTCGACTGGGCGAAATCAAGTCCCAAATGCTCTTTACTTTCGATAAACAGGCTCGCGAGAGCGACATTGCCTTCACCGTCAGTTTTCTTGGGACCGAGAATGCAGAGCTGAATGGACTCCGGAATGATAGTACATTCGAGAAGAGACTGCCTGCTTTAGGCCCCAATGGCATGGGCAGACTGAAAGATGCCTATGTCTGGGGCGATCAGCATAGAATCTTGCAAGTCATAATCAATCTTGTCAACAATAGTCTCAAGTTTACGCCGGCCGGGGGAAAGGTGCACCTTAGGATTCGATGCATTGCCGAGGTCGAGCAGATCAACAATAATGATAGTAGGACTTCGTCATTGTCCAAAAGTGGCTCTGCGAGGGCTGGGCGCAGCCGGCATCGAGGCAGCACGGGATCTTCGCGTTCTGCCAACTCCAGAAATACAAACTCGTCTTCCACGGTCAAAGGCGGCACAGCTCTTGCAATCAATCCCATGGACCCCAAGGCCACCCCTCACGTCCGCATTCGAGAGAGGTCGCCAACACCGCCTCCGCCAAATGCCAAGCCGTACATATTCGAATTCGAGGTAGAAGACAGTGGCCCAGGTATTCCCGAACATATGCAAGATAAGATCTTTGAGCCATTTGTGCAAGGCGACCTCGGCCTAAACAGAAAGTTTGGAGGAACAGGTCTGGGATTGAGCATCTGCTCGCAGCTTGCCAAGCTAATGGGCGGATCCATCACTCTTAAAAGCACCGTGGGTGTGGGGTCGACTTTTACGATGCAGATCCCTCTCAAATACGTCAAAGATCGCCCGCCAAGCACGGCTTCCAGTAGCACGAATTCAAGGCCGACAAGCGTCAGGTCCACAGCTGCTGACGGCCACCGCAATTCCTTGAACGGCTCAGCATCTCCTCTACAAGAGCCAAAATCCAAAAGCACGCCTGCTTTGATAGAAAACAAACTACCCCGTCTTGTGGGCCTCAGTGCCCCCTTTTTCGCTGCCAAACCCGCGTCACCCAAAAAAGATGACCAAATTGCCACGGCAGCCATTGACAAGGCAATGGCCAATAAAATCGACAAGGCAATGGCCAGTAAAACAGATAATGGCAAATTGCGCGTCTTGGTTGCCGATGATAACGCAACCAATGTCGAAGTGGTCAGCAGGATGCTCAAGCTCGAAGACGTCTATGACGTTGCCATTGCCAAGGACGGCCAGGAAGCATTTGAGCTGGTCAAGGCCAGCATGGAGAAGAATCAGCGTTTCGATGTCATATTCATGGATATTCAGATGCCCAACGTTGACGGCTTACAGTCAACACGGCTTATTCGCAAGATGGGCTACGCCGCGCCCATTGTGGCGCTCACTGCTTTTTCAGAAGAGAGCAATGTAAAAGAGTGTATAGAGTCAGGGATGGATGAGTTTTTGAGCAAGCCCATACGGCGGCCAGCCCTGAAAAAAGTGCTAAAGAAGTTTGTCACGATTCCGGAGGAGCCCGAGACGACTGCTCCGACAACGAAAGAAAAGGAATCAAACCCACATACAGTAAACGGAATGAATGGGAAACATAAGGAAGAGGCGCATTTAGATTAATATAATTTTCATTAATTGTTTTTACAGAGAGGCTTTTGTAAATATTGTACTATTTCTGGACAAGTAGTTCTTGTATAACTGTGTACCGCAGACTTTTATAGGTATTTAAATATTCTTACGCTCCCGCCCTTGGCCTGACCGTAACGTCAAAGTTATCTTGTTTCACAAACCAATAATTTGTTGTTTTCCAATCATTCTCTCGGTCTTGCAGCTCGAAATCAAAGTTCTTAACGAGCAGTGGGATCAGCTTCGACATCTCCAAGTAAGAGATGTGTCGGCCAATGCATGTTCGCGATCCCAAACCAAACTACATCTGTGTCAGCTCAAGCAGCCATTAAGCAGAATATGCGTGCGATACTCACTGGGAAATAATATGCATTCATCTGAGCCAATCTATCACCTCCTTCTTTTTCTGCGTCCAGCCATCTCTCTGGCCGAAACACTGCGGCATCCTTGCCAAAGACGTCTTCGTTGTAGTGAGCAGTCCAGGTATTAATACCAATGGTCGTGCCCTCGGGAAAGAATTGCCCGTTTAGATACAGACCGCCCTCAGTGACGTCTCTCCACAGAGGAAGGCCTGTGGCGGGATGGAGGCGAAGTGCCTCTTTCATTACGGCCTGCCAGTATGGCATTTCTAGGCTTTCTTTGAAGCTTAGATGGACTTGGTCCCCATTTGTCGATTGGCTAATTTCCTCTCGTAGTTTTCTCATCACATTGGGATATTTGAGAAGGTAGTATAGAATTGCGGAGAGGCTGATGGCGGTGGTGTCTGAGCCTGCAATGATGTTGGACATGCTCATCATGAAAATGTGATAGTCGGTTACTTTGGACGGGGCATCCTTATTCTTCACCATGATCTTTTCGAGAAAATCCTCCGGCATTCCGTGAGCGTTTCCTATGCCCTTTTCGTCCTTAACATCTCTCTCAATCTTCCTCTGTAAGATTCTTTCCTTTACATAGCGAATGAGAAAGGTGCGTCCAGCTGCTCCTCCTATGCCCAGGGCACTGGTCACAGCATAGATGTAAGGATGCAGAGAAGGGAAAATGCCAATCAGAGTAGAATACGCAAAAACCTTGTTCAAGGCCTGCAATATGCCCGAAACATCTTCTCCGCGGTCAAGGAATCCGAAAGGCTTGGAAAAGGTAATGTTGCCAATGACATCGAAGGCGTAGCATTGGAGCCAGTGGCCCATGTTGATGGGCTCACGTCTTTTCGAACAAATAGACATGCGACTTAACAGGATATCTGCGCATTCGTCCACATACTTCTCGTAGCTCACGAGACTGGACATGCTGTAAAGTCCCTGGAATACTCGTCTTGTCTGAGCATGCCTCTTGATATCCTTGTCGGGAAACAAAGTCCACGCATCGGGACTGGGGTGCTTCCATCCGTCGTACCAGTCTGACTTTGGCAATTTTGAACCGATGCCATAGATTGTGTTTACTGATTCCGGCAAGTCGATGCTAAACATGTTTGGCGCGAGACGTACAATTGGGCCATGTTTTCTATGGAGCGCAATGTTTTCTCTCTCGAATCCGCCGAGAGCAACACGCTTGAAGTACCAAAGGCGGGTGAATCGCGCCCAGAATGGACCTGGAAGATGTCGAGTTGGTGAGGAGAAGCTCTTTGCAATGATGAAGAGAAAACGGGCGACAAGTAGAAGGAGGCCCGTGAGAACGGCAAGTCTCAAGGTCAACATGACTGGTTGCTTGCTGCCAAGATTTGGTATGACAGATGGATTGTTAGATGCATAGCCGCCAAATGGTACCCTCACTAGCATTTCAAACCTCATATATATACCTGCTATCTCTGTTGTAATGCTTTGTAGCTACCACTCTAATCAATTTACCCCAGATTATCCTCCCCATTTGCCGATCTCGACAATAGCATGCGGGCCTAGCGGATGCTGTCGGCTTAGTTTCCCGTTTCGATTCCGCGATCGCATCTGGCCATTGACAGCCGCTCTTTAGTATTGAGATGGTAAGTTTACGTCTCCCAGCGCCCTCTGCTAAACTCCAACGAGTAACAACCTTGGGAATTGATGATTACTTTAGCTGCCTTCCGAGAGGCGCGCTGTATTTCCGCTATTTCGAGATCTGACAGTAGAAGAACGGTGCGGCTTTACCCACTTGGCTTATAGCTGCTGTGTATAGTTGAAGTTGTATGGCTTGGCGGTTAATCGTCTAGCCGCAGTTTCTTATTACAATTACATACATGTCAACGAATGATTGACAACTCTTCATTCGCTGTGATAACACCGAGTTGTAACCCCCTCATTCGCCTGATTATTCAACTGATTTGCCCTTGCCGATCTCGTCTCCAGCGTTGTCATTGCCCGCAGGTTTCTTACCTGCCGACTTATCTCCGGCTTCATCTTCGCCCTCATCTTCGTCCTCATCGTCATGCCACCCGGGTATCAACTCATTGTCCGCCTCTCCCTCTGTTTCAGGATCCCAGCCTTTCAACACTCTTGAAGCTGCAGCGCCATCAACAATGGGCAATTTCTTGATTCCAATCTTCCGAGCTGCCTCCGGTACCACATTAGGATCCAGAGCTCCAATTTGTACCAAAACGCTGGCTTGGTCCCAGTATACGTGCTCGTGATATAGTTTGCCCCCTCTAAGAGTAACAATACTGACCACGAGAATTCGGACTGCTTTTTGGGTGGGTGGCACACCGGGTAGAATCCAAGGCATCTCTTGTGTATGCTTGAAACGAACGTGAATCTCATCAACGATGCGGTCGGCCCCGATGGTACGAGATATTAGCGTCAATTTGAGAGACTTTGGATTACCGAAATATTCAGAGTAGAATTCTTGCAGTTCCTCAGTCCCGATGCCTCCGGTCAGGGTAGGAATATAGGTAACGTGTGGACTCTTATGCGTTGTGTAGGTAGACATTGTCGGCTTGAGATTGTGTGTGAAGAATTTGCCTAAATCATATTTCAATATTGCAATTGCACATGGTAGATCATCAAGAGCATTGCATGAATTCAATCTTAATGCCATTGAGAAAAGAGCAAACTGTTTCTTACCTTGCACATTTTCCTCCCAGACATGTTCCAAATCCACCGTCTGCGCAAATGCCCTCCTCGCCGTGGCCAAGCTTCGGCTCCATGCCAAGTCTGCGCAAATCATATTATACTCATCCAAGTCATGCTCAGCAAATCCCGCCTGTGCTTGATAAGTATAACTGGGAAAGGCGAGCTGCAGCAAGCCGCCAGTGCCCATGCCGGGCTGAATAGTCCTACGACTGGTGCGTTTCTTCCCTTGGATGCCAACCATCTGCGTCTGCTTCGTGACGCCGACATCTTCTCCGGCGATGAAATGCACAAGTGCTGTGATGTTGTTTGGGAAGCGACCTTGTGGATCTGGGATTTCGGTTGGATAGTAGGCAATGAGAAGCCGGAGCTTGAAATCCGGGTTGTTATCCAGAACGTGGTAATGCTTCAGACAAAGTGCGGCTGCGTCACCAAATGCTGCCAAACATCTCGTCAGTTTCGCCTCTACTTTTGGTTGATATCTCGATATTTACCGATGATGCCAAAAGTCTCAAACGCGCTGATGGTCTGATTCCCTTTCAGCCCTCGCAGCTTCTGCAAGTATTCATCTCCACCATTACCCATTGGAAGGTACTCAACGTCGAATCCTTCAGCTTGCCATTCCGCAAAAGTTACAGGGTCAAACTCGTCGCTTTCCGCTGTGATGTACAGCTTTGGGGGGTTCCGCGGGAAGTCGCTGGACAGAAAATTAGGATCTCTGTTATCCGACACATTTTGTGAGATGATGCGCGCGTTCCGGCCCTCTGCTTCTGGAACAGCGGCCTTGATTATTTCTGCAGTGTTGAGATTCATTGTGAAGTAGTTGTTACACAAGGCCCGAGTTTCTGAAGACTCAAGTAATTGTCGATATATAATCGCAATGGTGTGAAAATGCCATTTATATGATAACAAACAGCATTGACGCAACAATTCGTAATGAGCAGCTCATGACGTCAAGGCCATCATGCGTGTTTCCAGTAGAGCAGTTAGCCCATACTAAACTGTTGGTGTGCAGATCACATCCTCTTGAGCAAGCTACGGGTGGCAGCTGGAAGCCGAATTTAGGCTCTAGAGCTGACAATGGTAGGCTGTAAACTGGACTATGGTGCGCTACAATTTGTTAGTTCCGGCGCTCAGTTAATTAGGTGTGTATTGGGACAAGAGGCGAATTGTGTCTACAGAAACTATGCTTTCAATGCATGAAATATCTTTTTTTTTTTTTAAATTGTTAATGATTTGATTTCTCATTCAACAAAGTAATAACTTCGAGTAAACAATTTCAAGCTACATCTACTGCTTGCGGAGTGTCCGAACCCTTTCCAACTTGTACCTGCTGTAGACGCTCACTTATACCAAGACAAACATTCGCTCAGATTTGGTGTCGTCTTCAAAAACCTCGCCGTCCATCAATCCGTCGCAATATGCCTCGCCCAAGTATTGGTACTCGTCAACTCCACGCTGAGAATCCAGCTTCTTCAAAATATGTGGCGTGGTTCCTCCATGAAATATAACGAGCGAGTTGCCTGTTTCCATTTCTGCTGGGCCGAGGCCTACATATCCAGTCCTTGTCCGATACAGCCTTTTCCTCAAATTCTTGAGCATATTCGTTGTGAGAACATTCGTATCGGGACCTAGGCTGACATTTGGATCGAGCCCCATCTTCTCAATGCTCTCGTGAGAAGGCCGTATGTTCAATTTGCCAAAGTGGTAACGATACATGATGTACTTTGATGCAAACCATACTCTTGCTGAGGCCATGAGCAAGCCCGCTGCATCGGTGATGAAGTCTTTTGCAGCCTCATAGGCAATCTTGCCTGTTATCAGTGGATCGAGCGCGCAGATTTGTAGACTGTCCATCTCGGGCATCATTCCCAAATACCAAGGAACAATTCCTAGTGTTTGATAGATGCGTGTGATGTGGTACGATGCAATAAACTCGTCCGATCTGATGAGTCGCTCTCCAAGCGTATATATATTACCGTGCAAAGCTTGAAGCCTCTCAAGGCCACGAGTTGGACCGAGAGTTTGAGTAAAATGCCTATATGAAAGACTAGAATCGCACAGGCGCATCAATAGTCTAGGTTCTGGTGTGTTCTCAGAGTCGGTAGAGTTTTGGTCTCTAGTTGTGATGGCTGCTCCTTTTGCGAACTCGGTGACTTCATCAAAAAACGTTTTTGCCGAGCGATAGTCGACTTGTTCTGCCACTTGCGGACGAAGCTGTGCGCGGTATAGCTGTATTCCGACTTCCACTATTTCGTCTACGGCGATTCCCTTGATATGAAGCTGCGCGGGACTCTCCTTGACAGTAATCAGGGCCTCATGTGCTGTCGATCTACCAGCAGCAAAGGTAGCCTGTTTTAAGCTCGAGTAAGTCGCCGGTACAGCAAGATTCATCGCCCAGTCAGGAACCCATGAGGGCAAATCCTCTGTTTTCTTTGGGTACTGGTTGAATAGCAGTACATCAATGCTCTCCTGTAAAAGCACTCCGGCAATCTCAGAATACATTTGAGTGATGCCGGACTTGTAATCAACACGAACTTGCGCCATGAGAGCGTCATTATTCGCTGCCAGCCCCAGCAAGCCAAAGATTCGATCTTGCTCCAGTGTTACCCCGATCTTCTTCTTCTTGTCATTCACGTTATATTTTAGTACGAGGTCATGCAAGCCCAGTCGTATTCCAGATTGATGAATAGCTTTACGCTCTTGGAAGATCCGTATGAACCCATCCGTCTTGTTCAAAAGAGCGTCTCGCTGACGAAGAACACGCCGAGGCATTGCGCCTGTTATCCGCCGCACCCAGTACGTGTTGTATATGTTGTAAAAGAGTGCACCAGAGCGGAAGCAGTCGAAACAAAGATGCTTTTTACCGCATAAGAAGACCACTAATGGAGCCAGACAAGCTTCTTGGATTACCCACAAGCGGTTGAACCAGATTCGATCAAATATATCGGCAAATCCGTCTAGGGGGAAACGCTCGCCGTATCGTTGGACCAAGTTCAGCAAATCATCTCGATCCTCACGCACTTCTTCGCTAACCTGCAAAGATGGATCCATCACGGCATCGAAAACGTGCATGAACTGGCCAACGTGAGGTCCCATGACTCTGCCCAGTATCCCTTCTTGAGACATTTCGTGAAGAAGATCAAAATACTGATCAGACTGTTGAGTTGGGGCACCTAACCAGACAATTGTGCGAGCGCATTTTGTATAAATATCTCGCATGAGCAATACTTGATGGCTCTTCTCGTCGCGATCTTTCTGATTGATGCTGAGTTGATCGATGAAAAGATACTCTGTCATCTGGGAGGAGACGAGATACCGTAGCGCGATTTCCAGCGCCGGATAGATGTACAGCTTGTAAGAGCCTTGTTCTGTCTCGACGATAATTTGCCTACTGGGCTCTTGGTAACGTGGCCCCAAACTCCATGCATATGAGAGAGCATCGTAGTGTATGCCGGAATCAACATCGGCTTCTATTAGCCTGATTCGAATTGTGCCATTAGCGCCCGGTATGATGGACGGCTTTGGAGGAAGAAGCTGGACTAGGCGAAATATTCTCTTCAAGGGGGATAGAGGAGGATAATTGAAAGGTTTCAATGATTTAAACTCGAATAGCGACATGTTGCTTAACTCTGGGTGAAGAATTGACGATGGTGAACGCAAAAGCTTGCACCATAGCTGAAGAAGCTATCTTAAAACGCTTTGACTAGTCGCTCATGCTATCAGGTGATGCATTTCAGCCGCACTGCTGGTCTGCGGCATATTCTGCCTTGGGCTGATAGGCGTACAGGTGAATCCTCGACAAAGCTGTTTTGAGTTAAGCTTAATTTAAGCATTGTGCCATGGATACTATTTGCCCCTCCAGCACGTTTCACGGAATTGAGCTACCGGTGCCTCGGCGCTGTTATTCTAGAATAGGTACCTATACCTTGGAGCTCAGAGCCGTTAATTGTGCCTTTGGCCGCTGCTAAGTCGTCAAATGGAGTACTCTTGTGGAAACGTCATTTGGCATCCATCAGCTGAACGCTTCTATAGCGGTGCGTTGCCGACGCTCGGCAAACATACGCATAAGCTCGTACTAATATGAAAATGACACACAGATGCAGCCTGATAGGATGGATTCACAAGCTCTAGGCAACCTACAGATTCTACTTATACACGCAAGTCCTATATTGTCCGTGATGGCTTAGCCAAGCGCTATTATGGAAATGCCAGTGTGGCTGGTAGCCTACCTTAGTGAATGTCACATCGTCGTTGAGCTAGGTGCGCAAAAATTGCTCTTGGTCTAAATATTTAGTATGGCAGTCAAAAATGGTGGTAAGCTTTAAATATTGGCTGAAGTTACAAAAGAGAGATTATACAGCGCACTTAACAGACTCTGGCTCTCGAATATGAATAGCATTTGGCTCAGTTCTCATATTACCTAGGTATCCTAGGCTACCAGTCACTGTTGCATGACCATGTTTCATGATTTTCCAAGTGCAATCGCTTCTCGGCGGCTCAAACTTTGAGGATCAAAGTAAGGCTTCTCGCCCAAGCTCACAGATCTTGACCCAGTCCGCTCACCAAGTCCTTGGTTGAGGTAATCTGGTGTAGCAGCGTGGTACACACTTCGGTTGTCCCAGATCGCCAGATCATTCACATTCTGCCAACGGTTGCGGACCTGTAGATCATGGTTTTCGACGATTAATTGAACAAACCAGTTGAGGAAATGCTTCGATTCCTCTTCTGATAAGCCATGGATATGCTGAACGTGGTGACCCACGGCAAAGACACTCTTCCATCCAGTAACAGGATTGGTCCGGATCACAGGGTGAATAGCCTCCAGAACATCGCCGATGTTTTCGGGAGCTCCTCGAGGGGCAGAGAAGAGAGAAAATCCGTTGTGGTCAGCTGCCTCCTTGAATCCAGGCTGAGCATAGTAGGCAGTTAAACCATCTAGGAAACCCTGCAGTGGCTTAGAGATGCGATCGTACAGCTCATATCCGGAAGCCCATAGTGTATCTGGGGTGAATATCAGCATTGTGTCGCAAGCAAGCAGACTGTAATTATGGTAAATAATACATACCTCCACCAGTTGTGGGCAATTCTGTTAGTCTCAACAGAGCGTAGTCACTCGGGATAGGCTCAAATGTAATATCAGAGTGCCATTGGGACTTCTGACTCTGGCGCTTATTAGTCCGTAAAAAGCGGTCGGCGTAGATCTTTTTGGCTTGTTCAGACGAGATGACACTGATTTCGTTGTCTTCTACACTATGCTCCCGGCCGGCGTTGTTAACGGGGTGAATATGCAAGCCAGAGGTCGCTGGCTTCCCGGAGAGCGCGCCAAGGCGCTGCACGAGTTCCTTTTGGAGGTCGTTTGTGATGTTGTCTTGCTTCCGAAAGAAAACAACGCCTCTTTGAGATACTTGAAAATATGTCAGACAATCTTTGTGAAGGAAAAGAAACTTCGTATAGCCGTACCAGTAATTGCCAGATCTCTAAGTAGCTCGTCCGAGTTAGGTGCTTTCAGCCACTCTGCCAAGTCAACGTCCACAAACTCTTTGCCGATCACTGGAGTGACCTCAAATTGCTTGAATTGATCGAGGGCACCGCTCAGCTTCAGTGGTTCACGGTGTCCGGTCTCTCGGCTCGGCTCGACTTGGTCTTTCAAGCTTGTAACGACCTTTTGCTTGAGGTTTTCGGTGACTTGAGCCACGGTCTCTGTGACAGCAGGCGCCATATTTGCCTCTTTTGTTCTTCTTTTTCTTTCAGAGTAAAAGACAAAGGGAGCTGAATGATGAGTGCTCTGACTTATGCATAAGTCTTCATGCTGTGAATGGGGGATATATCCGTTTTATGAGTAACCCAGCCGCGTGGTTAACATCCAAATATTCCCTGATGCAGCAATAGTCATATCACAATCCATTGTGCAACACTGACTATAATTTCATCATCCCATCTCCTGATATCGCAGTCGCCATATCGCTCAACGATTGGTAAGACTGCAATCAATACAGCCTTGTAATCGCCTCTGGGCAACGGAAGTCGGCAGCAAATGCGCGCGGGGTATCACCCAGTTTTTCTCAATTTTACCCTGTATCATGGCTCAGATTGACGGCTTATCGGCCCTCAGGCGCAAGGCAAGGGTTGAAGGTGGTGTGTCCCCCGCGATTGCGTGCCGAATTGACGTTTGACGCGATCCTAGCGCGAGATCACGAACGCAGCATGCATTGCGTAATTCAATAGGGCATTACGACATGTCTATCATCTTCGCTTGGACGTAGTACGAGGGAGCAGAAAGAACAACATGTACAAGAACATCCCCGTTGGTTAAACTTAAAGTTTGTATAGTTTAATTTCTTGGAAGTGGGACTTACTGTAGTGATCTTGGACGTGGAAGGCAAAGAAGTAAGCCGCCCGTTGACTGTAGGAACTACGTACAAAGGCACATCTGGTCGATCAAACTTGTGTTGCAAGGGGCGTCTAAACAAGCGAGACCGATATGATGCTCCTTGGAAACCTCGCCTATAGTTCATGATTCCATCACACAAGTTCCCATTGTGTTTGTAAGGATGTCACGCCGCTTTTTACTAAGAGGTATTATTCGAAGTACCACAGCCGTTGGGCTTTGTTTGACAACCATTTTTATCTATTAAATCAAAAGTTTCTCCCTTTAATGACTAATGTGTGAGGCCGGTTCACGGGATCAATTACTATTTTACTTTTCGAATCGCTTTTCTGTTTTTTTGCGAATACATAGATACCTACCGCAAATAGGTGACTCCAGTATGCTTTGCCATTTTACGTACCTCATGCGCTAAACTTTCAGCGGTAAAATTCCAATCTGTGGTCTCAATTCACCAACAACAAAGATCTAATTGTTCAGCGATCTTAACTATTGTCGCGCCTACTTGTCTGTGGTAGTATTATGTCTATATGTGGTTGTAAATTTTGGTTTAGAAATACATACTAAAAAGCATTTTAGCTAATATAGTAGGTACTATATTTCAACCTTCAAGCGTGGCCGCCACTTCCAAGCTAAGTAAGTGCAAGGCCATTTGCGTGCTTCACTGAGAGTCAGATCAATGAGTATCATTTGATGAAACACTGTTCTTTCGCGTTTAAACTGAATGTATTAGTTAGCTGTACTAGAGTTCTGTTTCCAGAGGCAGATAGCTACATGTAAATGCCCGTGCCAATCTGTTCTCTAGAGACATGTACGGTGGCTGTATGTGCGATAGCTGTGCTTCTCTCTGTCGATGGAGAAGTATAAATTGATAACATTAGAATGATAATCCATCTTCCTGTATATGAAGACAGGTATGTTTTACAAACGTTACTAAGGTAGATTTTTGTTTCTAAAGGCAAATGACTACAAATATAAAATACCCAGTAGGGTTATCAGGTGAAAAAGTAATAAATATTTTGAAGAGCGATACACCAGCTATCATTAACTAACTAAAATAAATGTATACCGATAAGTTAATAAACAATATATTATCATATATAACCAAATGTGATGGAATAGAAAGAAGTAAATTAATACGTAAATAGGTGAATCTAAAGGAGTTGTAAAACTGAAATTGGGATTTCAAGACTTGCTAGCATATACGCATATTTGTCACAGTATTTGTTCGTTATATACATAGATCCATTGTCTCCTACAAGGGCCTGAAACAGGAAAATAGCCAAAACCCAGCGTAATATAAAATGAATATACAATCAGAAACAGTATCTTCGCCTCCACCTATATGCTCCTTGGTGTTTGCTGTCCAAGAGGTATCTTACCCACTTAGCCACAAGTATATGTTTGAACGGCAGCACAGTTAAATGTCGCATGCGAAGGGTTGCAGTTCGAGTTGAAAGAGCCATCTGAGTTGAATAGTTGGAGAGGTGATCCACCACAATTCTCTAAATAGTAAGAAAATCCATTCTCTAGGGGAAATTTCGCGCCGCAAGGATTTGCTCCATTTTCAGCGATAAGCGTCAAGCCGGTTCCGCATGGATTTTGTCCTCCAATCCAAGCAACTGAGTTTATTAGTTATTGTATTGGTGGCATAATTTGCCATATTGAACTGACCTGCATCTGATCCAACTTGCCCGAGAACAACGGTTGCGTACGCATTAGTTGCAAACGAAGCAACGGTGGCCAAAATGTAATGCTTCATATTGAGAGATTGGTCCTGCGGTAGTTATAAGATTGAGCAAGAAACAAATGATATGATGAGGAAAAGAAGTTTTATTGCTGGAGGCTGTTGCAAGTTAAATAGTGATTTCTGAAGAGAGTGATACAATACTACGATTCCCTAGACCTCCAAGTGATTGCAGATTGAACTCCCGCATATAGCATAAGGCTTACACTTCGTATAGGTGTATTGACTCGCAAACCCCGTAGTGGAATGCTTTCTAAGTATGATGCTAGGATAAATTAGCTACCTCTTTGGTTGTAATCAAAACGGAGCTTCGTTCGACGGGCGTCTGCCGAGCTTTACGAAAGAACACGGGGGTTGCCACCAGGGGTATGAAAATAATATCTATTTTATATATGACAAGTAACTTTTAGAAGCTATTGAACCAGATGTCAATGAACCGCCATATCGTTCTACTAAACAGAGGCAAACGTCAAAGCAGTGAGCACACTGATAGTGATTGTTATGATGGAGTCAGTCATGTACTAAGAGGTCGATCATGTTGTAGCGGCGTCTTATTGAAGGTATCGATACAAAAATATTTCTATCCGGTCCCACAATACCCCTGCAGGAAAAATAGGTACTATCTCATCGTGACCTATCTCTTATGAGAGATAATGCCTTACAAGCACAGGAGGCTTAGGATACGATTGTTGAACTTGTCTGATAGATCAACAAATAACGCGTCGGCCCCTCTTGGGTTTCGCCCTTGATCAAAGAAGGCACTATTCCAATTAAGAAGGTAGCTAAGAGAAAATGAAGCATCAATGTATAAGCCGGCCATCGTTTGCCCTGTTTGGCATTATGGTACGACAGAGCACTACAGCTAAAATCTGATATTATCACATAAAGTAGTGAGACCCTGACAGACATTGCTTGATAAACAATTAGCAAGCTAGCCAGATTCCAAATCATTATTCCCATTCTAGCAAAGATCGTCAACATCTGCGCATACAATTCCCGATTCAAATAATTTCTCTGTCAGGACTAAAGCAACCAAACGGTGCCTGAAAATTACTAACTACCTAGGTTAGGGCGGTACCTCGAGATGATGCCTATAGCAGTATTAAGCAGGGGAAATAGCATTATATTTCCCAAGGCGTTCAACTCTATTCAAAGCCCGCCATCAGTTCATTGATCATGTCAACGGAGTCAAAACCCATAGCAAATTGTGGATTATGGTTTCTTGGTATGTCAGGTATGTTGGCTGTTGCGCCTAAGTCAGAGGAGCCGAAATCCGCAGTAGATGGAAAGCTCGCTAAATTTAGCTCCGGCATTAGTGGTAGCGAATTGATATCTTCTATCTCATTTATAGTCTCTGGCTGTCCTGCCACCACATCTTGGTTTGAGATGATCGGACCACTCAAGAGGTTCAAGCGCACAGCGAGGCTCTGAACTCTTTCCCAAAGGTGTTTAGACGGGTGAGAAAAAGTTGCACGCCTGTGTAAGAGATTAAGATATAGGATAGCGCTTTGTTGAGCTGTTTGAAGTGTCTCGGGAGATAATGGGCGCTGTGCTACTGGAAGCATTGCGTTTTGAGAAATAGCTAGCAGCAAAATCCCCAGGCCAGAGATGAGGAAGTAATTGGACTCTGGCCTCGCAGATTGGAATTGCGGCTGGTCGGCATCTATAGCAGCTAAACTAGATGCTATGGAGGTCGCTGCATCAACGCATGTGGACCAGATATCCGCAGATGGCATTCCTATAACTCCTTTCCCGAAGAGAATGAACCTTGCGACACCAATTTGAAGTGTATGTGCTCTTAGGCGAAGCGTGATACCAAGAAAGCGATTCCATTGCTCAATTCTCTCGCCTTCGGCTTCGAGCTGGAATTCACAGTCAATGTTTTTGTACCACTCGCTGAGACGATATTGGAAATAGCTGTAAAGTTCTTGGAACTCCTCGGGCGTTAACTGCATACTGTGCCTGCCGAAAGTTATTGCGCTTGTGGAGCTGGCAATTCTGAGATACTGAACCATCGCATCTAAATAAGGTGCATTGACCTGGGGGCATTATTGTTAATGCTGATGCCTCTATGGCACTTGATGAGATAAACTCACTGGTTTAGGGAACGTCGAGTCCAGAGCTAGGTCCTGCGTCATGGTGGAAAGTCCCAAAGCATGCCTTAGTTGTTGCTCCAAGACAAAAATAGACCATATAATGTTGATTGCTTGTGTACGTGCCTCTATGCTAGGAAATGATCTATCAAGGACCATTTGTCTATTGAGGCCGAGCTCAACGACGACTCGTGCTACGTTGCCCAAGAAACGCCACGCGAGGCGCCATTTATGAGAGTGGTAATAATAGATGCTCTATACCATTTTTTTTTTAGCGAAATTTGCGAATTGATTGGTTCAAGCAGCACCTACCATGAGTACTAGCAAAATCAAGCCGTAGAGATCTGTGTTTGTATTCCAGACTATGTGTTGGGCATCCGGTAACACGTCGTCGTGAATGTTTTGGATCAAATCAGATCCATTTTCGTTTTCAGCCGTTAGAGCAATAGCAGTCATCATCTGAAGAATGACTATTTCGCTTCGCTTTAGAGGGAGAGATCCATTTCCATTAATCTCTGCCCTTAGTCCTCCAAGTCGGCTATTCGTTTCAGCTAAGCGCAGCATCTTCGCTATATCCACCACTGGATACATCATTCCGGCCACGTCATTATATTTCTGAATCAACCGAATAAGCTCCGCATTGTCCAGCTTATCTAGCGGATGCATAGATAGACCATGAGTCGTGTTAACAGAATTGGACGAATGTACACTTGTTTCTGCATCACCCCATTCTCCAATATCAGCTGCAATCTTGTTGACAATCTGGCCATGCAAAATGGAGAAAGATGGTGTTAAAGATGGCTTGCAGTCTTCAAGTGGCGGGGTTCCTAGGACTGGCTCTTCAAATGCCTTGAGACTGTCATCAACAATGTGAATGCAGAATAATGCACTTGTCGAGCTTTGAATGACCGGAAGTGGTTCTTCGCAATCCAATGACGCATTGCTTGAAGGTGTTTTCACATCATGCGGTTGCAATCTTTTGGCAGCGTCTACGTTAGAGACGCGCTTGAGTATTGCGTCAAGTTTGTCGTTCTGTCGTTGTAGCAGCATCTTGATACTCTCGTAATCTGAATGCTTTATCTCGCTGGCGCCTCCTGTCGGCATAAACGGAGCGTGAGAATCTTCCTCTGGTGCTTGTTGAACTTGGAACTGTTGCTGATTTTGTTGATCAAAGCCATGTATGGTACGCGGATTTCGATAGTGGCAAGATGCTGGATCTCTTGCAACGCAGTATGAGCACGGCTGCTTTCCATTGCAGCGCACTTTGGCTGCTCGACAGCGGTTACACGCGTATGCGATGTAGCGGTCGCGCTTCCGAATACCGCCCCCTTGAGTGCCTGATGGCAGCATATCGTAAGGAGAAAGCAGTGTTGAAGTAGGCACGTTGCGCTGTGGGGCAAAGACTGCCTCAGAGGTGAGGTACTGCGTGTTTAGAAATGACAAGAGCTCACGAGCCGAGAGTCAGGTGGGCGGCTAAAGCCCGAGTGTGGGAAAAGTGTGAATAGGCCTGCCTCACTTTGCGGTGAAATAAGAGGGTACTGAGCATTTACAATCCAGCAGGGTAGTTGCTGTAACTCTGCTGTGGGGTGAGATCTCCATTCTGTCGTGGCTCTAGGGCAGAGGCACAAGCAAGCTTGGTGTGTCATCGGCAATGCTACCTTGGAATGAGTAAGCCTTAGTGAAACAATTTTTGCGTGAGCTAGAGAGATATTCGTGATCAGATAAAAATATGCATATGTAACTTACATAGGTTCGAGAAGTCTGTAGACCATTTTTAGCACCCAATTGTCAATGCTATAGGTATAAGTAGGACCTGTAGGCGCATCTATGGAGGAACTTCTCAACCCAATAGTCTACAATATCAGTACTGACAATCAGTCGTGCTATTGCATCTTGCAGTTTGTCTCTCTATAAATCTCCGATTGTCCACCTTCTTAAAACTACGGTATAGTCTGTATCTAGCAGCGGGTAGCCGACCCTTTATCCTGATCTATGCTATGGATATGAGAAGCCCGAATATATCACTGCGCCGTAAAACCTCCATCGACCGGAAGCATGGCTCCTGTTATCCATCGTGCTTCGCTGCTTGCAAGAAACACAGCAGCTCCAGCTATATCATCCGGCATACCAATGCCATGCAGCGGGTGACGCTGTCGAATCTCTTCTGCATCGTGAATCTGTGTCGTATTGACAAAAATGGCTGTAGCAGTATCTAACAAGATGAAGAAAGTACATGTATTAGAGACGGAATAGTCTATGACTTATAGAGAGTAGAAATCACTTACACCCGGGGCAGATGGCGTTGCAATGGATCCCATCTTCAGCATAGTCCATCGCGACTTGTCGGGTCAGGTTTGCTACTGCTCCTTTAGACGCAGCATAACACGCTATTTTCTCCATTAGCCTGTATTTCTACTCCACGAGTATTCCGAGACGGAAATAAACAGCAAAATAAAAATCTTACGTATGTTTTTACCGCCGACCAACCCAAAAATGGAAGAAATATTGATGATCCAGCCGCGATCTCCGGAAACAAGCTTATCTTGGCGCAGCATTTGACCAACAACATATTTGGTCGCCAAAAAGACCGACTTTGTATTCACTGACATGGTCAAATCCCACCACTGCTCAGGTGTTTCGTGAATTTTGAGAGCCTTTTGCCCGGCCTCGATAGAAATGCCGGCGTTATTGACCAGCCTATTGGCAGTAATTAGCCAGACTTTCAATGTACCTTTGTTAATGCGAAGAGAGATTTTTATACTTACACGTCGATGCGTCCATATTGCGCCGTTGTTGCGTTGACCATGGCCTCAATCTCGGCCGCATTGCCTACATCCGCCTTTATAAACATAGACTGCCCTCCCTGCTGCCGAATCAAGACATCTGTTTCGATTTCCTGCTCAGACTTAATTTCTTGTCGGGCGCCTGGCCTCAAATCAACGCAGACAACAATCGCGCCCTCCTGAGCATATGCCAAAGAAATAGCCCGCCCGAGGCCTGAAGACGATCCAGTCACTATGCAAACCTTGTTCAACAGGCGCTGCAATGATGTTGTTTCTGACATGTTGTGGTTTGTCAATTTGAGCATGAAAAAGGTTGTAATGAATCGATACTTCTGCTGCTTCTCTCTCCTCGGGTCGTCCAGCAGTTATAAGTTGAATGCCGGCACGACAGCTTGTCGCTAAAACCATTGGATCAATAGTTTTGAGATTGCACCAATTATCCAGCCAGTCATTCTCTCTCGGCTGCGTACCTTTGCAGGCGCAGCTATTCGGAAGCCCTGCCGTTGGCGACTCGGCTTACTTTCCATCTTCAGACTCTAGCGCATCAGTTAGGCCTATACCGCATCTCTTCCTGTGGCTCTCTCCACTCGTCTTCGATTTCTGCCTGCCACAGCTTCTCGCGCTATTCAAAAATCCAATTCGGGTCATTATCACTGCTGCGTCTAGCCAGTAAATCTGCAATTCTAGAAGCATGGTGGCTTGTTGTCCACCCGAGGTCCCGCTCAATGCCGTATAACAGCTCCAAGACAACTTCAAGGTCTTGCGAATCGGTAAATACTTGGCCCGCCACAAAGAGGGCCTGGACAGAATGTACTCGCACAGAATCCGGCGGATTGGTCAGGCTGATGCCACAAATTTCTCTGGCGTGGCGGAGAGCCTCGCGTTCGCTTTGTCGATATGAGTCCAGACGAGCAGAGACAGAGGATCGAACGGCAGTGGACTCTTGAGGCTGGTTTGTCAAGAGTAGAATGCAAGCCATGTGATAGCTCTGCATTGTTGCAGCGCATATAGATGCCTCGTACCATATCTTTTCGAAATTCAGAGGACAATAGCCTTTGCTATTGCCGAATGTTCCCGCCATATCCGTGCTGAGGGTTCGAGCACTCGGAGTGAAGCTCACTGGGAGGCTGCAACGCCAATCTTGAAGCTCTCGAATGAGCAAGTTCCATCTTTCTAGCAGCTGCTCTTGAGTCACGCCAACTAGCGGCCGCTGCCCCGGCGGAAGGGAATAATGTTCTGGGTTTAATGCGTCTCCGGCGGCGATGTGATTCGCAATCTTGCCCAGCAGCCAGACAAGCTCATTGCTTCTTGCATCCTCTTCAACGTCCGCGGCATTGGAGATGTAAAATGGCATCAACGATCCACATTCATCGGTAACGAGGCCTGCATTTTGCCACAAGCGTATGTCTTTTAGATCGAGCCGTGTCTGCGTCTCGCTAATGACTGGAGGAAATCAGCATAATAAAGCATGCAGTGGAGCCGATAAGTTCAGGACTTACATGCACAGAGCAAATCTTGTCTGGCGAGGCTCCAGAATATTGGACCTGAGACAGCTGCTCTCGGAATAGTGATTGGAGAGCCCAAAATAGAATTGGAGCTGGGGTTCGGACTGAACAGCGGCAGTGCGCTGAGATGAGCGCTCCAGGCTGTACCCGGTGCATCCATAAGCTCGTACGTGCATAATATGGTAATGGAAGCAAACAACTCTTCTTTATCAGCATCATCAGTCTCAAAAGCTCCGCGATTGATAGCAACTTTGAGGTGCTTGATAGCACTGCCATAGTATTTTGCGGATTGATATTGCCAGTCAACTTTATCATCAAGTTGTGGAAGTGCAGTGCGTCTCTCAAACGAACTGTTTCCACTGTGGGAATTATTGTTGTGTTGACAGTGACCTAGATGCTTGGCCGCGAGAGCGCACACGGCGGACTTCAATAACGGCTTTGTAGCGGCCATGACTGTCACTTTGTGTGAGAAGTAGGCACCAGTATCGAAAGTATCCATCCTAGTATTTGTTAGTTCTGAAAGTTGATACGAAGAGTTGCCTTCTTCACCATTGCCCAGGGCCCTCTTTGAAATGCCTCAGCAGTCGCATGGCCAAAAGGCCATCGTGTACAGCCGTATCTGACCCAAGGACAGACGGCCCTTCATCTTCATCCAAGTCTGTTGGAAAATGTGCGGCAATGTTGGATCCACCATGCGGTGTTTCATGCTCACCATCAAATTGTGACTTCGTTGTCTCATCCTCTACATAGTGAGAGACCGCTTGACTTGCTTCCCTTACATCCCAAGAGAGCACAGTCGGGGAATCAGACTCATAGGGATCTTCAATATTGATGAATGTTACTAAAGGAAATGTCAGGATATTTCGGCTTGCTTGCTTAAAAGGGAGTAGATTCAAGGGCTATCGTACAATCTTTCGGAATGCTTAGCCATCTTTGATCATCATCAAAGAGCTGCTGAGACTCGGCTCCATCCCTTGTCTTCCCGCCCGCTAGTATGTTGGTATCAAACGTCCGGAATATGGCCCTTTCTACATAGCAACATTCGCGAGAGCTCTTGATACAATTTCGGCATATAGGTCTCACTTCGTCACACTTCAATTTCCGATGTCGACATGTAATACTGAGAGTTGTTGTTAGAAGGGTACCTTGAAGAGCGTCGACGCATACTCACCAGCCACTATATGACCGTATACTCTTTCGGTTCTTTGTCTTACCCATCTGCGTTTTGTTTTTTGAAAGAAAAAGTGTCAAGGAATCGGTGCCGACATGTAACTTGAAGAAGGAAGCTCGTGGCGAACTGAGAAAGAGAGACATTAGTGGCAACCAAGCCGGAGTGCTGACTACTCGCCGCCATCTTTCTTAACGCTGGTCTAGCTTTACGGAATCGGCCATCCAAGCTAATAGACTCGATTTTATCTAGCAAAAGTGGACATATAGGAATAATAGCTCTTGTTGCTTCGCTGCCTTAATTATCCTCCCATTGCCGTAGTATCTGTGGTTCCAACGATGAGTTCCATAACCAATACCACGGAAAATACCTACCCTGCGTACTGCTCAATGCATCGGCTTGCTTGCCGAATCTGGATTTTGCGTCAACCAGAGTTCAGAGTTGCTCAAGTGAAGATGCGACAGCCGCCCCAAAACTAGGTTTGAGCCACATAGGTCCACTGTCTCGCATGTCCATTACTGGGAACAGGAAAGTGAGCCGACCCAATTACTGGCTAGTTTCATACTGTACATTCCGGCTCACCTTCTATAATCGCTCGTGTTACCTTGATGAGAGGCACTTACATCATAAAATGTGTCCGCGTTTAAGTGCGCAGAATGACTGTGCAAATTAATTTCCATATCCAAGATGGAGGATTTATTATGAAGGCCGCTATATGGTGCCTTATTCATACGAGTATATAGACAGCTACCACCTTGCCCAGAATGTCATCTTTTGTTTTACTTCATTCTTTAATTGATGCATAGGACCCATTGAAACAACCTTCACTGAAAATGGCACATAACACAGACGCTCCCCAAAATACTGATGTGCTCATCATTGGCGCAGGCATGTCCGGTATTGGGTTCGCCGTTCAGCTCCTAAAGCAATTCGGCACAAGAAACTTTACAATAATTGAAAAGTCGGATAATCTTGGCGGGACATGGTGGGTAAACTCGTACCCGGGCTGTGGTTGCGATGTAAGTCTTTGGTCTGGTTCTACTTATCTCAACTAAATTGATCCCAGGTTCCATCTCATTTTTTCTCCTTTTCTTTTGCTTTAAACCCCAACTGGACTCAAAAATTCGCTCTGCAATCAGAAATCCATGAATATTTCTCAGATGTAGCGACGCAGTATGACATCCAGCAGCATGTCCAATTCGCATCTCTTGTCGAGAAAGCTTCGTGGGATGAGGTATCCGGCACATGGAGTGTGACAGTTCGCGATATCCGGTCAGCTACTGTAACTGAACACCACTGCAAGATCCTTATATCTGCAGTTGGAACACTCTCTGTCCCGCGAAAATGCTCCATCCCGGGAGCTTCAAGTTTTGAGGGCAGAATGTTTCACACTGCACAGTGGGATCACACATTCAATTGGAAGGACAAAGAGCTCGTCGTGGTTGGTGAGTGCCTCTTCACCCGTCCATATCTGCTATCCGTATTTACACTGGACAATAGGAAACGGCTGCTCTGCCACACAAGCAATTCCTGAAATGTGTTCCGGTCCTGGAGCAGCAAAGATGATCACACAGTTCTCCCGTCAATCGCATTGGCTCGCTGAGCGCCCAAACCCAGAATACTCCGCTCTGTTCAAGTGGACGATGAAGTGGATTCCTCTGGCCATGCGCATGTACAGAGCAAAGCTGTATTGGTACCAGGAAAGAGATTTCAAGGGATTTGATATAGAGACTGGCGCCGAGATTCGCAGCGGTTGGTCGGAAGAAGCAGCCGACTATATTCGAGCTAATGCGCCTGCAAAATACCGAGACTTCCTCGTTCCCAAGACCGAGATTGGATGCAAGAGGCGTGTCAACGACACCAACTATCTCGCCAGTCTACACCAAGACAACGTCGATCTCATTTACGATGATGCGATTGAGGAAATAGTAGCCACAGGTGTTCGCACGAAATCCGGAAGGACGATTGATGCTGATGCCATTGTTCTCGCCCACGGCTTCGAGACCCAAAAGCCATTTGGATCGCTGGAGATCTTCGGAGAAAGAGGTGCCAGCATTCAAGATCATGTGAGTAAAGTTTAAATAAAAAGACTTAAGGATGGACTATGGCTTACTTGATTTCTATAGTGGAACCAAGTCAGCGAAGGGGTACCTTCTTCATATCTCGGGACATGTCTGTCAGGATTTCCAAACTTCTTTATGCTAATGGGCCCAAACACTTTGAGCGGCCATCTTTCTGTCATCTACACCACCGAGTGCCAAATTAACTTTACAATTCGCATCATCAGGCCAATCTTGAATGCCATAAAGACAGAGCTGCCGTGGTTGGCAGTAAGCAGGCCCGATCGGGACATCGTCGCCGTCAAGCCATCCGCGGAGAAGCACGATATCGAATCGGTGCAGCAAAAGGCCAAGAAACTCGTATGGGCAACTGGCTGTACATCTTGGTTCATTGATGGGAATACCGGGAGAAACACAATAATGTTCCCTGACTGGCAGTACAAATTCTGGTTGAGAAGCATTTTCGTTTCTTGGGATGACTTTGCTTATCGAACATCAGCGACGTTTAGAAAGGGAGCTAAAAGAGCACCGATGGGCAAGATGACTTCCATTTGTGCTGCGCTCGGTGTTTTAATTGGAGTCGGAGCTTATTTGCAAGGTGAGGGGATTTTCAGTCACTCGGAGCGAGCAATGGAGTTACTCAAGTCCTCGGCTGGTTTAAATTGAAAGGAACGAGACTGTATCATTTGCCATTACCCTCGCTGCTTTATATGCTTAGTAGAATCATTTATGGCCTATATTCATCAAAAGATGCCTATCTTTAAACATTCTGAATGCCACATTACATGATACGTCTCCTGCGCTATGTATATATCGCTGTTCTAACTATCGATCAATTTTAAGTAGAGAAGATTTCTCTGGTAACATTTGTGTACTTCATGAAGCTTGAGTATTCTCAGCTATTTGCAGTTTTCTAAGAGTTAGTGGCACACACATATAAGCCTTAAAAACTGACAAGTGCTCAAGGTCATTAAGAGCGTCAAAAAGGATGGTATTGATCTATCTAAAAGAGGCAAGCCCTGAGGGCTTGAACGAACGAAAATTCTAAAAGCTGCGATAAGTCTAAACTAATGAGGATTTTGACCACTGCGTTTATACGTATAGTCCTTAACGCCTTGACAATCCAAGTTTCGATGGTGAGAAGTTGAGGGAGGAGTAACAGTCGGTATCTAAGCCACGTCGTCGTTCAACAAGTTTAGACAGTGGAACTATTGCCGGCGGGACTTGCAGTCTCGCTTCCTTTTGGCAAGCCAGTGTCATGATCTTCCGGGGCGTAGCGGTGCTCGCTGAAAGCTAGATGCAAATGACGATAATCCCACTTGCTTGCTAGTGTTATGAACAGCAATGAAACCACCGGCACTGCTAGTATATCGAGAATACCAAAGAAGATGAAGCTACCGGTGATGCCTATGACATTGCCACCATCGCTAAGCCCAAACGCAACAGGGTACAGCATCCAAGACAAATTTGCAAGCGCAGAGAGTATCATGTAGTCTCGAGAAATGCCAATACGTGACGCTGCCTCGCGGCTCTCATTCAGCGTGCTCATGGCGAGAATGAGCCAGCACAGAGTCCCGAAAGCGAAGAAGCCCCATCTGTAGCTTGTTGGAGTGTAGGCAGCGGCGAGGTAAGTTACCACCCAGAGGAAGGACACAGATATGTTTGTAGCGATGGTGGTCCAAGAGATGTTGGATAGCAGGCCCAGCGCAAGGCTCACAGAAGGGAAGGCGACAGCCCAATTGATATACTTTGCGTAAAATATCTGGCGGGAAGAACCGTTGCCGAGCTGATCCACCTGCTTGACTGTGCTCCAACCTAGATCAGAAGCCTCTGCATAGTATGATACAGTGCCAACAAGGAGAGTGATGGTGAACAGGTAATGAAAAACCCTATCACTCTCTGGGGTGGTGAAACAGAAAACGAGGAGTACGAGCTTCAAATTCAACCAGAATATTAACATTAGACCTTGAAAATGAATAATAATTAAAGAACAAAGTTGTGTTGATACTTACGAATGCGAGCAAGTGAACTGCCATAACTGCCCAAAGCCAATCGGATCCTGCCAGGGAGAGGGTCTCATCCGACCCGTAAGGGGGGTTGACATTTAAAGCGTCATTGGCACGGAGGAATAAAGTCATGGTGTTGGGATGCCCGAACTTTGTGCGTGTAGAAAATGAGCGATACACAAAAGAGAAAATCAGTCGACTATGAATGGTTATTGAGCCGTGTTTAGGATGTCGCTTCTGGATGGAGGAAGAAAGACGAAGGTGTGACAGAAGCAAAACATGTAGAATGACATGATGAATGGAAAATAAACAATCAGCCTGCGATTACTTGGCTATTTGTAGTTTGCAATCAGTATGGGTTCTTGGTATAACGCGAAGCGGAAACAATTTTGGATTTTTAATGTAAGGATGAGCGGAAGCAAATGTAATCGGAAGCAAATCCCAATTGTTTGGCGGAGGCAAACGCCAATGCCCCAATTGGTTTAAAAAAAAAGAACCGCCAGAGTTGGCACTCCAAAGATGGGGCAACCTCGCCGTAAGCTCAGCAGCTCGTGTCTGACAAATAGCAGAATAAATATGTTTGCTTCCGCTCTCGAACCAGCCTTCTGTAGCTTTAGTTTTGCTTCCGCTCTAGCAGCGTATCAGGCCCTGCGGCAATGGTGGCTGAAGTAGACGCATTACAAGGATTGGCAAGCAAGCCTTTGAAGTCTTTCATTGTGAGCAATCGCCATTTTCCATCACGCATGTGCGGTCTAACACTCGGTTCAAGGCGTGCAACAACTGCAAAGCTCGCAAGAAGGGATGCGATAGCAAAGCACCAAGATGCGGTAACTGCATAGCCAGTAACGCAGAATGCAGCTATGCGACAGTCCGCAAAACAAGGGGGCCAGGTAAAAAGTGAGGCGCCAAAACACCCAAGACGTTACAGGCTCGATGTGACATGCGTTAACCCATTATTAGGAAGAAGAATTCTAACAACTCGAAAGAAGTTGAGCATCGGCCTGAGAAAATAAATCGCGCAGAATTAGACGACGACAGCACTTTTCCAGTCCAGCAGTTTAGTGATGAAGAGTCAAGGGCTCAGGGCCGTCAAGTTACGCACCCTATACTCAGTTGCATTTCGTCCACGGCCGTGTTTACAGCCGACCCGTCTCGGAGACAAGTGCAAATCAGAACTCAGATCCCAACGTTGCCAGACTTTCTGGCCGCAGACCAGTTCAATAAGCACCTTGAGAAGATAAGGAGCGGTATTGCGCAGGCGAATCTAGCGAGTGAGCTCACTCCGCTTCTCCCCCGACACATTGCGACACGCCTCATACAAAACTCTTTTGCGGAAATCATGGAGGATAGGCAGCTCCTAGATTTGGCAGGCTTCACCGCTCTTCTCAGCGACCAATATATCGCCAGCTCTACCGGCCCAGCAGGAAACTTCGCTAGATGGGCCATCGTCAATGCTATGACTGCCCTTGCATTGCGATTCAAGGCTGCCCCAGGCTCCGAAGCTGACTTGAGCTCTATTCCACTTGCCTTTTATCACAATGCCACGGCCGTTATACACCAACTCATCTTACAAGAGCCCAGCTTGCTTTCAATTCAAGCACTTCTAGCAATGGCCATGTTCGTTGAAGATACACCAGAATCTACGGCTTTTATTATGCTGGGGACGAATGCTTCACGGCAGCTGGAGCTTTTTAATCGCAAAATGCCTGAGGATTTTAAAAGCAATGGAACGAAATCGAAGCAGCACCAACGCGTATGTGAAATCTCATTCACATTCGACAAGAAGATTGGTTTTCTCTTGACTTCAAATGCCAGCCAAGTGACGGGAAATTCATCGTGAAGTCTCGCCAATACTTTTTTTTTTCTCTTCTTCTTCTTTTTTTCTTTTTGCTTTTGTAATAGATTGGCTTTGTTGAAATGGAAGAGGACATCTCTTTCTTAGCAAACTTCAAGTGTTTTCTAGAGTAGGCTACTGGGATGAGAAGTGCATCTGGCCTACTTCAAGAGCGTTTCAATAATTACTGCATCACTCCATGAAGATGCCCCAGTCAAAGGCAAATATTCGACGTCAATTTGTTATTATACATATAAATGGAGAGCTGTTTCTGGTAAAGGTGTTGTGAGTAGGATGCGATTATAGGTGTAAAAGTCGAGGTATATAGTCATCCATCCGGTGTGTAGCATGTGATCCCATCGCAAAACTTCCTTTTAAAAGAGCTGCAAAATTTCTTCAGTCTCCACGCCTCTACGATACGTCCATTACCCACTGCGGCAGCAAAATCATCACGCGTGTCAATAGCGGCATTGGCTATTCTCGCTTTTTGTGTCAAGAGAAACTTTTCGCGCGTGCGAGGCTCCACTGATCCTTGAAGGTGTTTGAGCTCAATGGCAAAGCATTGAGCTTCTTCTTCAAGTAGGCCTCGTTCATTCGGTAAAATAGAGCCCAATATTCGGCTCGCAAAAATCTGAATGACAAGACAAGTACCAAGAAATTCGTAGCGTTTGTCAGGATTGGCTTTATTGTTGGCATGAATCAACGCCATGTTAAATTCTCGGCGCCACACAGCAATATCTGACCGTAATTCTCGCAAGCCTGCTGCCACAGAGTCAAAATTCTCGGCTCTTAGAGTGTTTTGGACGGCCACCACGTGGCATATTTTCTTGACAAGGCCAGGGAGCTTGGTCAAGAGTATCAACAGTCTGATGCCAAGGGGAGACCGGTCCATAAAGGTTTCTCGTTCAGAGGTGGCGTTTTGAATAGCTTGGGCCCATATGGGGTCGTCAAGAAAACATTCTTGGTCATTGAGAAGAGCCTCCGCACACTGACGATAGTAAGAAACTGTGACTAACTAGAGACAAGAACAGATTGTATTTGACATAATACTCACAATGGGATAGCTTAATGATAATAATAATGCAATGTCAAAATCAGAGGTAAACTGCTCCGGACCTCGAAACCGTATGAGCTGGGCAGCTCCCGCAATATGATGGAACCACAGTTGTCCTTTTGACGAGTTCAAGATCTATTGGGCCAAAGACATTAGGCTCCTACTAATTAACGCTGCAAATGACATTGGACCAACCTCAACGATGGATAATATTCCCATAGCACATAGGATCTCGGCAGCATATCGATTGCTGGGCTTGTAGATGGCCTGCTGCAGGCTTTGAAGAGCCTTTCCATAACTATGAAGGATAACCTCGTCACCTCGACTATTGTTAGGAACAAGAAGCGAATGCGCTGCAGCGATGAGACACCGGAATGCATCGTCCAGAGCCACAACGTGCCCGAAGCGTGGCGGTATAAAAGAGAAATATGACCACTGCCTGTCTACCAGAATACCAGGCAGTTGACCTGAATCCCGATGCAGCAGAGTCGAAGCACTAAGGCGATTAGCATCTTGTGAGCGGGTTGCGAGACGCTGTGGAGCTGGTCCTATACATACACTGGCCCCAAATGCACAGATGTAAGTGAAGAAAAGTTGATAGGGTCCAGACCGATATCTTTGACGAGAAGCTCTAGGCCTGATAAAGGCATAGGAGGCGGCGGGCCAAGTACCGCGTTCTTCCGGACCAACTTGCGGCCCTTTGAAGGCGATTTGGATTGGACGTCATTTCGTATGCGACGCGATGCCCCAGCTGCTTTCATAGCATGCCTCCTAATCTTGCGGTGGGTTTCCCGTGAAAGCCGCTTATTGGGCTCATGCAAGATAAACTCAAAGTCGTCTGCCATTTTGCCATGCTGGAACTCGAGGCTAATGCGCCATTCGCTGCCAGTCTACTCCGTTATTCCAAACGGATATCCGGGATAGACGGCACGTACTCAGAGAGACTGAAGCGATATTTTTGAAGTGATTATTCAGCTCGAATTTTAACATTCGATTGGTTTGCACCCATCGGCTCAATTTTTAGAAAGGTCCTTGCCTGAATGTTGGCCTAGAACTCACTAAAACGCCACAGTTATAAAGACAGTACATTCACAGTATCCGATTCACGAACTCGAGGCAATAATACTACTTGTCTCGCCTAGTAAACGAAATTAAACAGCGAGATTTAAATCGAACAGTTCGTTTTATCGACTCGGTTCGCCTTTTCTTCCGGCAAGGACATGCGCTGACTGAAACTGGAACCAAACCGTAGTTTGAGCCGATCTCCATTCGTTGGAGGATGAGAAACTTGGACAAAGGCCATTATTAGAGTACATGCTAAAATGAGAATCCGTTACGCAGAAGGGGGTCCAAATAATTGTCAGCGCTAGAGAATGCGGTGTTCGAGATCGTCGTCGTTGGAAACACTGGCTGCCGACCTCCGATTGGACATGAAACTACTACTCTGTATATCCCGAGAGGTGATTCCTGGAAAATTCGTGGCCCACCACTGAAAGGAGACGAAAGCTCTATAGGAACGAAAAAGACAGCCCAAAGGATCATAATTAATATCGATTTACGCCGCTGTCCGGTAGACTGGGTATTCTGGCCGCTCAGATGTTATCGCAGTGGTTAGGTCTTAGGTATGATGGTGATGATACACTGTGATGATTATATATAAAAGCAGTTTAAAAGTATCGCGCTTGTTGACATACAAGTATTTCCCATCGCATGTATGAATTGATACTTTTTGTCTCTTACCTCTTCCACGCCTCACCCTTTACTTACATAGCTGATTCCGAATTGGTCGGAACATGTGAGTAAGCTACACACAGCCGGTGAAATAGTAATTCTCTGCCGCCTAAGCCAAGACAAAATCGTTCGATGTGTCAGGGAGCAATGAGTGCGTGTAACATAAAGTGATATCCAGCTAGTTATTGTGTTCATATGTAATGGGAGCATTGACGTATAGCAAAGGGGCGGTACAATATCTTATGGGGTCTCCATAACAAGAGCGATAGTAGCGGTGCACCACGAGTACGTTGAACATATTTTCGATATGACGGATACTTTTCTCTCACAATCTATACACACAGAGCAAGATGGATGGGAAAGCATGTCAGTGTCCTGCCGTATCAAATAGCAAGACTCATGTATTAAAGCAGGGCTTTTAAGCTTATTCATTCTTGGCTATTTTAAGGTTCTTAACTAGACAGGGTTCCACGCTCTGTATGAGGCATAACTTAGTCTTACCACAACAATGCTTGCGATGGAGGAGTGGACTTGTATCACATCATTATTTCTCATTTCAGACATTCTTTCAATGAGAAAAAGGTTGCGTAACCGCAAATGGCAGTTCAGCAAAACTGGATAGTAATCATGTTTGGCACACCGCTTTTGATCGTTCTCGAATCCATCGGAATCCATCTCGTCAAGTGGTTAGCGGCGCCAAGATCTGCGCACATGTTCGTTTTCGCTCCAATTTTTCGTATAAATGCTGTTCTCATTGCCTCTTTTGGGTCTCGCGCGCCTTTTTTATCCTGTCAAATACATTAAGCTCGTATAAGCTCTTCGGTAAACAGGCGGCCCGTGTCTAAGCCAAGCTTCCCCTGTGCAGCAAGCACGGCTACTACGTTACAAATATGTAGGGGCACATAAAGACTTGATTTTCCTCCAATCTTGGTGACTTAAAAATCTAATGACCTTCCCCATTCACTTTAAAATTATTAAACTTGTTTTAAGAACCCTCATTGTGGATTAGTTTTGTTGCACACCAGCGTTTCAGCACTAAAGATTCGGCAGCAAGCCGAGATGGTGGAGAGCAAAATGATTCAGGATGTGGAGAGACCAGGGAGTATATTCCAGGGTGTCGAGCTTAATTGGAAGTTTAATATGTTGCTCAAGCCGAATATAAATTCAGCAATCAGTCCTCTATTGTGGCATTCATTCATCGCAGCCTCGCCATTTACTTATATTCTTAATCCATCTTCCACCACAACCCATTAAAATGTTGCCCAGCGTTCTTCTTGGCGTTGCCACATTCGGCACAGCCGCCTCAGCCTTTTCACTTCCTGCCAACCTCAAGACAATCTACAACAACCACAAGGTAACTCAAGTGGCATTATACTCATTGCCTGTCTAACTTCTTGTCTTTAGTCGGGAACATGCTCCAACAAACTCTCGGGAACATTTAGCGGCGGAGCAGTCTACTGTGGTGATATTTCAGGTGCCATCTTCCTCAAAGGAAGCTCAGGAAACTACGACAACATGGATATTGACTGTGATGGCGCCAATAACTCGGCTGGTGCTTGTGCTAATGACCCCAGTGGTCAAAGCGAGACTGCTTTCAAGGATACTGTCCAGACATTTGGCATTTCCGATCTTGATGCCAACATTCACCCATATGTTGTCTTTGGCAACGAGGGTGGTAGCCCCTCTTTCAACCCTCAGCCTAGCATGAAGCCTCTTAGTGTCATGGCTGTTGTATGCAATAACCAAGTCGTAAGTTTATATATCAGTTCTCTTCACATTTGTCCTGGTATGTTGGATACTGACATTAAACTCAAGTTCTATGGCATTTGGGGTGACACCAACGGCGGTACCTCGACTGGAGAGGCTTCACTTGCTCTTGGCAAGCTCTGCTTCCCCAACGATGGTCTGAGCGGCGATAACGGTCACGATCCCAAGGACGTCCTGTTCATCGGGTTTACTGGTTCTGGTGCAGTGCCCGGCAAGAGTGGTGCGAACTGGGCGGCCAAGAACACCAATGACTTTGAGAACAGCATCAAGGCTCTTGGAGATAAGCTTGTTGCTGGGCTCAAGGCTTAAATAGGAACAAGACAGCCTACAAAAATACCAAGAGACACATGGCTGGACTTGGCATTATAATGATGTATATACCTACATATGAACATAGCTATAAATGCAAAATGCCGCTATTATATGGATAGAGGTTATTTCTCAATAGCCGAGACGCATTCTAGCTGCTTCATGACCCATCTTCATACAGGAGATTTAACCGTGTAAGGTAGCCAGATGGGTCACGGTGAGAGAAAGCTTGGAAGCCTATTTCTTCCCTTTGGCCGCTATAATCAATACCCGAGGACTTTATTCCCGAATTATAATCGCGTTCCTTTCCCCTCACATCTCAAAATCTGGGGATTGCAGAAATGATTGGTGCGGGTGAATGTGCTATCGCAAGAGTGGATTTTGCGGGGATCGCTGAAATATTCAATACCCGAGATGGAGAAATGATCAGCGCTCAGAAACACATTGACTGCGATAAACTCTCCGCATCAATGCTCCCATTTACCCCCACGCATGCCCATACAATTCATTTTGCAGTCTGGGGTTCATCTCCACAGGCAAAGACCGGCGATTCATCAGCGCCAAGCTCCCTCAACCTTGACTCAGTCTCAGCAGGGTTATTGGAGCGCATGACCTCTAGATGAGAGGGATCGGCAGGTAATGAAGGAGATAATTGCCATTCTAACGATGAAAGCGGTCAAGTATAGTTTTCCGGCACGTTTTGACTGCCAGCTTTCTCTACCACCTACGTAAGATCTCACGATTGTTGTTTACATCAGATGGTCGATCATCTCAGACCAAGACCGGGTGTCACCGAGAAGGCGTTTAAGCGCTGCCATTGACGAATGAGAATCGCTGCATTCAGATTCGAAACCCATATCTGGGCAGTTTTACTCAACATGGTATTCCGTGCTGCCTAATGCTACATAGAATGCCGATGATCGGATCGTTCAGCAGACATATAAAGTTGCATGCCCGGATTTTAGCTACGGCGGATGAGCTACATTGACGATCCACCCGTTGTTTTCAGATGCATTGGACACCATGGCTGCGTTTACTGACAAGCTGGCCAAGCACAATGCAGCCAACAAGCTGTATAAGAGCTCTTTGCTGAACACTGTCTGTCTTGTTGCTGGACTGTCAATTTTCTTCTTCGGCTATGACCAGGGATTGATGGGCGGCGTCAACACGGCTCGTGACTATGCGGAACGCATGGGCTTTGGCCACTGGGATGAAGACAAAAAAATTGTCGTCGTTGATAAGCCGTTGTTGCAAGGAGGCATAGTTGCTGTATACTATCTTCCTGGCACGCTCTTCGGATGTCTCATTGGAGGCTGGCTTGGCGATCGCTATGGCCGCATCAAGACTATTGCCATAGCTTGTGTTTGGTGTATTTTCGGGGCTACTCTACAGTCAGCAGCCATGAATGCAAACTGGATGTTTTGTGGTGAGTTAGAATTACGATTCTCAATACTACATCAAACGCTGAGAAATACGGACTGATTTGATATGGTACAGCGCGTGTATTAAACGGCATTGGTACCGGAATTTTGAATGCCATCACACCGGTTTGGGCGACCGAGACGGCTGCTCATACCTCCCGGGGGCAGTTTGTGTCGATTGAGTTCACCTTGAACATATTGGGCGTTGTGGTAGCATACTGGCTGGAATTGTAAGTGAATGAGCTAACAACTACTTGGAACGTTCCTAATGCTTCGATAGTGGTACTTCCAAATATCACGACAATACATCTTCTTTTATCTGGAGATTTCCCGTCGCATTTCAGATTCTGCCGCTCTTGGTTCTTTTCGTTGTCATTTGGTTCATGCCAGAATCGCCTCGATGGCTTGTCAAAGTCGGCCGCGAAAAGGAAGCTCGATTTATACTTGGTCGCCTTCGAGGAGATGAAGGCGAAGACGCCATTCACGCAGAAGCCGAGTATCAAGACATTGTAAACATACGGAACCTGGAAAAAGATACATCAACTCAACAAAGCTACCTCAACATGCTTTTCGGCATCGGCTCTGGGAAACTGCACACCGGTCGACGGGTTCAGCTGGTCATTTGGCTCCAGATTTTGCAAGAATGGATTGGCATTGCGGGAATAACAATTTATGGGCCTGAGATTTTCAGCATTGCTGGGATAAGCTCAGAAGACAGACTCTGGGTTAGCGGCATCAACAACATCACATATATGGTAAGACGGATGCTCATGCTTTGCGGTACGTTTTCTAACAACGCGTCAGTTTGCCACGTTGATTTGCGTCTTTACTCTTGATCGCATTGGTCGCCGTTGGACTCTATACTGGGGAGCGATTGGACAAGGAATTTGCATGTTCGTTGCAGGCGGCCTTGCTCGGGCCACGATTAATGCCGAAGGACACAGCAATCAGAAACAAATCGGCGGCGCAGCGACATTTTTTGTTTTCCTCTACACGGCGATATTCGGTGCTACCTGGCTCACTGTCCCCTGGTTGTATCCCGCAGAAATCTTTCCACTGCAGGTTCGAGCCAAGGGAAATGCCTGGGGTGTTGTTGGCTGGTCTATTGGCAATGGCTGGACTGTAAGTTCTCTGTTTTAATCATCACGACCATTTCTAACAGTATTCTCTTAGGTACTGCTGCTTCCCACTATCTTTAACCGTCTGAATGAGAAGACTCTCTATATATTTGGGGCTGTCAACGTGCTGTCGATTTTCGTTGTTTGGGCGCTGTATCCCGAGTCGAACCAGCGCACATTGGAAGAAATGGATCTTGTCTTCGCCAGCGACAGTATATGGGCCTGGGAAGCTGAGCGCAACTTTGCAAAGCTTAAAGAAGAGAATCCTCAGTTGGTTCAAGGTTCAACCGGGGTCACAGATATAGAACACGCTACCGCAGCAAAGGAATAATATCTACATGTGGCTCGCATAGACATATAGTCTAATTAGAACATAGTGACTCCAAATCAATTCGAACAAAACTCAACTAGTTATTCAATCTTGTCATTTCATTTACTCGTTATACTTATGTATCATAACTCATCAGTCATCAAGCGCCTGCCCAGAATCGATCCCAAGCATCTTTAACAACATCCTTCTGCAGACGATTCAGAAAGTCATCAAACTTAACTGGCTCCTCTCCATCCAACCTCAGCATGCCATCTTTGATGCCCCGCCAGCCCTCTACTGGAAGCCTGATGTAATTATGCCCCTTGTCGCAAAAGCGCATAACATTAGGCGATCCCACCTTCTCAGGGTGATGTCTAGCATTGTAGCAAATCTCGCAAATCAGAGTCGTGGAGCATTCAGTGCAGTAATGCACTACCGAATCTCCCCACCACGCGTATCCAGCCAAGGGACTGCATATGCCTCCATCGCAGGTGTATACGGCAATGCTAGGATTAGCAAGATCCCCCTCATCTTTCGGAGCCGACGACTTTCCGCTTCTGAGGTTCCCCAAGGTTTCGAAATGAGAGATTCCTTCGAAGGCCGCCATTCCTCCTTTAGGTTTTACATCTGAATCGCTATTTGAATCATCGTCGGATCCAAATTCCGAGTCTGCGTCAGACTCAGACCCCGCATCAGAACCAGAGTCTGATCCATCTTCCTCGTCTTCAACGTAAGTAATCTTGGAAAACATGGCAGACACGACAATCCGCGCATAGCGTTGAATGTCTTGTCCCTCTGGAATAGCTTTACTCAAAACCATCAGCGCGTGGCCCAGCTTTTCCAAGTTCTGACCATCGTTCCAGGATACTTTATCAGTTAGACCAGCGAAGCAGTCATCAAGAATGCTCTGTAGTCGCTCCTGAAACTCGCCTCCATGGCCCATCTTCAAGCACATTGACGCAATAACAATTCGGCGGTAAACAAGGTCCAAGGCTGTGTAAATTGGCACCGACAAAGAAAGTGGTCGATCCATCAGCCCTTTAAGTGCTGCGAGCGCCTCTGCTTTGACGCCTGGATCGCGCGAGCCCCGGAATGTTTCGTACAAGACATCAGACATGAGGTCTACTGCACGCTGGAGAGTAGATTGTGGCTCCTCGTCTGTTATAGAATACGGATATCCGTTGGATGTGCTCGCAAACACTTCGTCCAAGCATTTGCGAGAATTCTCAAGATCTCCAGCCGCTCTAAAGTAGGTCACTGCCAGCTCGAGACGCATAGGGGCACCGGCATTCAGTCGATCCAGGAACTGGGCAGCGTCCTTGTAGGCTTCAATAAGAAATTCAGTTTCACCCTCTTGGAGGGCGAGAGCGCGAAGGACATCATGGCGCTCCTGGCCTTCGTTGCAATAGTTCCAGGCCATCCAAGTCAGCCTATTACTGGAACTCCAGCTCTTCAATGTTTGGAAGTATCCAGCGTAGTCGGATGCTTTCTCAAATAGATTAAGTTCGCTAACAAGAGAATCGCCTGAACTCAGTCCCGTGGGATCGATCAATTTTGCCAGAGTGTAAGACTCAGCCGCGTCTTCGCGCATCCCTCGCTTTGTTTCGATCTTTGCCTTTGCAAGCAGGGCCAGTCGTTTGAGTGAAGTAGGAACATTGGCAGTCCCAATGCCCTCGACGCACTCCAGGATAGTCTTGAAAGCATCATCTTTCTCGTGAAGTTTCAGCAGGACATTACAGCGTAGGATTGCGACCTTGAACTTTTCCGTGTGGTCGTCTCCAGCAGTAAGAGAAGTAGTTGCTTTCTCGCACATTTCTTCTGCAGGTTTGTACAGCTTATAATAGAAGAAGAGCTCTCCTACAGCTCGATATGCAGTGCAATCCATTTCAAGGTCGCTGAAGAGGTTAGGCAAACCGAGTGAGCTCTTCTCTTCGCCGAGCTCTTCCTTGGTCTGAGATGCAACGGTTTCGTTATCGCTGGAGGCCGGAGTCTCAGCTTTGGCCACCTGGGCATCTTTCGGGAAATTTGCTTTAGCTTTATCGGCAAGGAGATTATCGAGTCCAGCCTATATTACGCATGTTCAGAAAGATTAACAGTCAAACAAGAGGGATAAAAACTTACAACGCCTAAAAGGCCATAGAGAAGCTTATACGCCGTCAATGCCGCTCCAACATCAGCTGCGGTATAAATGAGGCGAGCGTACCCCTTGGCCATTCCCAGCCGGCAGTTTCGAGAATCAGTCGCAACATCAGCCCACCACGCAGCTGCAGAGGGTGTCAAGATGGATGAGACTTCTTGGACCTTGAGATTCTCGGCCCACAGAGCTGCCGTATCGTTCACCACACCCTTCAAGGTCCTATTGTATACTATCCCAGTGCGACTCAGGGTTTCTGCATAGTCGGTGTGCGAAAGCGCCATTGCAAACCCTTCCATAACTTCAGCCTTCTGTTGAGGTGTGTGCTGGTCCAACTTGATATCCATAAAATGAGACAGTAGCGAAGAGGCAGAATATAGTCGCAGCGATTCCTTAATCGTATGCCCTGGACCCAATGGCTCTGCCTTTACGAGATCAACAGAGTCCAACAATATCTGACGATTAGCTTCTGATTCTGTGAAACGCCAGTCGGAGTTTAAAGAGGAGGCATCTCTAAAGAATGCCCGCATTGATCTTTCTTTAAACTTGACAGGCAAAGAGCCATCATTGTAGACATCGTCTGGATTGTTCGATGCCGAATCCGCCTTTTCGACATCTTCAAGAGAGGTAATGTAGGCGTTTCTGCGACCGCTTCTTGACTCTGCATCCAAAGCTGGATCTCCCACTTGGAGAAACTTGGACGCAACTTCTGGAATTTCCTCGAGGGTGAAGTTGTCGTCTTTAGACAGATACACCAGCAGTGATGTTACTTCGTCGAGAGTAAGGACTCTACGGGAAAATGCAAGCCAGTGAAGCAACTTCAGAGCAATCTGCTGACGCGCAGCGGGCATTCGGCGCTGACATTCGTTCAACATGAGCTCGTAAACGCCCTGTAGTGTTTCCGGCAGCGGACGTGCAAGCACTTGTAGAGCCGCACCTTCGCGACCAAGTGCGTCGAGTCTTGCCAAAGTGTGCTCGGCATATAGCAGGTCTAATGTTAAATGCTTGTTAGAATCTCTCCTCTATTTATGTTAGCTCAAGATTGTAGACTTACTTGGTGAGACTTCTTCCACTTTTTCCGCAATCCTCTGCTGGACGTAGCGTGTAAATCGTTTAAGACAGCCCAGATCATTGATCCGATGCCATATAAGTGATTTAAAATCTGCCAACTGCTTCTCTTTCGTGATCTCTATCGTGCTTACTTCGGCTTGCTCCGAGACCTGCTGTAAAAGTGCAGGGCGAGATGTAACCACGATTGATATGTGAAAGCCTTCCTCTTTGATCAGTTTGACAAACTCGGGAAACTGTGGAAAGTTGACAAGCTCGTCGAGGCCGTCAAAGAGGATGAATAGACGATTAGGAGAACCCTTGCCAAACGAAGGCCCCAATATTCTGAGCAACAGGTCTTTCCATTCCCAGACGCTGTAGACGTTCTCGTCGCGAACCAGCTCGGCGTTGATCCTCTCGCAGAGCGGCGCACTCTGCTCCACTACCTGGATGATGACAGTGACGATTCCCTTCAAAAACCAACATAGATCTCTGACCTGCTCTCGGAAATAGAAATGAGCCACGCAGGTACGTTGGCTAGAGTCTTCCTTTGCAAGACTGTAGAGCTTGTCGTATACTGTGGCGGCCAGGTGACTTTTGCCGGTACCTGGTGGCCCTGCCAAAGCAAGGATTGGCTTCGATACTGTAGTGTCTTTTTCGTCTGGTTTTATCCACGCCTCCCACTCGGGTTGAGAGAAGACCCAAGTGCAGGTATCCGGAACAAGAGTTTCTTTGAGGATTTTATACTCATGGCCGTCTCCCTCCACGTCGGGCATCACGTTTCGCACTCGACTGGCCGATGCTGGTTTTGACGCCTCCTGAGACGATGGCTTGCCCTTGTGGTCGTGCTTAGCATTCTGTTCAGTGAATGCCTTGAGGAGTTTCGCAACATCGGTCCGGATATTCTCAGTGTCTTGGCTGATTGAGAACATGATTTCTTTCTGTTCTTCGAGCATGCGTGTATGCTCTACTTGGTTGACTTGTAGCTCGCCATTCATTTTCTTGAGCTCTTCGCTGTTACCAAGAATGGCAAATTCGGTGGCATTTTGCAGCCGGGTGAGGTCTTTATCCATCTTCTTTCGCGCACCACCCAAGTCGCCATCCTCGCCTCCAATCAAATTGGTTATCCATTTCTCTGGCAAGATAGATTATGTGAGCAAGGCTGCATGGTAATTAAGACTTGGTCGCTGATGGGTGGCTTACTAAAACGGCCAAGTTCTATGTACTTGTGCGCATAACCAGTCAAGGTTAGAAAGGCTGTAAAGACGTCCATGAGACAATTCTGGTATGCTCGATTCGGTGGGAGCCGAGTCTCCAAGATGGTCACACGCTCTAAAAAGCTGTTCATGTCTTCAAAAAACACGACAACGACATCATAGTCGGCTGAAACTTGTTTACAAGCCTAAAAGGCACGCATGTTGTCAGCTCAAGGTCTGCCTACTGTGCCTTATGGCTGCAAAGATGGGATTAATCTCACTGAAAGAAGATATGTAATCGCGGTGCCAATGGCAGCAGCTGGAGGAAAGGCAGGAGTAGCAGCGCTTATCAGTTGCTGAGCGCCTTTCTCGATGTAGTCGATATTGGCGGAAAAGAGGGTACGAAGCTTGTCCACCTTTTTGCTATTGTGTCGAAACTTGTGAAAAGCATTCATTTCGCCTGTGCCAAAGTCTATCATGGCCTGGACATTATTGAACTTGGGCTGAAGGTCAAATCCAACGATACCCTTGTACTGCTTGAGGGCGTCCTTCCACAGGTCGGCAACATCGCGATTATCCTTTTCAATATCTTCGGCAGCTAGTTTCTTTTCTTCATTGGTCGCCATGATGCCAAAGAGAGGGAAAGAGAAACTGGATTAAAAGAGGGTACAAAGGTAGATATGATAGGCAGCGCTAGACGCTGTGTTTGCTATAAGTGAATGAAACAACTACGAAAAACAATTTTGGCCCGGTTAGATGGGCTCATTTCATCTTTAAATCGTTTAGACAGTGAATACTAGTGAGTAGGAGCTCAGCCCTATAAGAAACTCCACAACCCGAAATAAACAATGGTTCACTGGGCTTGGCATGCATGCCTCTTAGCAGTCATATCATTCTACTCCTCATGGCCGCATGATCCTTGTTGTTCGCCCCCAACTGATCACGCAGCTTAGCTGCCATCCGTCTGCCTAGCGTGTAAGCAACAACTAGAACATCATATCCGAGGCAATAGGATGCCCATGGCCTGTCCATCACTTAATCAATTTACACAGTAACTAACCTTTGAGATTAATAAGATATTTTGAACAACTTCAAAACTTCCATAGACTTCAGCAGGCGAGGCGACCACTACTTGTATAAACAACTGAACTTGGGTTGGCAGAAAGCAAACACAGACAAACATTGGTGGACTTTTCCAAAACTAGGGTTCCTAATAGCGTGCTCGGCAAACGATATCAAAATAAACTAGAACAGGAACCCCGCAGCTAGGTGATCGTAAGACGAGCGATTATTAAACCAGACGCACGACAGAGGCGCCGTTGGTCTTGAAGCATCCATGCCGTCCCGCCATTGGAGACGAAATAGCTTTCAGCGGAGATGGCGCTGAGGCGGAGTCACACAGTGGAGTGTCTAAAATGAGAGCTGATCTGAACCCAGCTATAGGATTGCCCTAAAAGAATACGGCGATGTGATGGATCATACTTGTAGTTGGCGCTTGTCAAGTCGGGATGCAAACCAAGTTTAGCACTGGCAATATGAGGCTCTGCTGAGTTGCATGTTGACAACGAAATTCTATTGCTACAAATGAATCACGCGACTTCGACTTGGTGCTTGCGTTGTGCTATCATGAAAGGGTTCAAAGTGCTTGAAAGCCGCTCTTATTTTGCCATCTCTTCGATATCTTTTATCGCAGAAAATATGGCGTCAATCTGTGCGGGAAAAAAAAAAACTTGTATTCAAACGCGCACGCCGAGTACTTGTGAGTTACAGAAAGGCTGCACAATGAGCAGAGTTCCCCCTTTGAACAGCGCACCCAAAGAGCCGCAATTCGAGTAATCATTAATTCGAAACAAAGGATTACTATGTAGTATCGCGTTCCCAATTATTAATCTAGAGTTCACGACATGTGATTGCGCTTTACAGAGTACTATCTACTATTCTATTTCTAGACATAATTTCCAAATGCAGGACGTGAAGTGAGGTTCATCCTTCTACTACCCAACGAAGTAAGCAGAATGCACGTAAGACTGGGCAGCAAGGAAACAAGAAAAAGAAGAGAAGAGAGAAATATTATTAAGTTGAAACAGCCATGATGAGAGGTAATATATCATGGTGTCACTAACCTAGTGTACATGTGGTCTTGTGTCACAATCAAGAACCCCTTCTACCCACTCCAGAAAAGGTACAGTTTCTCGCAAAACAACGACTAGTTCTATATCAAACCCGAAATCCAGTAGTATCGATTGCCTGTACCTTGCCCCCCTCGGTCGTGCCGTTAATCGTGCCACCAGCAGTCGTCACATAAAGAACATGTGAATCTCTTCTTGTTCTCCCAAACTTACAGGCCGTCGCCGTCGCCACTTCAAATGAGTTAGACGCGCCAGCAACCACGGCGTATTTGCCATCGGGTGTAGCAGCAAATATTTTATTCTCAACATTCCCCGCTATCCATTTAATATTCCTTCCACCTGGGCCAAACGTAAAGTCATCCATTCCCTCCGATGGCAGAGTAAGAGCCTTCTCAGCAGACGCATCGTGAGCGGCGACTCCATCCTCGTCAACCTTGATTCGATACATGGAAGTTTCGGGATCACCAGTTACGGCGTTGATTGTTGCGGTGGAATTTGTGAACCACAGGTAACCGTCGTGGACATGAACCCCGTTGATGCCGATAATTCCAGAAACACCAGAAGTATCACTTTCCGGTGAAAACTGAGCTGCCTTGTCCACTGTGCCTTTCTTAACATCAACGCGCCAAACCACGTTCAATAATGAATCTGCCAAAAGCACCAGGTGATTGTTTTGAGGCACTGTGGTCGCGCCGTTGGGAAGAGCCGCATCCGGCAGGGAAGCAATTAATTCAGCAGAAGGAGGCTGGCCATGAGTGAAGTCGGCTTTCCAAAGACCAAAGGTCCCTTTAATAACTCCTGTTGTCAAGCTAAAGTTTCCACCGATAATAGCAAAAACGTCTTTGGATGTTTCTGTTATCCCAGCGAAGCTTGTGATTGTGTCAACAGTAAACAGGCGAGTAATTGTTGGTGTCTGACAGTCTAGAGCTGAGGCCTCATATAGACTGGCATTTGGTAGAATCGTTGTGAAGAGAAGGTTGCCATTTGAACGGACTGCAATATTTTCGACCCAGGTGCCGGGAGGAAATTGAGCGATTACTCGATTCGGAAGAATGTTGGAACCAAGGTGACGCGATTGATGAATTGGAGCTGACGGCACGCTAAGTGAAGCAGCCAAAGTTAGGAGCTCGCATGCTATTATAATGAATGGCAACATTGTTACAGTGGCAATCTGTATAGCCGTCTAGTGCTCTGTATGCAACAAAATGACATTGGTCGCAATACTCTATATATACGCCGAAACACTACGCTTGCACGGTCTAAAAGCAGCTCAATGACGTGTTCACCAAGAAAACGAATCCTCTTCCCCTATTTTACTCATACACATGCAGCTAGCTGTATGCTTTGCTCGTAGGATGAATCCCATGGCGCTCCAAAGCCATCTGATTGTGTAGTTCAAGCGGACGGGGATTCGTCAGATCCTTCGGTATGACTCAAAAACGTTAGTTTTGTCGCTCATTCGGGCACAACTTGTACCCGAGCGAGCGACAACCACCTAGGTATAAGCGAAATAGCCAATAAAGGTCAGCAAAAATCCTTTTCGCAAGGGGTAATGGCAACACACCGCTTGAGGGCTGAAAAATAGAGGTAGTGTGATCTAAACGTATAGGAATGATTACTAGGGCGTGCTACCTACTTACCTAGAAATGAGCTTTTCTATTGGTGGTAAGAACCAGGCGCGGGCAGGGCTCGCCTGCATCTTTGGCTGCCGTTTCAGCGCCCAGGGCTATAAAAGATTCGGTGTTCTAAAATTAGCTGCAAGCATTTGAGCGCGCGGAAATACTGTCATTTCAAGTATACCGGCTATCTGCCAACCACATGTAAAGTTTAAGCTCGCTACAATGATCAACATCTCTGTATGATCCACTGGGGCAAAGTCTGGGCTGATAGCAACTTATCATACTGCAAATTCATGTATACCAAAGCAGAGAAGAATACTAATGAAGAAACAGGGAGAATTCGCAGCTCATCTATACGGATATACACATATTCCCACTATTACCGCTCTACTACCTGGTAGCGGTATTATAAGTGCCTGCAAAGGCAGACACAAGTCTTAAATCCATACCTATGGAATCATCTTTGCAGCCCTCATCAGATCAAAAGCCTCTTGGTAGTTCTGCAACACATTGGAGCGTCTCTCGAATCCTGCAGTCGTGATCTTGGTCAAATCATACTGACGGTCGAATACAGGCAATGAAGTAAGCACGTCCATAAACTCCCAGCTGGTCCTCCCAATGATACCTGATTTCAAGCCATGCTTGGCCTCGAAGGCTGCCCATTCTTCACGATGCTGTTCCATGTATTTCAACACGCTCAAACTGGGAGTCTCCTCGGGAGCAACGCCTTCAAGGCCAAACATGGCGCAGATTGATACCCACTTCTCGGCCCAGTTGTTTCCAGCAGTGACTGGAGAGTCGCCGACATTGAAAACCTCACCATTTGCTATTCCGTCCAAGTTTGAAACAAAGATGTGAGCTCTAGCCAACGTCGTCTGACCAATCTCAGTATAATGGCTATTATATACGGTGAGAGGGCCGGGATAGGCAATTGTCTTTTTCGGCTCGGGGGACTGTCTCTCGCGGTCTGCATAAAAGCTGAGGAAGATGCCCAAAGCTTGAACATAGTTCATTGCGTTACCACCACCCGGCACAAAGCCGATCTAATAAGTGTCAGACAAACACAATACCTGTGAACAAGGTCGGGGTCATCTTACAACCAAATCTGGGCGAATCTCAGCAAAGCGCCAATTCTTCCCAGCAGACAACTTCTGAAGTGAATCATGCTGCGCGTAATAGAATACTTGGTCTTGATAGGGCTGGGGAATTCTCGGATCGGTTTCTTTAGCTGGAACCTTGGGAAATCCCAGCTGATGGACGTGTACATAGCCATATGACTGGAAAAAGAAGAGTTAGTATTAACGGATGGAGGCCAAATATCAGTATGAGCCATAAGAAACAAACCTTTCCACCTGTTTGCAACGACCAGAATCTCAGGTTCGGGCTCACTCGCTCGACTGCCTGAACTGCCGTCTCAAGAATTCGCACGTTGACCTCTTTGAGTATATCAAAACCTTCAAAGTCTGAGGCTCCCGGGGGTTGCACATATGCTGTAAACATTAAAAACTTTAGACTTCTAGCCTCTATGAAGAGAGAGAGGAGAACGTACCAGCAAAGTACACATCAGTTACGTCTTTGATGCCATCGATACCGGCTAGCTTAGCCGCCACGTCGTCTACAGCCGCCGTGAGGTCAACTCCAGGAACAATCACAAGACGATGATCCTCGGGTAAAAACGACTTTGAACGATCCAGTGGCCGATTCGTAAGACCAATAATCTTATGGAACGTTGAGGGTGTTGAATATTTAAGAGCCTCGCGCAATATGGCCCATCCAGTGATTCCAGAGGCTCCAAACACCAAGGCGGTGCGGTTAGCAGCAGTAGAGGTAGGAGACATTTTTTAAGGAGATTGTCCCAATATTCGTATTATGGTATGTTTGTGAAAAGTTTTCTTGATTGTTGAATTTGACTTCAAGACCATCGTCCTAGTGCAACTATATATATGTGCTATCCTTGAGTACATCAGATTTCCACATCCTCCTATTCCCATATCTACTTTCGCAGAGACGGAACGTAAAGTTATGCCGCTTGGCCATCCGTGCGGACTTTACATGATACTGAAATTGAAGTTTACAATACCTCAGAGATACTCGAGAGGCTCTATCACAGGCAAAGTCCCCTTAACTTATAGTGGAGAAGATGGCCGAGAACGAGGACAGAAACGGTCAAGCTGCAAATTGCATCGTGACTAATTAGGCCGCCGCTAGAGTTCACCTATACCGCACCAAGCCAATCAAAAGCAGCGAAGCCAGGATTAGAGTTGACCAAGTCGGCGTCAGAATTCGTCCATGCTGCTGGGACAAATGCCCCGACTAGGTAGTCCGCTGCTCCGCCAAAAAAATTCAAACGAATTGACTGCCGCTCCGCACTTTGTCTTTCAGAGTTGCGGAGGCAGCTTGGAGCTGTATTGGGCAAGATGTAGACTATTTTGATAGTCGCATGGCTTTGGACGCAATATACATGTTTTCGAGAGACTGTAGTAGACATTAACAGTGAGGTACACTTACTGTCTGCTTGTATTTCAGTTCATGGTCACGAATAGTGAGCGTGGAATTACATACTTGCTTCCTTCATACTCGGCGTTCAGGCGCAGATGACATCTCCGCCGCCTCAAGTCTATATTCCGCATCGCAAATGTTTATACTCTCCTCCAAGCCATCTGCCACCATGATAGCCGCGGAAATTTGCTGCTGCTCTCATATACATCAGGTCGCACTGTCAGATAACGGCAGTCCAACGATAGAATGAGCACCGGAACTGTACAAATTGCTCGAGCTGAGTTTAATACCTATAGTAAATCAAGGGTTTAAGCCACAATGAATACAGAATTTTACCTCATGATCCAACCCTTTCCATCTCTGGCTTCACTTCACTCGCATCCACCAGTCTGTGATTATGTAATACACTCAATCCACCCGGGATGGCTTCGGGCCGAGATGCGGGTCCACCAGCAGCCGGTGGTATAAATTTTCGTTTCGGCGACGAGCTTTTGGACTTTTTTTCTTTTCTTCTTCACGTCGACAATACTTCAGTATGTGCACCCCCAGCTTTTGGCCCTCTGCAGGCTGGCCGTCGTACTAACCACTTCAACAGGAGAATCATTTCTATAGTATTTGTCTCTTGCTTTGGTTCCCAAAAGAGCCATCGAATCCACCCTGGTTGATGATTGCATATCCTCGACATCCAAGAGTGAATTTCCCGGTCCTCTCGCACCGTCCGCAAGGATGGCGGCAGAAGCCTCGCGCATCTGCTGTATAGAGAGTTGTTTTCTCTTGATGATCTCGACCCTGTCGGCGGTCATGCCTTCGGGCGCGCTGGCAGGGTGGATGTCGATGGACGTCTGACAGGCTTTTCTTTTCATTGCAACGTCGAGGCTTGCCTTGGCTGCGAAGAAGAGTTAAAAATGAGACATTACGGCACCAGTCACTGTAGCTTTTGAAGCCTTGCGAATGTATCTAGTGTATTCACATCAGTAGAGCTGCTACTCGTCGCTATTCCTTCCTGAGCTTGACTTCCTTCCAGTAACTCTCTCGCTTCAGACCACGCAGCCTTTTCCCATAAAAGATCATTGGCAAAAATATTGCGCAGATAGCCAACGCAACAAACGCGACGCTGATGAAGCAGTTTTGCAGCCCCAAGCCGTCCAGCCAAGGCGTGATGCCATAGCCAATGGCAAAGCTCATCGTGTTGCGAATGATGATACATGATGCCAGGCCATCTCCCGATATTTCTCGATACGAATCAACCAGGTACGCGATTGATAGTGTGATTCCGGCTGTGTTGCAGGCCGCAAGAAAACACATTGCGACAATGAGTCCAAACCAGTGGACGTGATGGGCAGCCTTTTTAGAGTCAGCATTCGTACAAGGCCTCAAAGCAAGGCTTGAGGATCAGGCTGTCGTCAACTTACACCCACGCCCCAGAGGATCTGGCAGGCCGGCACCAATATCGTGGTCGCTGCGAACAGCCAAAGACGCTGCTCCGGTTCGAATATTCCACGATTGCGTCGCGCGAGCTTGATGACGAACCAGTCTGAGACGATGCCGCTGTATGCAGATCTGTGAAGCAGACATTAGTCTCCTTAAACATGTAGATAGAATCAGTCTCAAGGTAAGCTTACCCAATAATGACTCCCACTATGCAGGCAAGATAGCTCAAGCCAACAATACTGGGCTGAAAGTTGTACGGGGCACCGCCAAGTACAATGGATGACGTCGCATTCAGGATATTGAACCAAATGAGGTACGTGCCGTATGAAAAGCCAGAATAGAAGACGACTGGCCAGGCGAGCAACCGGAGAATCTGCCATGCTCGTTTGTGCATGGTGAATGGCCGCGATTTGTCGAGCAGAGAAAGCTTCTGCCAATAGGTCTTCTCGCTCCCCTGGAGGACAATATTTCCGCTGCCACCGTCATTATTGACCCAGGCAGAAGTCACCTCCTCGTCTTTGTTACTGGCCGTCAAAGCCGCTGACCGCGACGTCTTTTCACCCACACCCTCTTGGGAGTCTTCAGCATAGATGACTCCTACCGTTGGGCGATCGTAGTTTGTCTCTTCTAGAAAGAAGAAGAGGAAGACGAAGCAAGCAGCGTCGAATATAGCCATAAAGTAAAATGGCCATTTAAAGCCCATGCTATCGCTGATGAAGCCGCAGATGACAGGCGCAAAATAGTTGGACGTGGCCAAGATCCACGCATACCATCCCATGTAGGTTCCTCGCTCGTGAGCAAAGTAGATGTCTGTAATTGACGTTTCGGGTAGAGCTTCAATTGGTGCGGAAACGAAGCCGGTGACGATGTTGCGAGCGATCCATTGGCCTTGGCCTTTGGCATATGGGCTCCAGACGGACACGGCCTGCGAATGTCAGATCTAGAGGAAGGGGGTGTGCGAAAGAATCTAGCACTTACTATACAACCGAGCATAGAGAGTAGATATGTCAACCGTTTTCCGTATTGCAAAGCAAAGGGTTGCCAGAAAAGCAGACCCCAGCCACATAGCAGGAACATGTATCCCGTTCCTTCGTTGAGGTCGCTTACTGTACATGATATTTCATGTTAGACAAGCTTTTATGCTTCACTCATAGATGACGCTGGTACCGACCGCTGACTTCTAAAGCTGTTGATAAAGGCACAAGAAGCGAATACACAACTGATAATGTCATGCCATTAAACAGCGTGAAGCTGGGCGGCACGATTGCGAGGTCAGCTTCATAATTGACAATCCAGCAGGTGGGCTCGAGAAAGATCAAAGACGCACGCAATCAGGCAGATGAGATGCTGGCGCTTTCGCCATGTCGACCAATTGAGAGGATCGTTTATATCGTTCGACGGCGTTGGAATAAGGATGATGTTGTCTTTGCTCTGGGAATGTAGAGCCTCGGCGGTGTGCTCCACGTCAACGAGCAGAACCGTGCCGGGGATCTGAGACTCATCAATGTCTACTTCTGGGCTCCGCATGGTAACAGTGTTGATGTTATTCTCTGAGCGAAGCTCTGTGCAAGGTAGAAGATGGCATAAAGGAAATCAATACGACAGGCAATTGTTTCCCTTTTGTACAACCTGCATGGAAGTTGACCGATAGCGGACTGCCGCAGGAAGCCGAGCGTCTTTATATCGCCTAGTTACGCCTCCCTATCTACAAGATACGCCTTGGGAATTGGATCAGCGTTACATCGACGTCACAAGACCGAAACCGCGTGCTAACGACGCAGTGATTTTGCTAGCAGATGGCTAGGTGCATGGGATTGCGAACCGGGGTGACGATCTGTAGGAGCGAGACCTGGGGTAACTCGGGGTGTAACCAGGAACTCCGATAAGCTCCACATCGAATTGGCTGTAGGGGTACATGCAACATTTTGAGTTGTCTTGATTCTCCCTGCAGTGGCCATGGAGATATCGGCCTGTTGTTGGCTCTAAAGTACAAATTCGCTTGAGACAGCAGCGCGGGCAACTATGCGGCCGTTGCTCTGTCAAGATGAGGACCATTGCCCCATTTCTGTAGATCGCCAGAGAAGGTAGTACAATCGGCTAAATGATCTTACAGTCGTAGTAATCATAAAATAACCCATCGTCTTCTGGAATAATAAATGTAATTATTAGATAAAAATAGCTACAAGACCGTCTGATCTATAGCCCGAGAGCCACACAAATGCTACTTATTGGAAAATGGACAGAAGCCATTTAGAGCAACTGCAGGCATTTCTGAAGGGCCATCCGACTTTATTGGGAAGGGAATCATAGCAAACGACGCTAAGCTCAGCCAAAGGCGCGCCTAAAACCGATTCCACAAGCCACTATAAGATCCATGGCAACCAGAGCTTCATGTACTCCGCAAAAAGATGCCTCAGTAAGGCCTCTTCTCTGTAGCGCTGCTCGTCTTCTTGCAATTTAGCTTTGTTCGCTTCACCATGCCAAATCTAGTAATCCAGCGACTTCAGAGCCAACTCAACGCTTAAAGGCCATGGCCAAGTCGGAGATGGCCCAGATAGCGGGTTCAACTTCCCCGCAAACCCCAGGCAGAGGATTTCTCTTACGATTCCCATGCCGTTTAACCGCAGCTACGCAGAATGAAGCAGCGCCGCTATTACCATTATGGCAGTTTTCAGTATAAACAGAATCAGCAGTACAGCACGAGGTAGTCTATTCTAGGCTGCAAATTAGAGAGGTTGAGGGTCTGGCGTCGGTATTTTACACCGGGACATTGTGAGCGGCTGGTTCGTGCCTGGCTCTTTATTCCGTGCACTCGCTTATCTTTTGCATGGAAGATACAGACAGATTCTGATAGTCAGTAAATCGACGAAGAGAGGAGAGAGTGTGGATATTTGGAGCTCATTATCTGTGACGTTCATTCTCTTTACCCACATCTTATCTGTATACCCAGTTGATAGCGGACAGATGGATCGTCGGAGATGGCTGTTATCTTCACTGAAACCTTGTAATCCTACCTGCGGCACTAGTCCAGCTGCCATACAGCATGTGTTGAGACACTTTTAATTGTCCGATGAGCTGAGATAACGGCTAATCAAGTAATTTATTCCATCCCTTGTGAAGTGCCCCTGATTAATTATCTCGACACCTTCATTCGCAGCGTGCCTGAGATCAAGGGTAGGCTCAGGCCTAGATCCTTTTTGTTCATATCAGCAATTGAGCTCAAGTTCCCCACTCTTTGCTGCAGCCAGGCCTTTTCGTTTCTGAGCTCTGCTACCTTGCAGATCTTATGTCTTCCATTCTTTTGTGCATGTTTATGTTTTGTACGTCTATTATAAAGAGCAAGATGGCAGACTGAGACAAAGCCGGCAGTGTCCGGTACTGCTCGGCAAGCTCCGGCGCTATTGCGGGGATCTGGAGAAGGCGGGGCTTTTGGAGATGCTTATCGTTGGGTCGGAATTGGGAGAGGCAAAGCATTACACTTTGTTGTGGCGTGCTGTGTTGACTTGCTTCTTCATACAATTTCAAGTGCTGCACATATTCTAGAGACACAAAAGACACAATGGCGACTGATCTGGCCTCTGACATTGAATATCTAAAGAGCCTCCAGGCCGTCCGGGAGCGCTCGCGAATCGTCCTTGACGGGGCCCGAAAGGGGAGCCTCAACAACTTTATTTACGATGAGAGTCGCATGAAAGACACGGCCGAGTTTGTGGCCGGCGTGATATCCGTACGTGCTCTTCAATTCAATTTTCATTTTGCAGACAGCTTCTTGCATCATGATGTAATCCAAAATGAGCGAATGCTAATTCAGGTGTTGCAGCGAGACTTTGGCCCCGACCGATATGCAGAGATTCCTCCCCACGGAAGGTGGGAGCATTTCAGCATCGGAGGCGTCCCGCGTCTGGAAAATCTTGTACAAAAGTGGCAAGATGAGGGAGTGGAAGATGTAGAAATCACTCGACGCCTCATTGACCTCTTCTTCGTGTCGGTCCTGCTCGATGCCGGAGCGGGAGACACCTGGTCCTTTCGCGAGCCCGGAAGTGACAAGTCTTATGGCCGCAGCGAGGGCATCGCCGTAGCCTCGCTGTACATGTTTAACGACGGGGCTTTTAACTCAGCTGCGGATGGAAACAAGTCTGCTGTAGATGGTGAGGATCATTCTTCTGAGGGGATTTTCGTCAGTGAAATAACCATGCATAGGACGTGCTCTCAGCCAGCTCACAGAAGACGCATTCATTCGCCACTTCCAAGTTGGGCCCCAGAATCCCATCGTGGGCTCTGCATCCAGAATCGAGCTATTGAATAATTTCGGAAAGTCTCTTCTTACTATCCCAGATGTCTTTGGCGAAACCGGTAGGCCTGGTCTGCTTGTTGGTAAGTAAAAACGAAGCTCTTTAAGCTTTCAGTGGACATTACTCATATGTCATCGCAGACTATCTCCTCAAGGATGGCAAAGACAAGGATCTCAACTACGAAACTCTCTGGGGTATCCTTCAGCGTCTTCTACTCCCTGCGTGGCCATCAAACCGCCCAAAGATCAACGGCCAGCCCATCGGAGACGCATGGCCGCTCCAACTTCTACAGGACGCTGCTGGCGAAAACAAGAATCCAACGGCTGGATTCCACCCATTCCACAAACTGACCCAGTGGCTCGGCTACTCCCTCACCGTGCCCTTTATGAAAGTACTGAAGCTGAAGTGGATCAACATCGAGACAGGGACAGGCCTTCCAGAGTACCGCAACGGAGGGCTCTTTGTCGACATGGGCGTCCTCAAACTGAAGCCCGAAGTTCTCAGCCAAGGCGTCAAGGCTTCGGGTCAAGCTTTGCCGCTATTCCCTTCTACCGGAGACGTGATTGTGGAATGGCGCGGCTTGACGGTGGCTCTGCTGGATGAGCTACATACACTTGTCAATGGCATATTGGCGCCACAAGGAGTTTCTCTGTCGCTGCCGCAGCTGCTGGAGGCTGGGTCGTGGAAGAGCGGCAGAGAGCTGGCGGCCAAGTATCGGCCAGAGACTCGATCCAGCCCGATACTGATTGATGGAGATGGGACTCTTTTTTAGAAGGCTATCATGGGAAGGCGGATATAGAGTATATTGGTTTAATGGATTTACTGAGATGACTCTGGTATCATCTCTATACCTTAAGGATATTTGGTAACGTATCTGACGCTGATGGCTGCCTGAGCGGCTACCCAATTTTTGCGCATGTTTAGTCGCATCTTGTCTAGATCAAATTCGTTTCCCATTGTTGGATGCACTCACTTTTGTTGCTGTTGGCAATGCCGACCTTTTTCAAGGCCAGCCAGATTGAACCATTAGAAAGATGTAGAGGTGAGAGAAGCTTGGGTCGAAATCAGTATTACACTGCCTAGGTAGAATGAATAGAATACTTGCTAAATGTAACCATTCTTCATCCATTTCTATAATCTACCTTGGATTTAGTCTCAGCAAGGGAGCGAACAGGATATCTTCCCCCCAGCTTCCACATCTGCGCACATTCAGCACGCCTTGACACAAAATATGCCTCACGCGGGATGGCGCTCATAACAGTTCAGCACAGATACCCAACAAAGACGAATCTGACAAGCAACGCATGCCACCCTGGCGGGGCTCCATCAGAGTGCATTACTGGCCGCTTATTGTCACACTGGGTAGTCGCAGCAGCAATCCTTCTGGTGAGACGAATCCATCCATTGGGCGCATTACACCTACAGCAATATAAAGTCGGTGGTGCCCAGTTGACGTGACACAAACTCACAATCAGTCACGACTCAACTCCATCACCAACCACCGCAACGATGAGCGGCGAAGACCTCAGCCTCCCGCGCATCCTGTGCCTCCACGGCGCCAGCGTCAACGCCCAAGTCTTCCGCATCCAGTGCCGCGCCATCATCGCCAGCCTCAAGGACACGTTCCGGTTCGTCTTTGCCGACGCCCCTGCCGAAGCGCCCGCGGACGAGGCCGTCGTCGCCGTCTTTGGCGAGTTTGCGCCCTTTTACCGGTGGCTGCGCTGGAAGCCCGAGCACCAGGAGATGGACGCCGCAGCGGCGTCGGCGGCGATTGTCAAGCAGCTCAAGAAGGCCATGGACGAGGACCGGGGCACCGGCGAGTGGGTGGGCCTGCTGGCCTTTTCGCAGGGCGGCATCATCGCCGCCAACCTGCTGTGGTCGCAGGAGCACCTCGACGAGGCCCAGAGGCCCCTGCCGGGCATCCATTTCCGCTTCGCCGTCCTCATCGCGACGCCTGGCCCGGTCGTCTTCCTCGACGAGAGCGGCAAGCTGCCCAAGCCCCGCCACATGCCGTACGCCAACGAGCGCATGGATCTCTTCCCAGACTGGCCTGAAGAGGGCGCCGACGGCGAGCATCTGATCAAGGCACCGATTCTGCACGTGCATGGGCTGCAGGACGGCAATCTCGTCAACCACCGACGCCTGTTCAAGCTGTACAGCAAAAAGGGCACGGCCAAGCTGATAGAGTGGGACGGGGGCCACCGATTGCCGATCAAGACGAATGATGTGGAGCGGATGGTGAGCGGGATCCGGGCAGTTGCTGAGAGCGTCGGCATTGAGGCGTATGATGATGATGTGTGGTGCTAGATTGGATGATCATGTTGGACAAGGACCATGGGCCGGCGCATGGAAATAGAAAAGGAATACATTCAGTTTGACTAAAATTACATCTTTTTTTCTTCTATAACTATGTACTCTCTTTGTTTGATGCCCAGTTGTGATGCGTCGCACGTTATTCTGGCACTTACATGGACTGCGCTATAATCCAGTATCGGTGCCACATCTCGGAACCAGAAGCCACAGATTCTATAAATGTGGCAACGAATGGTGTAAACCAAGTTCCAAGGGCACAACATCCATCTCCTCTACTCGTCTTTGAAATTGGACGAAAGCACACATGGGTATATGCGAATCCATCTTGGCCAATTAGGCAGGCGTCTGTTCTTATCTCTCCATACGACTTACATGCATCATGCATCATGCAGCCGTTGCCGCGTGCTCCAGTAATTGCCCACTTGTATAATCACAAACTTTACTGGAGGCTGTCTTTCAATTCCGTGTGCGCTACGCTTTGTGATTATATCAATCAACACAAGATCAGCATCGTACGAGCATGATTTACCAGCCAAATAGCTCGTTATTCACCCCATTAGCGGGATGGATTCAAGCACCGGGCTTAGTCACCGCATAGAGCTCCAGACGCTAAGCATGATGTCAACGATGCCCCGCTGATGATCGTGACGCTGCTGAGGCCTCCCCGCAGTAGACTCGATCTTGATACAACAGCCTCGTCTATGCCCCTCCATGATATCGACCATCTGCGGCAAGAGATTCTAGGAGAGCCTGTCTTGAAAACCTCGTACAAGGACCACCAACAACCAGCTACACCATAATGTCGAGTTCCGAGAAGCAGAACCAAGCTCCAGGCGAGCAGTATTTCCCGCCTCCTCCTCCTGGTCCTCCTCCTCAGCAACAACAGCCACAACAGGCATATCCAGCGTTTCCACCTCCTCAACAACAACAGGAGCAACAACAGCTACACCCAACTTTCGCTCCACCGCCACAGCAACCCGAACCGCAATCGCCGCAGCCTCCTCACGACCAACAGCATCAACAAGCTGGTCAGCAGCAGTTTCCGCCGCCGCCCCCTCAGCAGCATCATCAGAACCAAGAGTTCTCACCGCAGCTCAATCAACAGCAGCAAAACCAGACATACAATCCCCAGACCTACCAGCCTCAGTCGCAACAACAGCAGACCTCTGCCTATTCCATCCCCGCCTACAATCCTGCGAATCCCGTCTTTGCGCCGCCGCCTTCGAATGCCCTCAACGAACCTGCCAGTCCCTCGGGATATCAACCCCCATCAGAAGGACAGCAGCAGCATCAGCAACAGCAACAACAACAACACAGCCCGTCTCCAGACCCTCTCGCATACGGCGATGACCACGGACAGCACAAGAGCGGCTGGAGCGAGCGCCTCTCAGCCCTGGGCATGAAGGCCGCTGCGCCCATCAACAGCATTGCGCACAAGCTGGGCAGCCAGAGCTTCCTCCCCGAGACGCTGGACAAGGAATGCGAAAAAGCTGCGACGATCCTAAAGGCCTTTTGCAGTAAGTCACCTACACACTGCTTGTTCCAGACCCAACAAGAGAGAATACATGAGCTCACCATCCGCAGAAAAAGGAGTTTATGCCGACCCTGCTGCGTCTTCGCTGCCCACCTCGACCGACCCCAACGCCGCCGAGTCCACCGACAGAGTCATCGATCCCACACGAGAAAAGCCCAAGACCCGCGTCATCGTCACGATCCCTCCCAAGGTCATCTCCAAGGCTGTTGGCCTGGCCATCTTCACCACGCTCCGGGCCGGCTTCCAAGTCTCTGGCGCCACCGGCTCCGGCATCCTCATTGCGCGGCTGCCAGACGGATCTTGGAGCCCTCCCTCGGGCATCCAGCTGCACTCTGTCGGCGGCGGCTTCCAGATCGGCCTCGACATCTACGACTGCGTCTGCGTCATCAACAACCGGGAGGCCCTTGCGGCCTTTACAAACACGCGGGTCAGTCTCGGCAGCGATCTGGCCGTGGTGGCTGGGCCGTATGGAGCGGGTGCGGCCGTAGAGTTTGGCACGTCGCTGGATCCGAGAGGCGGCAGCAGAGGCAACAGCCGTCCTTCGTCGTCTCACGGACAAGACTCACAGCAGGCACAGCAGCAGCAGCAGCAGCAGCAGCAGCAGCAGCAGCAGCAGCAGCAGCAGCAGTCACAGCAAAATCTGCAGCCCGACTCGACAGACAAAAAGAGCCACCGACGCAGCCTCAGCGCCAGCGCAGCCAAGCCCGTCTTCTCGTACGTCAAGTCACGAGGCTTCTACGCCGGCATCCGCATCGACGGCACCGTCGTCGCCGAGCGCAAAGACGCAAACGCCGCCTTTTACGGCCAGGCCGTCTCGGTGGACCAAATTCTAAAGGGCCAAGTCCCGCCGCAGGGCCCTCCAGGAATGTGGCCAGCTGGAGCCCATACACTCTTTGGCGTTCTAAGGGGGGCCGAGGCTGGCGCTTTACAGGCATCATCCCACGAGAACGAGCAGCGTCCCACAAGTCCAGGGCACCACCAACAGCAGCAGCCGCCAGCTTCACCAAGCCACCTGCAACAGGGACAAGGCCAAGGTCAGAATCACGGGCAGTCATACCCGGCTGTTGCCATTCCTCCTTCGTACGCCGAGAGCGGGCCCCGTCCATACGACGGCGACATCAAATACGCCTGAAGATGAGATGAAGGAAAAGGACAAGACGCCTCGACGTATCATAGATGATTACGATAACTTGCAGCTGTGAACGAATACATGGAATTATTACCTTATCTGCCTCTCTGTATGACGGCTTGATCTATTGTCCACTCCTCCATCTTTGAGCAAAAGTAAGAGGCGTCGCGCCACGGCACCCCGAGAGGCTTCCTTTGCCGTCCCCGACATACTTGTCATTGGTCTTGTAAGAAGTTTGTTTCTTGGTTTCCCTTCCTTCTCTGCGCTTGTTGGCCGACAACACAATAGTTGAAAGAGACGAGAAACTTTAAATTGTGCCGTGTCCGTTTGAAAGATAGATTTTGCCTCTTTACATCATGTTCGACTCCACTGGCCTTCTACAAAGCCCCATTACCATGCAAAAGATCCCGTCTGTTTAGCCAATCCCACAACAAGTCACATCGTCTAGGAGCTGCATGTAGGGTCTTTGTAAGTTTGACAGAATGTCTCACTCAGCCGCATGAGTGCAAAGACCCACAGCTCAGCACGCCAGGGATGTTGATACTGGAAATCGCCTCTCACACCACCTCGTATCACTCTCACCCATTGAAAGAAAACACCACCCGTCTGTCACGATAATCTGTACGTGATGTGCGGCGGTGTACCAACTGATTTCACCCCTTGCCACTATAATAAGCACTCCATCAAGGGCCTGGCAACCCAACCCGCATGATCGTCAGGACAAAGGCAACTAATATCTCGGACCTCGAATGCTCCCGGGGCGGGGGATCAACACGAACCGGAATTCTCGGGCTGGCTGTGGCTGGCGCCAAGGAGTAAAAAACTCAAAAGTTCGAATGCGGCATCTCCAGCTATAAGCTTGCCCACGCGAGGATAAGGTTTCTGGAGAACAATGAAAGCTGAACTTGCCGCTAATTATGCAATTGATACTATTTGCAGAGAAGCGGGTGGCGTTTTGTCTTGTGGAGGAGCTAGACTGGGATCAAGGTTCGCTCTAGATGATAGATTCGACATCGTCGTTGAGTGTAAGCTGCAAGTTTGCTGTAACGCGAATACCTATGAAGAGGCCAGTTTCATGCGTAACAGATATTTCTGCTTGGATTAATCAAAATCATCCATCTTTGCAATATGTAAATTGATTCATATTGTATAGTTGTTTATCCCGCGCAACAGGTATATACCCGAATCGTGACATGTGCCAATCAAGAACGGCCTTGTCAGCTCAAGCGTCGGCACTTCGCCTTTTCCAAAGTATACAAATCAAAGTATTTAAGCCAATATTCGAAATCCTCTGAACCGAAAGTGAAACACGGCAACCAACCTTGCCTCTTGAAGCTCCAATCACAAACGGCGATATCCTTTCTATACGCCACAGCCATTGGTCGTCTCTGTCAATCTTCTCTTAATTTATCCCCATTTGGAGCTCTCTAATGAGACTTTTGTGTGTTTGGATACTGAAACCAATCGTAACAAAGTTTGAGCTATAAAAGTTTTCCATCAATCGGCAAGGCCTCTGCCGAGAAGAGGAATGTGGAGTGCACATGTTAGTCTTGATTGATATCCATGGATGTGAGCAGGAGCGAAGCGAGAGATGGCCGCAGAATCCCATCTGGCAGATTTTTTGGCACATGTGTCCTGTATATATAAAGTAGCAACATCATTATAGTGTCTTATCCTCTTCTATTTCCCCAGTCCTCCCCCTTTAATTCAAGTCCTACACCGCAATACCCTCCTGAATATCATCACAAGTTATTCTTAGACACATTATCGAAACAAAACCTGTCCAGAATGCGCCGACCCTCTGCTTCCCGCGACACGGTCCGCAACGAGCTCGTCGTCGTCTTTGGCGAGTTCTACGGAACCTTCATGTTCCTTCTCATGTCTTATATAGGCACCCAGGCCGCCATCGACAACAACTCACCAGGCAATCCTGAAGCGCCTCTCTTCCCGTTTTCTCTAATGTACATTGCTGCTTCTTTTGGCACAGCCTTGGCCGTCAACGTGTGGGTGTTTTACCGAGTGACAGGCGGACTGTTCAACCCTGCAGTAAGTTTTCTCTCACAATTATCTGTCTTTAAATATGATCAACGACTATAACCCGGCTATAGGTCACTCTCGGGCTTGTTCTCGTCCGCGCGATTACGCCGCTCCGTGGTCTCTTAGTCTTCCCAACCCAGATTGTTGCCGGCATTGCCGCCGCCGCAGTCACCGACGCCCTGCTTCCCGGCCCTCTCCTCGTCGCCAACAAGCTCTCGTCCGGCACCAGCATCTCCCGCGGCCTCTTCATCGAAATGTTCCTCACGGCACAACTTGTCATCACGGTCTACTTCCTCGCCGTGGAGAAGCACCGCGCCACCTTCCTGGCGCCCCTGGGCATCGGCCTCGCCGTCTTCATCGCGCACATTTGCGGCACAAACTTCACCGGCACCGGCATCAACCCAGCTCGATCCTTTGGCCCTTGTGTCGTCACCAGCTTCACGGGCTACCAGTGGATCTATTGGGCTGGGCCGTTCATGGGCGCCTTGCTCGCCTTTGCGGTCTATTCCATTTTGAAGTGGTTGGAGTACCACAACGCCAATCCCGGCCAAGACGACGATAGCAACGTCAAGAGGAATCCAGCGGGCTTTGCTATTACCTCGAATGACCGACAGTATAGCAGTAGCACGACCGGGTCAAAGCCTCACACACCGACTGGGCATAACCCGCGAGACAGCGGGATTGCCCAGACCAATTCGGCTCCACAGGGGTTCCAAGCTGTGTAATGAGACGTGGGACCCTTTGAAGGAGAAAGTGCACCGGGAACTGTAACATTACAAGGCAGAGGATGTATGCTACTCTTAGGGATGAGCACTGTACCCAGAATGAATAGCAGATGGTTGTATACTAGGAAAATCTCGCGTGCTTTGCTATCACAAAAGTCTACTTTGTATTCTTAAGCCATATTAACCATGTATACTTTTGTAATCTACAACAAGGAAATATATTAGCTACGCAATATCTCTTCAGTGCCGTCAAAGAGCCCACTTACCAGCCTATAGCCACAACTATCATGACCACAATTTCACTCTTCCTCCTCCAGCTCCTCTGGAAACCATCCGTATACTTCCAAATCAATGGTAAACTCCCCCATAGCAGTCCGCGTCACTTCAATTCCCTCTTTCCGCAGCGCAGCGGCTTGATTTGTTGCGCCTGAAGGCTGTGATCTAGATATTCACGGTTAGTCAATTATAGCCAAGCATACAAAACAATATAGAAAGCAGCGACAAAAGACTACTCACCTCGGAGATACCGCTCCCTTGGAGTTAATCACCCTCTGCCAAGGCACATTCGAGCTATTAAACACAGCATCTTCATCATGCGGCAAATGCTTCATACACACGCCAACCTGTCTCGGCCTCTGGGCTGTTTCTCCAACGTTAGCTTCTCAATCAACCACCATTTCATCAAAAGCCCATCATTCCAACACAAAGCCATTAAAAAAAAAAAAAGAATGCAATAACATCAAACAAAACTCACGCGTGCCAACCAAATAAGCAAGATGCGCATAAGTAGTCACCTTCCCATAAGGAATCTGCTGAGCAGCCGAGTAGACAGCGTGAAAAAACGCCTGGGCTTCATCCGATCGCGCCATTATTTTACAAGTCAAAAAAAAGAGAGAAAATTGCGCAAGTCAAAACACAAAAATACAAGTTGAAGGTTTATAAAGAAGAAGTAGTTGAAAAAAACAGGGAAATCGCTACATGTAGATGAATGCCAAATCGAATAGTAAAAGGAAAGGAAGGGGTTTGAAGAAAGAAGCACTTTTTGGGTGGGCCTCGGAGCTTTTTGATAGGTGCTGATTCACTCAAGCTTTAGCATGACAGGTGCTGAATTCGCAGAAAACTGCCATAAGCGTCCATAGTAACATGTACAGTAAGCAAGACAGACGGCCAACGTTAGAGGCATCAAGTCTACATACGTTTGCCACGTAAAGCTTCAGTCTATAGCTGTAGCCGCAGCGTCTAAATAGCTTCACAAGCCAAAAGCAATCCAAATACACGTAAATACTACTAAAAAGCCATAACGCCCTTCCAACTCTCAATACACCAAAAAGCATCTATCCTGTCCCTATCAATCTTCAATTATACAACCACGCTTGACTCTATTATCACATATCTCTGCTCCTTACCCAAAAAGGATAATTGATTAGGAATCTCAACTCCTCATCTTTCTCTCCCTCTATCACACAAGCTGTATTATAAATCCACTCAACAAAACACCACCAACCAGCGCAGGCAAAAAAATCCAGAATAAGCCCTTTGCCAGGGAAAATAAACATTTACCAATAAACATTTGCAATAATACGTATGTAAGATATAATCAACGGCCACGCCGCAGTGCGTATTCACATTCAGCACCTTCAAAACAAACAAAACAAAACAAAACAAAAAAGCCATTTACAAAAAAAGTACAAATAATCTACAAAGTGCCATGTCCATCAACTCCAAGGCCTTTCATAACATGGTTCGTCTAGTCCATGCAGTCAGACTCTCCTCTTTTGTTTTTTACAATTCCTCCAACGTCGTCAAGCTCCATCTCACACACGATCCCTCTGCACCCTCAAACTAAAGATAATAACTGCGTCTCCACTGCAAAGGAAGAAAATAAAGATGTAAACTAAACATAAATATATAGGTAAAATAAACAACGTGCATCATGACATACACCAATCATCTAGCCTTGAGCAGACAATGTCGTATTTTTTGCTCGCCTCTAGGGGAAAAAGAAAAAGGGTCATTTCGAGGACGAAAAAGAAAGTGAATCAGGATTGAAAACTCCCGGCTGTGCTGAACGAAACCAAAGGAAGAAGGGAAGAAGAAGTAGAAAGCCAACAGCCAACACCAAGATATAAGATGTCAATATGTTTCTTCTTCAAACCAGAAACACCAACAGAACAATCATCAAAAACTCATACAAGGGATATTATAAAAAGAGTTCAGCAGAGCGAGCTTTCATCGTAACCAAAGAGTAAAGAGAAGAGATCCAATCTGAATCGCCCCAGTAGGCAGTGAGTTCCTACGAGGCGCAGATAAAATTGGGGGTATAGTCCTGTAGTCCCCCACGCCGACCGGCTGCGTCTGTCCATGGACGTCGTTTAGAAGCAATTCAAGCTGCCCTTCTTCTTCTTGCCCTTGTTGATGGCCTGCATTCTCTCTTCCAGCTGCCTTCGAGCAGCCTCTGCCGCCTGTCTCTTCTTCCGCTCCTCTTCCACTGCTTGCATGCTGTAGCGGTTGTCCTGTGACTGATCTTGTCGCTCCTTCACCTCCTTCAGCTCAGCCTCGAGCTCTTGGGCGCGCTTCTTCCAGGCGTCGCAGTCCGCCTTGACCTTCTTGGACTGCTGTTCCAAATCACCAAGAGCCTGCTCCAACGTCTCTGTCATTTTACGCTCAGCAGTAAGATGCTTCTCGATGGATCTGATGCGAGCCTCTTGATCCTCAGTAACTTGGGAAATATTGAAGTTGTTGCTGGGTGGGCGTGCAGATGTGGGAGAGCTGGGCACTCCGTTTGCGGGGGCACCATTGGGTAGAGGCGGTAGAGGAACGGAAGGAGGAGGCGATGGGAGAGAGTTGTGCGAAGAACTCTTGCGGATTGTCGAATTGGAATTGGATCGCTTGACATCTCCATTGACGATTTCGTTGTATTTCATCTATTTAACAATTAGTCAGGTTTGTCCAAAAGTAATGGCTTTTAAGGGAGGGGAAATTACCTGGAGAGTAGCATATTCCTCGCGAACTGTTTCCAGCTCAGACTGGAGCATCAGTCTAGAAGTCAGCGCCTCGTCAAGCTGAGCATTACGCTCAGACTGTAACGAGCTCAAGCGGTTGTTGGTTACCTGAACCTCGTCAAAGTTGTGCTGCAGCTGCTCCTCGAGCTCTTCGATGAGACGAGAGTTCTTCTTGTTGCGGCCATCAAGATCTTCCACCTTGGCCTTGACTGCGGCGAGCTGATCCGTCAGGGGACCGGACGTGGTGTTTGGGTTACCAGGGAACATGCCCGCAATAATAGTCTTGACACCCTCGAGGTCTTTAACAAGGGAATCGTTGATGTTGGAAAGCTCCGTCACATGGGACGTCAGATCTCCCATCTTCTTCTGGTCGGCGATGAGAGCCCTAATCCGCTCACCTAGCTTCTCCAAGGGCAGCTCTGCACCAAAGACAGCAGCGATCTGGGTAGCAACGTTTGTCAACTCGTCCCTCGACTGAGCGAGATCTTCCTCTAGTTTGAGAATGGCTTCGGAATGCTCAGTCAAAAGCACCTCCATCTGCTTCTCGTAGCCTGTCTGCTCGTTGTGCTTGAGCTCGGCCAGCTCTTGAGCGTGATTCTCCTTTAGAGCCTCCATTTCTTCCTGGTGCGCCTTTGTAGCATCCTCGTGGCTAGCAATCAACTGTTCCAACTTATGAGACAGTTCTTGGTGCCGAGCAGTCGTCTCCGCAGTGACCTCGCTGTGCAACTTGGACATGTCATCCATTGCAGCCCGAGCAGATCGATGGAGAGCCTCGAGCTCAGTCACCTTGGTAGCGTTACTGCTGATGACGGCCTTGTACTCATCAATCTCTCCGCGTAGGAACTCAATGAGTCCTTGCTGCTTGCGAACCTCCTCCTTGGCTTCCTCGGCATCTCTTCCAGCTGCAACAAGAGACTCTGACTCGGCCAGCTGGACGTTGGCAGCCTCGACCTGAGCCTCCAACTGCTGAATTGTGGCTTGCATCTCCCTCTCCGTGCTTCGCATGGATACCAAGGCGGAGTGATGCTTGCTTTCCCATCCAGCCAGCTCCGCTTGTAGCGTAGAAACCCGCTCGTTGTAAGGAATATCAACCTCTTCTTCATCACTTGGCGTGAACTCTCTGGTAGGAGTGGATGCCACTGATTTGCGGAGGATCTCGACCTCGCTTGTGAGGTCACGCTCGCGGGCAGCGTGCGCCGAACGCAGGTCGGACAGCTGCCTCTCGCTCTGCTCAAGTTGACCACGTAGAGTAGCAACCATGGACATGTCCACAGGAGAGACCTTCAAGCTGGAGCGTTCACGCGCCAAGCCTGAGATGATGGCCATTTTGCTCTCCATCTCCTTCTTAGCTGATGCAACATCTGACTCGAGCTCCTGGATCCGCTCGCTACGAGACTGAAGTTCATGGATGGCCGAGTTGAGACTTAGTTCGAATGACTGCATGGTCTCGGGCTTTCCTTCAAAGTTTTCGGCGGCAAGATTCCTTAGCGAGACAATCGATCGTTGAGCGCGATCCACGCCTAGAAGGTTTTGGCTCGACTTGCGGCGGATAACGCGAGGACCGGCTTCGACAGTTCTAGCTTTTGTGACTTCTGTCTTGAGCTCCTCAACCATGTCAAGCGTTTCATGGTGCTTCATCTCAAGTTGGGCGTATTTCATAGCTAGTTCCTGTTCAGCCGCCTCTTTCTCTTCGGCCAAGACCCTAAGTCTCTCGAGTTCCGCAATAAGACGCTCGTTCCGCTCATTGTGCTCGTTCTGTTCAGACTTGGTTTGCTCAACTGGCTCAACAAGCTCGAAATCGTCTGACTCAGCGTGTGACTCAGCGTGTTGCTCAACCTCTTGTTGCTCGATTTCTTGCTGCTCGACTTCACGCTGCTCAACATGTTCAACATCATGATGCTCAATAGGTTCAGCTAGCTCAACGTGCTCCACGTGCTCAAGCTTCTCCTTTGGCTCATCCTGCTCACGCAGCCCAATGTGCTCGACGAGTTCCTGTGTAAGATCTTCAACAGACGTTGCGGGCTTGGCGGTAGCAGTGTCGTCTTCGGATTCGAGATCCATATGGGTAGTATCCGCTGTGATGGGCGAGTCAATAACAGAAGAGAGTTCGGACGACAGGGATCGAGGGACCGAAGATCGGACATCATCCTTTGCCTCGCTTGTCGTCGCAGACTGGAATGATTCGGGGCGAGTCTCAGTGGCAGCATCGACGGAGATGATGGAATGGCGTGCATGACTGGGGTAGCGAGCCTCGTCAATGGTATCCTGAAGCTCTGATAGCCTCTTCCTAGTCTCTTCATACTTGGCATGCAGCCTACCGTAGTCGTGGACAGTATTCTCATGCTCAGTTCGGAGGTCAAATAGTTCACGAGTCACCAATTCCAGCTTATCGGAGACAAACTTGTTCTGCGCAGTAGCCTGATCCTGGGCGACATCGTCACTGGACTGCTCTTCGGCCACCTTGGATAGAGGTCTCGCAGCATTGACGGCGTCTTCGTCGTTTTCTACGACAGGGGCGAGTGTTGGTGTCGCATCTTCGTCGTTGTGTTCCCGGGCCTTGGGGTCTGCCGTCTCATCGCTTGCTTCACCTTCAAAGTCGCGCACTTTGGATTCATCGACATGGTCAAGCTCGTGGAGTAGAGCATCCAACTTGCCCAAGCTCCTCTGCCTCTCAATGACTTGCTCAAGCCGTTCAATCTCTCGCTGCATGAGCTCGGCATCTTGATCCGCCTCAGCAAGTCGTTCTTCCAGTGTGGAAATATACTCCTCGGAAGCACTTTCGTTCTCACGAATACGCGAAATTTCCTTGCGGAGTTCAACGATGATGGTGGCATTCTTTTCCTCGCCGTTGGTGTGCCCATCCAGCTTGGTTTCCAGGTCGTGAAGATAGTTTGCAGTGTGTGATTCCCGGTCCGCGAGCTTTTGAAGGCGTGATTGCAGCTGAGAGTTGATCGTCTCGACATAGGCACACTTGGTCTCCTTCTCAAGCAGATTTGTTTCCGTGTTCGACAGCGTAGTGCGGGTGCTTGACAGGGATTGTTCGAGCGTCTGGATAGTCTTTTCATACTCGAGAACGACTTGCTCAACTGCCTTGGCAAACGAGTTGGACCGATTCAGCCGATCTGTTGCATTCTCTCCCTGGAGCTCATCGAGCTGGCGATGGTGCTCAGATTCGCTCTCCTGGGCTTTGGCCATTTCGGAAATCAGATGGGCATGGCGTTGGCTCAGGGTGTTGTAGTTCTCTTGTGCATCCAGCAGCTGATTCTGAAGCTCCAGGTCCCGTTCATTCTGTCTCTCCGATCGCTCGCTGGATCTATTAGCACTGCGCGGCTGTTCGGCGAGCCCGGTATTGGCGCTGCGTATTTGTTCGCGCAAAAACGCTACTTCGGCCTTTAGTCGCTCAATAATGGCATTCTTATCTCCCTCTTCGACCTGCTGAATTCGAGGCTTCGACTGGATGGCGCGAGCTCGCTGAGCATACTGAACGGTGTTTAATGTCTCGCTGAGATGAAATTCCGGTGGAGTGACGCAGGCAATCATGTAGGTGATGGCGTTGCCGCCAAGCGAGTCCTGGAGAAGTCGAGTGAGCTTGGAATCGCGATATGAGACATGGGCGCCCGAGTTTCGCGACGAAAGTTGACTAATGACTTTCCCCAGCGCAGCCAGTCCGGCATTAATAGATATTCCTTCCTTGGCACGCTCGCCCTGGGCACCCGTGTTCTTCAGTCTCTCACTACCGGCCAAATCGACAAAGTGCAGCTTGCTATCGGTGGTCACGGAGATGTCTTGGCCGCTCATGGCCTCCAGAGGCATCGAGTGACGCTTATCGGAATTCGAATACTTGTTCTTCCGCTGGACCAGGTTGAGTGAAAAAACGGCGTGGGAGCGGGATGATTTGGCGTTGATGGCAGTAGCATCGGTTTGGCGGATGGATGAGCCAAAGTCGAGGGCGTTGAGAATGTCGTCGACACAAGTGATTTCGACCTGGTGAAGGCCTGTGAGAATGATGTTGCCTTTCACGTCCTCGCGGATTGCGACAGAGGTTCGGTCACTGAACCCTGTCGCGTCTGCAACCAAGAGATCTCGGAGCGTCTCGTTATAGATTTCGACGTACGTGGCTGTCATCGCCCAATTCCGATCACCCAGGTTATTCTGTTGTCCGTATCCACGGGGGGGCGACCTGAAGCTACTCGCGCTCTTCATCGTGCTGCCATTGCTATTTGGTCCTCCTTTCTGTACGTCTAGATTCTCGAAAAGGGCGGCCGCCGCTCGGGGAATGACACCTAAGAGAGAGGGAAAGCGTGGTTAGCGAGCAGAATTGTCTGGACTACGCGCAGAAAGAGGACTGCGCAGCCACGAAAACATGCAAGCAGGAGTCGAAATCGCAGAAAAGGTAAAAGAGCTCATACCCATATCTTCGGGATTCGACTGCGCGTCGGGGCTCGACGTGCCCATGGTATGTGATTTACCAGCGCCAGACTGGCCATAGGCAAGAAGGGAAACATTGTATCCCTGAGTAAAGGCGTTGATGCTGTCAGAGAGATAGTCCCAGATGCCACTCTGGTCAACCTCTGGGCCAAAGACGCGGTCGAAGACGAAGAGCTTGCGGCCCTGGGGGGAATCGATGGACAGGCTCGTGTTGGAGGTGACGTGCACCATGGGGCGCTGGAAGCGCTGTGGAATCAAGTCATATCCAGGATCTTCCGGTCTCAATTGCGGTCGTACTCGGACAGCTGCGAAGGAGAGGTCATTGTCAGCTCACTTTTTGATCGGGCACCAAATGTGCATTTATCAGCTCCAGAGAGAAGGGGTCGAAATGCGTACCGACGCGGACAGCTGTCCGGTTATCCTCGTCCGAGGCTCTGCTCTCGCCGCCTTGCTTGCTGTTCATACTCAACCGACTGTTGCTCCTTGGTTGAGGACGAGTAGCAATCGCGCTCAGGGGACGCTGAAGCTTATGCGCTGGCGATGGTGAGGCCGGCGGAGAAGAAGCCATGGCGCAAGACGTGAAGCGAAGCGGACCCAGATGTCACCCAGGGAGCGACGCTCCGTAATAGCTCGAGCTGGCCCAAGGCCGTAGGGACCCGTTATCGACGGCGCGCACAAGCCAGCGGGACTGCACGGCGCGCAGACGCGCACAAGCGATTGAGTGAGTATATTTGTGCCCAGCAGAGGCGCGAACACTAGCGACAATAGTCAGGGACTGCGACGGCGCTTTAGCGGCAAAGGGGAAATGGGCAGAATTAAGAATTGAAATAAAAACGAGCGAATAAAGGAATGAGGGAAGGGGGGAGAAGGGAGCGCGATGGTGATGCCCCAGCAGAAAAGAGCGACGATGGTGAGAGAGAGAAAGAGTCGAAGAGAAGAGGATCGTCAACTAAACGTCTGGAGTGTATCGCGCCGATCGTTTGTTGCTGCTAGCAGTAGCAGGAATCTGAAATTTTCTAATAATATTCGCGTCTCTCTCTGCCTCTTCGTCTCTCGTCTCTCGTCCGCAGCGCCCCCTGGTCGTCTTGCTCTGATCCAATCTGCGCACCTGCTGGCTGGTGGGGACACGATGCTGGTGCATGAACTCGTACCGGTACTGGAGGCAGGCGATGCGTGGCGTCTGCGGTGCGTCTGGATGGAGCCTGGATGGAGTATGTAGGCGGAAATAGAGAATGCCTATTACGGAGTACACGTGTATGTCTGCATATGTCAGGCAGAGCTACCGCGAATAGCGTCTGGGCAGGTCTGGATTTGCGTGACGGCTTCTTCGGTCGGTTTGTCGAGGTGGGTATCGCGACTGCTGGTTCCTGGTGGTGATTGCAGTTCCAGGTTGCTGGTCGGGGTCTCGTTCGCCTATCAAAATGGACAAGTCTCTGTAAGCCGGGAGCTGGATGGAGAAGGGCGTCCAGGGCCCTTGGATGGGTGGATTTGCTATCCGTACCTAATTAAACAAGCGCCAGGTCTGCAGCCCACCACGGTGGAAGCGGAAGAGAAGTCGTAGCAGTACAAGTACCTGAGGCCTGTCAGCTCGTACGAGCAGAGAAGCAGGACCTGTACAGTGTACCTGGTTTGGCCAACCAGTCTGGTGAGAGAAGGGCAGAGGAGAGGATGCGCTCGGTGGAGAGAGGAAGACTGGCTGTGGTGTTTTGGACTCGGATGGAAAAGGGGAGGCTTCAATGCTAATCCAGCCACCACCAGCAGCTGTTAGTGGGCAATGGTAGTGCTGCCGGTTAATCTTGGCTATTATAGACGAAGAGAAAATTCGATAGACCCGGAGAGGAAAAACACATGGCCAGCCCAGCACGAGCAACAATTACAGAGAGCTACAGAGAGCACAGAGCACTACCGTCTATCCGTCATGGAGTCAACCTCTAAAAAGACGCATCATCGAGCAGCCATTTTGGGAACCACTGTCCATCATCAGCGAAGCAGCTCTCATGGCATTGAAAAAGAATGCACTTTTGTCATTGAAAGAAAGAGAGTGCATCATCTCTTGAGCAGCAGCACGCACAATCGATGCCCTCTTCAGGCTGCAACGCGATTGCCACGGCGCTGTGCCCCCCAAAACCCCTGAAACTCGCAGCGCTTGCCAGTGCCCAAACGGGTCAAGGGCCAGGGGATCCCAGCGCCAAAGTGGTCGCACAGCATGTGCGCGCTAGGCTGCTTGGGGATCCAGGCCCGCCGTAACCCCCTGTCTAGCCACCGTGAAGCCCTGAGGCTTGCTGTCCAGCGCTCGGAAAGAAAAAAAGATGGCCTCGACGGTTTGTGGCTTTTTGGGTCTGACGCACCATCGATCCATCACGTACGAAACGAGCCTCGATTCTACTCGCCTGTTCCTGGATTTCTCTGTCGGGCTAGTCAGACGGCAGCATCTCATCCCCTGACAGCCACCTACTCCCGACGCTTCAACCAGTTACAGGCTGTGCGTGCTCCGTGCTGCTCCATGCTCCGCCAAAATCCGAAACCGCAAGCAACAGCATCTACACTTGGACAAAGTCTTTCCCGCCACCCCTGTCAATCCGCTGTAGTCGAGCCAATGCTGACCCTTGGAGGCCTGGAAATTAGCAGCAAGAAGACGATAACCGAAGAATAATGCACAGCACAGCGCCCGTCGTCCAATTCTCCACGATATTGCCACATGCGTGCCGCGATTTGCAGAAAGAGAGGGCAAGGCTGATTTGCTCAAGCTGAGCCCACAGTGGGACGCGATGGCACGTCTTAGCGTGTGTGACAAACTCGGTGGGAACGCAAGAGGGAATCCGGTTTATTTTTTTCGAAAGCCTCGATCGCTGGCTAGGTGCCTATACGAGTAGGTATTGCCTACACCCCATACTATCCGGCCGAGACTCTACAGTACAAACTGGGCCAGGCTCGCCACTTCGCGGTGGTGGCTTCTCGACAGTCTCCGGGCTTCTTTCTACATGCCCTGGCAAATCAGATTCACTGCCCGAGACACTGTCCTCCAAAGGCTCCGGTTACTGCACATGTCTCTCGTCGCTACGGGCATCGTATCGCAGCACAAGACGCCAGACACGGCGTTGAATTAAGATGAGAGCGTCCCAAGACCGGGGTTGGCGCCTGTCCAATCTGCCGTCTTAATTTGCTGCTGCTCCGCCCCTCTGCCGCCTCCAGCAAAGTGTTGGATGTGAGCGGCCCAGCCAGCGGTTTGCCGGTTTCACACATCGCCCTTGATTATGCGAGATGCGCCACGTTTCGTCATATAAAAGGCAAGCAATCGACGATGGGAGGTTTAGCTATGCATGACGACGCAACTCGACTGCGAGCACCAGCCCAACCACATCACATAGATTAATGCACGGAGCCAACTCTTGTGTGTACTTGGACAGCACCGGGTACACACCCTGGAAAGCCCTGCGCTCGGGTCCGTCACATCGTCAACGGCAAACAGTCAGTCTTTGCGAGCAATTAAACGTGCAGCCTGTGCGGCCGACCGCCTGTCGATCTCCTTCCATTCACGGCGCTGTCGCCTCAGCTGGGCCGACATGTGGTGGACAAGCATGCCACGGCCAGGGATGGCATCACGATGCTTCCACTTACAGGTACATATGCTACAAGCAGCAACAATGAGTGCAATCCCGGCTCTCAGCCCCAGCTCTACATTTCCCGTTATTTCCCCAGCCGGACCAGTCAACCTGACAAATCAGCAACAGTCGCAAGTCAAATAGCACAACAATAGTCCAAGCCATCAGTGCTACAAGTCCACATCACGGACCTTGTGCTGCGTCAAGTCACCATTTGTAATTCCTGCTTGGTAATGCTACTGCTATTCTGTACAACCCCCTAATAAATAGTGGCAGACCGTCAATGTCATTTTGTGCGTCCCAGATGCATCGCACTAGCTCACTTCAACCGCAGGGTAATTTTCCTCAACCAATCCTAGAGTATTGCCTTTGGTAAATGATGATCGGTGCACGAGGCACCAAATGCGGACTTGACCACAAACTAGAATAGGCCCAGCGCATAGCTCTTCAGGCAAAGCTGATCATGGCGCCTAACCGTGAACAGATTTAGATACGTGTACATGTACGGGACAGCTGAGATGCTGACTGTTGTTGGCATCTCATATCCCCGCGAATATATGCTTTAGGCTCTTAAAGATTAATTAATATAAGCAGCGGAAGGCGAATAATATCAGCCTGTACAACATGGAGATAGCCGAGTATGCGCAATCTGCGGCCATCTGATGCTACATCTCTTGGTAGGAATTGTCCTGTGTACCCGATTCAGAAGAACTCTTTCTATGCATTCATCGGCAATCTTCCTTGTGCAATTTGACCAAGGCCGCCGTCATCTACAATCTCATCTATATCAAATTGTTTATATTGCCATGCATCAATATTCTCTTATGAGATTAGGGTTGCGCGCCTTGCGCTATTCCATGAAGCAGTGGTTTTTGATGCTTACCTGTTATACGTGGACTCTTTTTGATCATCTTTCATCCGGATTTAAGAAATAAAAAAGGTTTCATCTGACCCGCGGCCAAGTAAAACTTCAACATGTGACCGCAGCTGAATATCAGTCTCAGTAACCCCCAAGCTCTGATGCATCTGATGTATCATTCACAAGTACACAGTACTCCAGGGCTGCGTCGCTGCAATCCGAACACATTTAAATCACCGAAACCATCATGTATAAGAACCCTCTTGCTTTCCTCTTAACAGCCACTTATAATGCGGGCGACGCTATAAGCTTTTGATTCCACAGCATGCATGTGCTCTTGCAAAGTCAGCAGCACTAGCCTTTTGCTGCATGCATGTTGAAAATGATTCCATCTTGCAGACTTGTTGTGTAATGAAGTTTCTGTTTGTCGAGAATTAAAACGGTCAATGGGCAGTGATATTATGGATGATGTAAAGCATCCATATTTGGCTAGTATTGTTAGTACATCATTACTCCCTTCCTTTGTAGTCGTCCACCTGCAACTCTCTTACAGCTTCAACCTGCTTATACAGCTTCACTCCGCCATCACAAGTCAATCGAGATAAATCCAACTCCGAATATAGTTTGATTGTCCGCAATACACGGTAGGCTCGGCATCGGCCGCCCGGCAGACGTCGTCATCATCGGAGGCGAAGACCGCCGATCTCAACATCTAACAGCACATCCAATGAGCATTTTGGGGTAAATTCATCGTCTAACCGCAAAAGCTCTGGAACGCGCGCAGCTCGATATTTAAGCCATCTTAGCTTGACCCTATTCCACGTTAATTGACCATGCTCTCCTCGTTCGATTGTTAAGCCGTGGCGTTGTTCTAACCAATGGCGGAAGTACATGCACAGTGTCTCCGTCAATAGAATGCCTAAGCGGAAACTCTATCGTCATACACTCGCCATGCTCGGTGGAAGCGGACTCTTAAAGTCCCTGTGTCGGACTTTTCAAGTTGTCCGAAAGAGATGGATAAAAATCAAGGCAAATTCCAAGTTTATCAGGTGATTAGTTGGTGAATGAGCCGATGAAGTCGATGCGATATCTCGTGAAGCATCCGCA